GTGGCGGCGGAGTGGTAATCACGCCCTGATGTAAAATGAATGAGTTGGGAAGATTCCAACAATCCCAGAATAATCCAGCAATAATCTTGTATTTTCCCATGGCTGATAAATGGGCGTACAGTAGGCGGCTATAGTGTGGGCGCCGTCGGCGCGTCGGCGCCACTCCACTGGCGTGCCTGAAGGCAAGGCCCAGGACGCACAGTGGGCCAGACGACCGGTGGAGGCGGCCAAAACTCTAGACGCGTTTTGAGCTCCAGAGTCGCTAAGCAGGACTCGAACCGAACGTGTGACCCCACCAATGGATTGCTCTCCAAACGAGCTATCGGTGGGGTCACGCGTTCGGTTCGAGTCATGTTTAGCGACCCTGCAGCTCAAAACGCGTCTAGAGTTTTGGCCGCCTCCACCAGTCTTCTGGCCCACTGTGGGACGGCCGGGACGGCGGGGCGGCCGGGGCCCGGGCCGATCCGGGGGAACAACAAGGTGTGCGTCCAGCGTGATGTCAGTAGGGGCGACTACTATTAATAATCGGTTTTCGCACAGTACCAGTACCGGACCAGCCGGACCAGCCGCGCCCACCGCCCCGCCCCGCCCCGCCCCGCCCCGCCCCGCCCCCCCCCGCCGCGCCCCACTGCGCCCCGCCGCGCCCCACCGCGCCCCGCAGCCGCGCCGGGCGTACCCGGCCGACACGATGGAGGTGGTAGTAGCCTGTTATTGCGACGTCTGCGCGGCGTCTAGACACTATAGAAGTACATGGCGGTCACGTGTGTGTGTGTGTGTGTGTGTGTGTGTGTGTGTGTGTGCAAGGACATGACCAAGGCACACATTACCAAAGGTGTCGACTCATCGGCAAGACAAATGTTGCGTGGGCGGGCGTATATGGCGCTCTTCGCGAAACCATGCAGTCACATTTTATGTCATTTTCTTTTTTGTTTTTACTGGCCCGAGGTGCCCTGCTCGCTTTGCTCGAGGCCCGGTCCATCCCGGCCAGGCTCGGCTCCACGGCGGTTACTATACTCCGTTTTGAACCGCTGTAAGGTCACTGAAGCGGGTCCGTGTCTAGGCCAGGAACCTGCTCCGGGCCTAGGGGCCTTCGGGTCGCCTTCGGGAGGAGGCGCCGGGGTCCATTCCAGCCGCTCCAGCACTGCTCCAGCCGTTTCGACCGGTCATTTTCGGCCGAAACGCAAAAGTGGCGGGAAACGGGGCGGGCCGAGACAATGCGATAACTGGTATGTACCCTCGTCCGACCGGTCCACGTAGCACTGCGTCGCACCCGGTCGTGCTAGCCTCAGCCTCAAAAAGTCGGTCCGCGCGACGGCCACCCCGGGACTCGAACCCGCAGCCATCTCGCGGGGCATCGAATCCGGTTCACCCACGCCGCCGAGGCGCCGACGACGCCGAACCCTCTGGTCGAACCGGCGGGGAGAATCCCGAGGTATTGTGTAGTAGTTAGATTCGCGCAACCTGGCTGCAGAGAGAAACCTTGGTTCTGATGTAATCTCTGCGGGCGGGGCTCTGCGCCTCGCGGACCTCGCGATGCTCTGCGGGAGGGGTGGGGGAGGGGTGGGGGAGGGGTGGGGGAAGGCGAGGTGCGTCCGGAGGCAGGCCTGGCAGGCCACTGGGAAGAAGCGCGGGTCAATTTCAAAGTCATATCTCGAAAATCTGGAAACGGGGTCATCGGCGGCAGTGGCGGCAGTGGCACTGCAGTGGCACTGCAGTGGCACTGTGAGCTCGCTGAGCTAGTTCGCTCCAAGGACTTGCGATGAAGGCGCGAGCGCGCATGCGTAAGCGATGCGCCGCCAGTGCGGCTGCAGTGGCGTGGCGTCCGGGATGTGGGAGTCTGCATGCTGGAGAGCCTGGAGTTCGCTCCGCCGCCCCGCCGCGGAGGCCGTCGCCGTCATGGAGATGCTTTGCTCCCTTGTATGATGATGACCCTGACCGTAGGACTGGCGCGGCGTGCGCGCCGGACTGGCGGACTGGCTCGGCGCCAAGCCTCACCGCGCAAGCCGAGGTGGCCGAGGGAATCCGAGGGAAGCCCCGTCGGCTCGCTCGTCTGGCCGACGCGGCTCGGCAGCGCGGCGCCGCGCTGGGGGTCCTTTCATTTTTCTGGCCGCCTCGCCCCGCCCTGGCCCCGCCCCGCCGTCTGCCGCCCGACGACGGTCTGCCTCGCCAAGCCGCCAAGCCACGCCAACACCCTGGACTTCCCCGGCAACACGTTGCTCAAACCAGCCGGCCGAACCCTTCCCGCCAACACGGTGAAATGGGAAAAGGCCATCGGACGCCTTCGACGGCGACGCTCTGGCTCTGGGTCCGTGTCGCCGGCCGGCCGCCCCCACCCGACCCTCCTCCCCCGGACCCCGGACTTGAACGCCACGGCGGCCTGACGGCGGCGCGACTCGCTTCAGACTCGCTGCCAGCCTGCCGCCGCCTGCCGCCTGCCAGCAAGGTCCGCCGAGCTTCACGTAACGCCGACGGCGATATGTGCCAAGTGCAGACGACAAAGGGGAGAAACGTGGCGAGCGGGCGCCAGGGCCAGGCAGGGCCAGGCAGGGCCAGGCAGGGCGGCGTCACGGCAGTCGGCGCCAGGGGCGGATCCAGGGGGCGGCGACAGGGGGTCGCCCCCTGAAGGCGGAGAAGCCACCTGCAAGGTACGCAGCAAGTCGCGTTTGCCCCTGGAGGCAGGCAACTGTTGCGTCCCCGTCGTGCAACAGGTCGTTCACTTTGTCGTATGACTGCACTTGCTGACCGCACGGAGCTACGGCGCACGTGGCTGCTGGCTGCACCTCCGCGCCTCGCCGTGCCCTGCCGTGCCTTGCCCCGCCGAGCCGTGCCGAGTCGACGACCGGACCAGTGCGTTCGTTCACACGTTCGTGTCTCTCGCCTCTTCGAATACGGAAATGAAATAATCGGGAAAGAGGTTTGCGTTCCGCGCCGTTCAGGCCGTTCAGGCGGTTATCGACCAAGCGGCCGGTGCCTGACCTCTGCAGGAAACTTAAACTGGAGACGTCAGCCTGATGGAGGCGCCAGGATGTCCCACAGGGGACTCCGCGATACCCTAATACTCTGGAGGCTGCAGTGAAGATTTCAGGCTCCTCTCCACTGGAGACTCCAGGCCTGGACGCCGAGTACTCCGAATGGCCTCGGTCCGTTTGTCCGCGTTCGGAGAACGCGTTCGGTCGTTCCGAAGTTCTGAGGAGGCAAGGGGTGGCGGGTGGCTCTGGCCGCTTTGGACAGGAAATGCGCGTGACGGAGCGAAACGCAGCGAAACGCAGCGAAAACGGAAACAAAGATGCCGATAAAGACGCGCCCTGCACTGTAAAGGACTCTGTCGCCAATTTTTCGCCTGCAAATAAGTGGGGAAAGAGAAATCCGAACAAAGAGAAAGAAAATGCAGCGAGCAGCAGACACAGAGCCCTCCACCGTAAAGGTGAAAAGTTATTGCGACGGTGCGCTCATAAAAGCATAAGGACCGCGCCGTGGCGTGCCGTGCCACCTCGATGTGCCACGCCACTGTGCCACGCCGCCACGCCCAGGCCGGCGAGGCCAATGCCCTCTGCCGGCAAGTAGGTCAACCTGCGCGCGTCTCCTAGATTTATTAGGGTCAGTGTGTAATCAAAGGAAGAGCCACACTCGCTGTACTGTACAAACTGTACACAAACTATACGAAAATGCGTAAGGGGTCGGATGGCGTCCGGATGACGAGCAGGGAGCCTCCGTAAGCCACGTCTGGGGAAGGACTGCCTACTTTTTGGAGTGTCGGTTTGAAACGGGCTCACGTAAAAAGTGTCGGTTTGTGCGCAGCGAGATGAGAGGAGCGGCGTCCACGAAAATTCTGTGAAAAAGCGTGTACTGCGTCAGGGGGCTCGCGGGGGTGGCGGTGCGGGTGCGGTTGGCACCACTGACTTACTGACCTCCTTCACAGCATTCCGTTCCGCTTTCCACGCGCGCATCCCCTATTCCCTGAAGGGTTGCCCCCCACCCCTTTCTGATTTACAGCCGCTCTTTCAACGGAGGCTGTCGCATGCCCACTGTGTCACCTGGCCGCCCAGCCGCCCGGCAAGGGTTTCGGCTCCACCCACACTTTCACTCGCGCACACCGCACTTCGAAAAAAAAGGAACGTTGCGCAGTCGTCGTTCGTTATATTTCGGCCCAGTGGACGGATTCCGAGAGTCGTTTTCGTCGCGCTGTCTCTCTCGCGCCCATAAGGAACGCCCCACGAGTGTGACAGAGACAGGCGACTCTCGAAATCAGCCTGCACGCCGAGGCGGGAGGGCATCCAATGGCATCAGGGCCAGCCTCCTCTGGGGTCCTCCATTCGGCCTAAAACAGTAGCGCCACAGCAGCAAAGACTGGGCTGCACCCACCGGCCAGTCCCGCCTGCCCCGTAACCTTTTGTTCCGCGCCTCGTCGCGTCGCATCGAATGTTGAATGTTGTTACGGTTCCGACGTTTCGACCGGGACAATAAAAAGGGAAACGTCGCTCGGTGTTCGTTTACTGCGTCCAGAAATGGGGCCGCTCGTCTTTGGCTTGTCGTCGACTGACTTGTCTCTGCTGTGCCAGGCTGCACCACCCTCGGCGCCCATTGCGTCCTTCCCAGGAGCGGAGAGTGAAGAGAGGGGACACAGCGCGCCGATGTAAGTGACGTCAATTCGTCAACGGCTTTCCATTTAGGAACTCGCCGCGCCCAGAGGGTGGGCAACAAACTCCGGCGCCTAAAGGGATGCCGACCTCCTCGGCGCTGTGCCCTACACGACTCCCCGAAGGCAGACAAGTGCGATAAGTTGCCTACCCGTACGGCGCTCCGTCTGTCTTTACAGTGCACGCGAATGCAGCTTTCGAGTACAATTCAGCGGTCGTTGGGCATAAGGACGTAAGTCACACGGGAAACCCATTGAAAATTAGGTTGTTCTGTCCGATGACCACTCAATTGTCCGTGGCATGTTTTGTCGCAGACATCTCTCTGGAGAAGTGAGGGAAAATAATATCCATCAAGCCATCACATTGTTTTTACAAAAAAATAGAAATATAATTTTTAAAGCTTAAGCACATTTTGAGAAATATTTAACAGTAGGATGGATAGCGTTACATAGCCAGAGTTTGACAAAGGTCACATTATACACAGGACTTCGGTTGGAATGTGAATTGTTTGCTCAAATCAAAACCCCCGGCAAAACCTTAAAATTGATAAACATTCATTTTTCACTTTCCTGCTGGCAATAGTGTGTCCTTGAAATCCTTGATGGGATAAAACATTCATGATTTCTTCGGGGTCATTTTCTTTGATAACAACCAGATAGAATAGAGCTTTAGGTGACAGCAATTTTCCTACGTGATGTAGGAGGCGATCCGTGACTTCCCTGCCCTGAATGCCACCAGCCCAGGCTAAATGAAGAAATGAACCACCTTCTTCTGGTTGACTCAACTCATCTTTGGAAGTTACACAATATGGGGGATTAAACAAAAGCAAGTCAAAAGAATTGTCCATTCTCATCATTGTGTCCAAATCCATCTGCATACAGGCTACCTGTTAACACATGTAGATTTTATGTTAGTAGTTTCCTGAAAATACCAACAGACAAAAATAAGAAACAATTCAATCCTTTATAGGTACTTGCATTGGTTTTGTTCTTCAAAGCAGTTTGCTGCGTAGCTTTACATGCAAATGGATTAATGTCAGTGGCCATCATGTAACAAGTAGATCCCAAGGCCCGTGCCACAGCTGTAGAGATCACTCCAGATCCACTGCCAACCTCCAGGCCTAATCTAGGTTGTAAAGAGTGGATCAAACTGAGGTCTTTCTCAAGAGCATCCAGAAACAAAAAGGAATCTTCTCGTGGCTCATAAACGTGGTCGAAATCAGTTACACTCAAATGAGATAGATCAGGAGTTTCTATCACTTCTTCACCACGAGACTTCATTGTAAATAAAGTAACAAAATTGGTCAAGACTTGGAACAGGAATTAATTGGAGGAGAAGGTTGGTTCCAGTGGAGTTGAACTGGGAGTTAAACTTGTACTTGGCTCAATCAAGGCCTTTCGTCGATTTTGCTCCTTGTGAATGTGTTGATTCAGTTTTATCAGACGATCCTGTTAAATACAAAAGTACATATGAAATAAAATGATATGTGAAAATGTTAGGCATTTGATTCACTCCGTTGGATATGCACCTGTGATGATTGCAAGATATTGCCCACAACAGAAATTTTTGCTTTAGCATCATTCAATTTGTTGACATATTTCTCAAGATGTAATGGGCAGATCTGATGCTCAGCAAGTTCCTTTAGTTCATCAGATAAACTGTCAAGGTGTTGTTTCAGTTCTTCTTGGCTGATTCTGGGAAGGGAAACAGACAATCAGCCAAAGGTATTTTCAAAAACACATTGAAAACGTGAGACGTCATACCTCGTGGCTTTAACTCTCTCATCCAGTTGCTCAATGGTGGGTCTTAACAGGCACAGCAAACCATCAGCAAGAGTGTCCCGGGTTGGGTTGTCGGCGAAGTCTTCCGTTTTGTCGTCGATGGAAGTGTTAGTGCTCGTATCATCTCTTTGATCCATCTGGTCCAGCGGGTCCAGCGCAGAAGCAGAGGTCGCAAACCGTCAACGCGGGGCGGCTCTGGTAAACAAACTTTCAGCTGGCCTGTCTAATGAGTTCCCTCTAACCTGTGGTTGTCTTCGACGCAGACCACCTGCCACACCAGAGTTACGGAAAGACCAAAAATACAGATAGTCACACAGCACGCCACACAATATCTTCAGGAACACTGATAAGTTTGACTTACTGAAGCTGTTGACAAAGTCCATCAACATGTACACAAATATGTGCGTGCACAGTTCAACATTCTTTGTGTCTTCTGCTTTGTTGGTTTTGACGTAGCAGTTTCTCATACACTAGTCTCGCAGACGCTGTTGAAAGTGTGCTATGAATTAGGATTTACGGATGACAAATCTAGTTTAGCTCTAGGCGCCATCAAATGAAAAAATGTAGGAAAGGAAAACAAAACCCTTCAAAAGGATAAAAAGAAAGAAAACTGATTGTGGTCTATCCATGTGCTTCACCTCAGTCAAAGTTCATTCTTGAAACCTCGTTGTAAGAATCACATCATAATGGTGTGTAAAAGCTGGGATTATTTGGTTTTACATGCACTTACCTAGCAGTAAGCAAAACAACACCTGATATAATTGTTATGCATTCTCAGGTGCAAGGAGTAGACATGGATAATGCACACAAGATACCACAACCTGCCTCCCCTGTAGAAGATAAATGTGACCCTAAGAAAATTCAGCAGCCCAAAATAGAAGAAAACAAAAAAACAGCCCATCCACATGATAATGCAGCTGTCAAAACGTTGACATATTATAATCGTACTGGAGTTCGCTGGGGTAATGAGGATAGTGTTCATTGTATGGTGGTGTGGTTCATTCATTGTTACGTGTGAAATTGATTGTTTGAGTTTTTTTCTTAACAGTTCGCTGGCTTGTCAAAGCGGCATCTAAAATTCTTGCTGAGATTCCTGTCCAGGATGTAATTAGAGAGATAAAAATCTTCATGAGTCACCACCCTCTTGCTGCAGCGTTTGTGGCTTCAGTTGCAGTAGCGTGTGGAATACCAATCTTCATTTTTGTGGCATTTGCTGTCATTACCATTTTGTTTACATTTGGCGGTTTCATCATCATTGAAGGTAAGCAGTTCAGATTAATCGACTCTGCTTTGTTTATGGATCTTTGACAATTATTGTTCTTTATTTCTATGTCTCAGGTGCTGTGTTAGCTGCAGGTTCATTTGCTCTTGTGGTGTGTTTGGCGACAATGGTGATTGCCTTCATCACTGTAAGCTTCTTTGCTGGACTTCTTTACGTAACATTCACACAAATTGACAGCATGGTTCGTTTACATGTTCCCAGTGGAGAACCTGCTCAACCATTTGACTCTCGCTTGCCTCAGGTTTTAGCTAGCTTAAGAAATTTACCAAATTCAAGTCGTCAAAGTCGGGTCAGAGCAATGCAGCCTCCACTGTCTTCTAATAATTTAAATGGTCACGTGCACACGCACAATTCTAAATAATATTTGATTCTGACTTGCAGATACTATTATAGGATTTTATATTATAAGATTTATTTAAGATATAATTTTTCATGTTGTCCTATTTTAAATTTAACTGACTGAATATGTACAAGTGCATACCAACATTCCTGTTTGTCAAATAAATATTTTTGTCTACGCGTCTAGATTAGTAAAACAGTATCCTCCAAAGATTATTCTTGTACAAACACACAAAAAGAAACAATAAGCAGTATCTATTTTTGTAGGGAATTGTGGTTGGTGCATTGATGGCAGGTGCATCACTCAAATGCCTTTTGTGCCCTGGAAAATAAAATAAAAGTAGTAAGAATAACTGCTGGTTTTAGACAATTTATCAGTCCAGAAAAAACTTACTTTTCATAAATTGCCTTAAGTATTTTTTTACTCTGTTTATATCTGTCTTCATTTTCATTAGCAACTTTGATCCACTCATTACGAACATCTGTCCACTTAGAAACATGCTCTTTCAGAAGTTCCTCTTTGCTGGGACCCTCAGAATCTTGCTGCTCAAAAAATTAGCAGGAATTAACCAAAATGAGGTGGAAATTTTATAGCTTAAAATAGTGGATGTCAGGAAACAGATATACATACATTTAAAATGAGATCCAGGCCGGATACTTCGTCAGGTTTACATATTGGGTGCCTCATGAATGTAAGAGCAGCAGGAGGTGGTAAACTGTACGTGTCTCTCACTAAATCAGCTTCTGAGTCCTCAGTAGAGTCGACATCCATTCTGGATCCGGACCCATTTGCCACTTGCTCATCTTCATCTAGTGGCTCTGGCTTGGGCTTAGTTTCAGGAGATGGAGATCTTTTGCTGGATACAAAAACATTAAGAATAGTAAAAAAAATAGCCACTCGCCTTCCAAATAAAATTACGACAAAACAACCGTAAACAACCGCTGATGGGAGGGAAAAGGTGGATGGAGGGATGAGGGAAAAGAATTTCATGTTGCATGCTCTTACATTTTGAATGGTACACCTCGTGGCTGATTAGCCATCCATGCCCTGCAAATTGGATAGAGTGGTGTGTCCTCTTTAAATTGAGCCAAATCCACACTTCGATCAAATAGCTTCATCACAAAAGTATTGTGATATGCCACTTGACTCATTTCTGCTCTCCTTTGCTTTCTTCGAGCGGCAATTCTAAAGAATGAAAAACAAAGAGAAAATTTTAAAAATGAATTAATTTTATCTCCATTGAAAACAAAAACCCAAACACAGAAATTGAAATGCTTCTAATAACTGTACTTACGCCGCTTTCTTTTCTTCTTGCCTGGCCAAAATTTGTTCTTGCTTCAAGTTACATAGAAAGTCGTCTTGTTTTCGTTTGAAGCCATGCTTGTGAAGCTCATCATTTGCGCTTGTTTCTGAAGGGTCCAGAAGCAAAAGCAAAGCTCCTCGAAGGCGACCCCTAGCTACTGCTACGTCATCTGCAAAACATGAAATTAATGAATGGGTATTAAATGTGAATGGTTGTAAACCTAAGGACAAAGTCAAAGAATCGGGCTTTTAAAATTTTGATAAACTGAACTCAGGTATAAACAAATAACCTCAACACAGAATGTCATTATACCCACCGACAGCAGGGCGCGGGGGGCGGTCATCCTTAGCTTCACCTGTCGCACGAACAGTTTGACCAGTATTTCCTTTCCGTCTTTTCACCATTTTGGGCAAAGGAGAGGTATGAACGCTTTCAAAGAAAAGTCTTTCGTCGCAATTGTCAGACGATTCACAAATTTGAAGCCAAGCCAACCAAGAAACAGCTGTGTTTACTACAGCAATATTTCCAACCTACAGAAAGATCCTCTCCATCTGAAATATCTAAAATAAACCTTCCTGTGGTAGATTTCTACGAAAAGTTGAATGAAATTAGTTTAATTTATGCGATGGCTACTTATGATTCACATCTATTGTTCTATAAATAAGTTAAAGTTAAATTATTTTGTGCAGAAGGTTGGCTATTTGGAGTAACGTTGCCTTTTGTATGAAAAATTCAGATACTATTGCTTTTCTTTTTATATTTTCTATTAATTTTATGTAATGAATTCATTTTAACTAGCTTGTGGCCAGGACACAAGCATATACAGTTCAAGTTCATCTTCAACCCTTCTTGTAATGTCATCTTTTGAGAGCGAATTCGACTGATACCACCCTTCTACCCCCACTCCCACTCTCGGCATCCTTTGCCACCCCCTCCTTACCCCCTCCCCCTCCCCCAATTGACATTAGCGTTTATTTATTTAGTCTGCTACGCTGGCCGCTAATGTCACAGGCCTTTTTTCGGTTTGTTCCTTGCCAAATCCTAGTATTTACATTTCAATTTCCGGAGCAACTTTGTTTCGGATGTGATTTATCAGAAACTGTCTGTGATGAGTGAAAAATTATTGTGATTCCGGCCAGTTGTGCGAAAGCTGACTAGTAGTTGTCATTTGCCGATCTCCTTGTTCCTCAGTTTACAAACAGAAATGATTACCGAGCAAAGCATTAAAGAGAATTTTCCCCTTCACTGGAGTATTTGGAGTAATGACCTGCAGGGCCTCAAAGATGGTCTCCTCTCGGAAGGCGTGAGTATTTAAACATTGCATTTTCTTTGTTGTCAATCGTTAGTAAGGTTAACGCTACATGGGATAATAAACAATAACAATAATGTGGTCCTTCTTGGTTTTGTGCGTCGGTTTTCTTCGAATTGACACTTTAAATGGAGTGTTTTAGTAATTGCATGTACCCAAAAAGTGTGTTCACCCTCCCGAATGCTGCTGCTTGTTGAATCAGTTCTGTTGACGATTGTAACTTTCTATGATTTTGACTTTTGAAGGGCACTTGGGAAATTAAAGAAATGAATTAAACTAGTCTTATTATAAATTGACACTGTCCATCTTGTTTAATTAACTAGTTCTTCATGTGGAACTGTAACGCTTCTCTTCATCAGCGCTGCTATATTACTATATCTCTGCCTCTTTTTTTACTGACTCATAATTGTTTTTATGCAATGCAGCATAACAAAATATCCAAACAGTGTGAGAAAAGCAAGGGGCATACCGAGGGCCAAGGTCATTAGGGTGGCTGCCAGGGAGAAGTCCTAGGAGTGCCTTGAAGCCCTACCATAGCCCTCTCATTGCCACCACTGACACATACATGCCTTTGCTAGAACAAATGCTTTCAACAATTTGACTCTGGTTGTTTCTGCATTAACATTAAAATTTTTAAAAAAATATTGTTGCTTTCCCTTTTTTTCCCCTTACTGCCTCATTTTAATGCTGAACATCAATATCACTTCTAAATCAATAAAATATGTCCATATTTTTCAGGTTGAAGTTGAGAAGAAGGATGTCAGGGGTCGCACTCCACTTATGTTAGCTATTACACTTGGACGCCTCGAGATGACTCAAGAACTCATTCGCCATGGTACCAATGTCAATACAGAAAATAAAGAAGGCTGGACAGGTTCTTAAAATAAATTTTTATGTTTCTTTACAAGGGATTTACGTCAGTTTTGCCTAATGTTAATCCCATGGCAATTCCATTTCAGCTGTTCAGGAAGCTGTCGCAACTGGTGATCTAGACTTGGTGGCACAAGTTCTAGAGAGAAGGGATTTTCAGCGCCATTCTTCCCGCATTGGAGGTGTACCAGAGCTTTTGCGTAAGCTCAAAGAGGTATGAGCACTTTTACCAGCAAAATTGATTAATTGGATCTCATTTTAGTTTTGTTTGTTTGTCAGATAAATAAATTAGTTAAATCCCTGTTCCAGGCTCCTGACTTTTATGTGGAAATGAAGTGGGAATTCACAAGCTGGGGTTAGTCATCTGATCATTCACTCCTGCCATGACTTGTTTTTTTGCCCTTTTATTAACAATACTTCTTTTCCATGTGTTTTAGTGCCTCTTGTTTCACGAATGTGTCCCAGTGACACATATAAAGTCTACAAACAGGGATCTAAAGTCCGTATTGATACAACTCTTCTTGGTTTCGACCAAACAGACTGGCATCGGGGCAACACTAGTTATATATTCCACGGTCAAAGTAAGTAGAAAAAGCCTCCATTCTGACAGATTAAATATTTTATTTTCAGCTTAAGTTCTTTCTTAAAAACCTTGTCAAACTTGAGCTCAAGAATTCACAAATTAAATGGGTTTCTAATATGACAGCTATCAATACCCCTTCTGTTCTGCGTTGCCAGCGCAGTTATGTTTATTTGCTACGAACACTGCAGTCGGGTATTACAGGTGAAAACATCCATCACTTAAGAAACCTTTTGTATAAATACAGTATATATCTTAGTCACATGACCACATGTAAGCAGAACCTCCTTATTGCTGCACTCCTGACACCATGGAAATTTTTGTGGTATCTCATACCTCATGTACCCATTTTTACCATCTTTCAGTTGCCTAATAAAAAGTAAGAATCTGTCTTAGTAAAAGGGCAATGGCCTTTTTAAAAATTCATATTTCTAAACTATGTAGATAAATGTACATACATACATATTGTCCTTGCCCAAGCCGTAGGAAATCCTAAACCTTGTTGTCCTCAGGCCTAGAAATATTTCTGAAGTAATTAGGTTCTTTACTGATTGCATTGAAATTGTTTTGTACTTTCAGAATGTATTGTATCCATGTCATGTTCTACAATGGTTGTGTCTCATTTAATTTCCAGCTGATACGGCAACAATGATGGAAGTAGATCATGAAACTCATGAAGTGTTTGTGGAACAGATGGAGATGCCTGCAAATATTGAACTAGGTGGAATGTTTCCTTCCAATTCATCAGTTCTTACTCGACTGAGATCTCCTATAGTCACAACATATGTAGATACAGAAAACATTAGCTTTGAAAGGTCAGTATTTCCTCCTGTTCATGTGTGTGCCACAATTGTGCAGCATTAACATACAAAAATGTTTTTTAAATTTCAGAAATAAAAGTGGGATATGGGGATGGCGTTCTGATAAATCAGAAGATGTCAATGGATATTCTTGTAAGGTGTTCAGCTGTAACAATGTAGCCCTTGTGACCAAAACTCGAACAGAACATCTCTCCGAGAAGGATAAGATTCAGTCCAAAATGCCACGAACACCTCTTCACAGCTTCCTCGGTATTGCTCAAAATGAACAAGTGCAGGTTCAAGGACAACCTGAACCAGGCTCCTCATCTGATACTAACTCTGAAGTATGTTTATGGAGTGTTTATGCTGGAAGCAATTGTTTGTTATTTTTTATTTCATTTTGCTTTACATAGACTCACTCTTTTTTTCTATTTAGGAGGAAGTCATTAAAGGTAACCCCTGCAATATAACAGCATTAGAATACTTTGATCCAGAGGTAGATCTTGGTGGCAGGGACATAGGAAGACCCAAGGAAATGGCTTCCCGTACGCAGAAATTCCGAGTAAGAGCTTTTAAGTGCCCAATAATTTATTACTCTACTTTCAAAGACACATTAAATTTGTTATTTTTAATTATTGTGTTTTTTCCTCCTTTTTCAATGATTTTATGAAAGGCTACTTTATGGTTGTGTGAAGACTATCCATTGGCACTCCAAGAACAGATAATGCCTATAGTGGACTTGATGGCCATTTCTTCACCACACTTCGCAAAACTAAAAGATTTCATTCAGATGCAACTTCCAGCAGGTTTCCCTGTGAAGATAGGTGCTGAATATTGTTTGATATGCTCTGAATTTACAGTAGAGGACAAACATTTGAAAGCTTTGTTTTGCTTTTCCTGTTTAGAAATTCCTCTCTTCCATGTTCTAAATGCTCGGATCACATTTGGCAATATCTATGGAATGGATCAGCCTGTTGATGGTGTAACATTCATTAATGAGGATGCATGGCGAGGTTGTGTAGTGGATGACTCAGTGTTCAATGCTCCTGCATCTTATGCCAGAATTGGTAAGTTGTCTTTTGTTCTGTTTTAACACTTTTTATGATGATAAACTATATTCCACCTTTTTGTTAATTTTGAATTTTAAAGGCTCAGCGTCAAGGAGACAACCTAATTTAGAAGAAGAAGATGAGTTGCTCCAATTTGCCATCCAGCAGTCCATCATTGGATCGGGAAATGAGAGAGATGAGGTGAGAAACTCTGTTCCAATGTAATATATCAACTATCAAATGGAAATGCTCTTTGTCTTCAACTCCGCTTCCTGTAAAAACACAGGTTGACATATGGGAAGCCCTTAGAGCAGCACCTCCTCAGAGACCTACAACACCGTTACTCCTCGGGGAAGAAGAACGTCAATTACAAAGGTATTATTACAGAAGTAATATTTGGTTTTCTTGGGCTTACTACAACCATAATCATAAAAATGATGATAATAATCGCAATGTACTTCCATATTTGCATTCTGTTTTACTTGTTTAATATTTGAAATGGGCCTTTTTTCCCCTCCCCCTTTTTCTCTCTTCACCTGCTGTAAATGCTTAACCTTCAGGCATCTCTCGTTTCGTCCTCATTCTAGATGATGTTACATCTTCCTCCGAGCTTATAAAAAAAGGCAGCTTCATGTGGACTCTCTCGCAAATGTCACTTATCGGCTATCTTTATACTCCACCCACAGAAAACCTTATATTTTGTATCTCATTTATCTCAAAGCTTTATGTACCTTTCCCTACATAATTTCATACTTTCTCCATGCCTTACCCTGAACAGCATTGTTTTTTTAGTCCCTAATGGCTCCTGCTTGTATCTTTTAGGGCAATCCAAGCCAGTTTGCTAGAGGACATATCCAGATCCGATGCAGAGAGAGAACCTGTCCATTTTGTTGATGGCCCTCCAAGGACTCCAGATGACGACTCAGACTTGCAAGCAGCTATTGCTCTCAGCAGACTTCAAGAAGAGGAGGATGAACGACGACGCAAAGAAGAAGAAGAAATGTTACAGGAGGTCCTAAGACTTTCAGTCACTGATAAGTGATCTAGAATGTACAGCAAGACCCTCTGAAACACAAAACTCATGAAATTACAAAGTACTCAACAAGAAAGCTGCTGATGAAATTTTATTGCATTTATGGCAGCACAGAATTGGTTGTTACTTTATATGTCAGGGTTTGACGAAGGTGATATATTAGCAGCATCTTAAAACTTTTTTCAATTTTTATATGCTTTGTGTGAAAATGATGGGTTCAGATTCACAGTTCTATTGACCATGCCTAAATTAAGGTTATTGTGAAGTGAAAGTTTTGCAGTTTTTGTGATTTTGTGTATTTTTAATTTCTCTTTTTGTCAAGGGGCTCGATTTTCTAATACTGTTCCTCATCTAAACTCAGGACCAGAAACTTTCATTTCTTCCCAGTCATTAGGAATAAAATACCACAATGACACTCCTAATCATTTAGGAAAATTCTTGGAATAGAATGACTGCATAAAATCTGTAGTGTATAATCACTTCATGATAGCCTTAACATTTTGTTGTGATGAAATCATCATCTAAGCTGCACGAAAGTTATGTACTTCTAAAGCTTAAAGTGCTTCCTGCCACACATTTCATAAAAGAAATGAAATTGGAATGTCCCTGTGCCTTTCCCTTGAGATTTTTTCTTTTCAGTTCTATTTTCTCTTTAGAGTTTTGCTTCTTTATTATTTATTATATCTTTAGTTTTGTGTCTTTTTAAGTTATTATTTTTTTGTTTTGTTTTGTGGAAAGATAATGGGTGGTGTTGCTTTTCTAAGTCATGTTAACCCCTTTTTTTGTTTTTATTGTTTAGTATTATTTCCCCAATTCCTCTTGTCTTGTTTTATCAAACAATGTATCATGTCATATCAGCTAGAGTATGGATTGGTGAGGATTGAATTGACTGCATTTAGCCGTGGAGTGTGTAGCATTTTCTTCTTACAGCACTTTCGACTTGGAATTTAAAATAGAGCAAATGCCTTCATTTTATTTATATTGATAACTTCCACATACTTGTTTTTTCCTGCATCAGGAACTGAATTAGTGGTGATCAGTACTAATAATTAATGAAAACAGATGTGGAACTCCATTGTACCACTTCCTGTGTAGGAAAGGGTTTTGTAACTGCTTCAAATTTTCTTTAAGCTTGTCTACTATATGGCTGTGTGTCAGATGAGCTGGTCAAGATTGTTGATTGAAAACTTGGCCAAAACTGTCTGTGATCTGTCTTGATTTAATAATTATCTTTTTACTCAGTTTCATCACACATAGTTGAAAATAAAGTTATCAGAAGATTTCAACTCATGCCTTCTCCCTCAATTGTTTTGTGTGCACTGCTGCTTATAAATCTTTGAGATTTTCTACATCCGGTGAAGTGTCAACCATGAATTGCACAATGCAGACCAAGCTAGGGTACCTCTTATTGGGTGATAATGAAACAACTTTGGATCCATTTACTAGTTTAATCAACACACAAAAGTGGACTTTCATTGAATACCAGATAACGGTCATATTTAAAAAATTCTCTTCAATAACACAGCACTAACAATGATGCAGTACAAGAAAACACTACGTCACCAATTGAAACTTGAGTGCTAGCAAATTACAATACCCTACTTAAATGGAACAGCACACAAAAGGAAACTTCACTTTTCCTTGGGCAACAGTAAAAAAAGTAGATTCGCCAGTTTTCCACAGTTGTAAGGCAAAGTTATCTTGTATCTAACCAAAGCACTCACGACCTTTAGAAAAATAAAATATCTTCTGACAAATGCAATCCTTGTTATGAGCAGGTAACTTAAGTCCAAAAAAAAAAAATCAACACATCTAAAACCAAAAGACCTTTGAAGTACTACATTATTGTTCTTGAGGTGCTTAAATTCTTAACCAATGAGTTGTGGTTATAACAGTACAAGCCACAGACACACAAGCTACTCAAAACCAGGAGGAAAAAAAAAACAATGTAGGTACAGGAATGATTTCAACATCAAAACACATAATCAATCAAGTGGGGAATAGAAACCTGAACAAATTAAATGTATAGAAAATCACAATGAAGTTGAAATAAGAGTACAGATTATATGTGCCACAAAATCAGTGGTCTAGTTTCCTCACTACTAAGGCTTTGTGAGGGCCAAAACATTTAACACACATTTGAGCTACACAAAATTGAAGAAGAACCAGCTCAATGTTAGGTCAAGTTCTCACCAAAATAAAAGTAGAGCCTCAGAAATTAAAACCAAACACAAAAGGAAGCTTGACCAATTGACACAACATGCCCAGTGTAGAAAGAAGTGAAAGTTATGAAGGCATAATTCTCAGTCTCAGCTTTGACTTTCTTGCACACACAATATCTCTGCATGATGTAGTATATCAATATTTTCTACAGCTCTAACTGTAACGTTGAGCAACCAGAAGGAACAAAATAGTTAAACAAGCAAACCATCCGCCAAAGTATTAGCACTCGCCCATTCTTAAAACAAGCAACATAAATACTGGAGCTCCATTGAGGGTCATATGGATGTTTTCTTACTTCCCACCAATTAATTTTTTTAAGTTTATAAATCAAGCAATACAGAAATATTTGTTTTATCATGTACAACCTGATTTAGGAACTTTAAATGTATGCATGTGACAATGTGCCAATACATTTGGGGTCAAACCAAATTTAACACATTAAGATACACAGCGCAAATTTGCAAAATTTGGTATGCAGGTACATATCTGCAATTGGCACACACATAGTAGTCACCGCTCTTCTCCATTTCTGAATCAATCCCTCCTATTTTTCCTCTGCTGCTCCTGGAATAAAAAGAATATATTGAATGATAAGATGGCATTATTTTTTAAGTTGAAAATAGTTGAAAATTGTTACAACATACTCTCTCAGTCAAAATGACGACTAAACGACGGAAAATTCCAACCAGGTCAATGAAGAGATCCAAAGAGTGAGTAACAAAGTCTTTGTCACCCATACGTCTCTTCTCCATGATGAGTTGAGTGTCATACAAGACAAAGCCACACATGAGGAGCAGGCCAAGGTAACAGTGAGCCTGAAATGGAAGAAGTTAAGATATTTAGAAATCTGTCTTAATCACAGGGTAAGACGCCTTTCAAGTAATAAATCAATTACCTGGTAAAGAAGATAAGATTGGAAGAAGATATTCATCAGAGAAAACAGGAACATGGAGCTTAAGAGAGACATCAGGGTTCCTCCCAAGTACAGCCATGATCCACGGGTAGCCAGAAGTGCCGAAGCAGAGAATGACACAAACACTGCAGCAGTGCTCAGGAAAGCCGTAACAATGATGCTAGGATCAACTCGAACCACCATGTCAAGTAGAGGTCCCATGCCCATTCCTGAAATTGAAACATAATATGAACCCATGCCAAATTTAAAATGATTTTTGAGCCTACAATAATTGAAAAGTACAAACCTGTGAAGAAGGCAGATCCCAGCAGGTATGAAAGGCGAAGCTGGCGATTTTTACCAGTGTCAGGGGTGGCTAAAAGAAGTAGAATGAGTCCAGTTGAAGCCAAGACAGTCAGAAGACCACCTGACATCCATTGGGTGAACATGTGGACATATGCGCCAACAGCAGCTGAGATGGTCGACATGGTGAGGCATGCATAAACATTGCGCAGATGCTGCCTAACAGGCTCTTCGCTGCAACAAATCAAAATAAAGGAAACACATTAAAACTGCGAGTCAATTCATTTAAAATTTTCTATCCAAAAAATTAAGCTATATGATGTGATTAACAGGGCCGAGGTACTTGATTATTGGTTCCAAAATGTAATGTTGCATCACAACTTGTAATCTTAAAAGAGCCACTCAATTTTTGACAGTTAAAAATTTAGGTGCTTTCTTATATTTTTTCAAATCATTTCATACTCAAAGATTACATCACAATCGAAGTTCTCCAAATAAAATTAGATTTGGGAATTCATGTTTTGGCACATCAATATTTCTTTGTTTCTTTCTTTTTTTGTTGAGGATTTTTAAAAAGTTGATCTTTATACAAAACTTTCAAGGGAGTAGGCTTAGTCGGCAGCTTGCTGTCAAAGTGCCCAATATTTATCGGCAAAAAAAGATTACTAAGTCCGTTAGTTGCAATAAAAATAGACGACAGGATTTGAGGCGAGCCATGAATGACAGACTTACAGTTCAAACAAACAAATTAAGTGTCAGCATAATTTAATCCAAATTGGATAAAATACTCGGATTAAAAAAGAAAAACAGAGAAGGGAAAGACAAGAGATAAGGGACCCCAGTGACAAGTGCCTAAACGGCGAGGGCGTTGAGAACAGATGATGGCGCATATTTTCGTAAACACGGTGATACTTCCAGTGAAATTTCAGCCTCTCAACAAATTACTTACACATTCGTTCCGAGAGAATTCATGAAAGACGTCACGGTCGGTGCCATGATGAGAACGGAGAATTTGGTCTGGTGTCCTTCAAAACAAAGCTTGGGCTTCTCTGCGAAAAGGGGATGCGACGAGCACCAGCGTCCTGACGAAACAATAGGGAAAACTTGATGTATCAAGCGCTACCGCGAAACCTTGGAAACCGACTGAGTCCCAAACTCTGAACGCACCTCGCTAGAATGTTTCTTCGGCACAGCGTATTGGGACACGTATGTTTTACTTTGCTCATTGACGTCACGACGTCACTCTCTCTCCTAGAGCCTAGAAGCTTCTGCGCAGGCGCACCGGGGCGAGGGCGCTGCGATCGCTTTGTCATCTCAACCAAAACAACAAGTACCCAAACCATCCAACCACTTTTCACCTCATCGACCTCGTGGTCATCCCGGTCATAGTTAGGATATTTTTTTCCTGCACTCTGTGTCCTTTGTGAAGCTGTCTGATTGGATGTGAGAAGTCTCCAAGTTATTTTCGGTATTTAAAAGTCGCAATTTTAGAAGATAAAATCTTTATGCCGGCAAACACCGCGTAAAAAAGAACGCACCCCTGGAGGCTTTTGGTTGGTTTTTTTTTTGGTAAACCAAACCGCGGAGAGAAGTTGGTTTGAGCCTAGAACTTACAAATACGGACTGCCTCCGGTGATACTCTTCGAATCTCCCTTATACATTGTAAGTAATTGCCAGTTTAATTATTTTCTTTTCAAACGCATTATTGTATGCCAACGGCAATCCACAAGTAGTCCATTATATCTGAAGCAAATAGGCGCCCCTTTTGATTGTGTAGTATTCATGCATATACATAATTGTCAGGTGCACACGCTTCATTCATTTGAAAAATTCTGATACTAAAGTTTCGTTTTTGAAAAAATTTACATTTTCTTTGCTTGGTACAAGATACAGATTTCTGAAGTTTTGCGGGAGTCTATGATAGTCTGTGACGTTTAACCTAACCTTGACCATTCCCACAGGCTGCCTAGGCCCACCATAATAGCTTGTGCTGTCAGTTGTCCATGTTGTTCACTACAGTTTGTCACATTTACTGCAGTTATGTCACAGTCTGACCTCATCCAAGTTGTTTCTGCATGTCTGATTTCAGCCGTGAACCATGTCTGGCATTGCCATTGCGAGGCTCGCTGAGGAACGGAAAGCCTGGAGGAAAGATCACCCTTTTGTAAGCATCATTATGAGTGTCACTATCTTCTGCAGTTTTTCGTTATGTCTTATCTAATTTTTTCTTTCTAATGCTCTGCAGGGCTTTGTTGCACGCCCAGCAAAGAATCCTGACCAGTCTATGAACTTGATGGTTTGGGAATGTGCTATTCCTGGCAAGAAAGGGGTGAGGAAATTTTTTTCGTAGTGATTTGGTTGCAAAAGTATATATCCTCTATTCAGAAAAAAAACTGACAAGCTGTGTCAATAATACAGGGGAAAATGTTCCTTAATCCAGGTTCCGATATTTCACTCATCTTATTGAAATGAAATCTAATTCCTTCCTTCTGTTTTAGACTCCATGGGAGGGAGGACAGTACAAACTCCGTATGATTTTCAAGGAGGACTACCCATCTACACCTCCCAAATGCAAGTTTGAGCCACCACTGTTCCATCCCAATGTGTATCCTTCAGGTAATCAATTTGTGCTTAACATCTATCTACCTTACTTCAATGAGGGGTTTTAAACCATTGTTTATTTCTTCAGGTACTGTTTGCCTCTCTCTGCTAGATGAAGAGAAAGATTGGAGATCTGCCATCACAATCAAGCAGATCCTTTTGGGTATTCAGGATCTTCTAAATGAACCAAATATCAAGGACCCTGCACAGGCTGAAGCCTACACTATCTATTGGTAGGTGTCTGTTCTACCTTTATGTGATTTTGCCTGACAATTCTCATAGGTAACACTTGTATTTTATTTTCAGCCAAAACCGACTGGAATATGAGAAGAGAGTACGAGCCCAGGCAAGGGCAATGGCTCCTCAGGAGTAAACTGCACTTACTTACTTTGTGACTGAATATATTTACAACAGATGCAATTTTTGGTTGATTGAACTCTGATGTCATATCTTACATGTGTTTAATATGCGACCTGCTGTTTTAATCTGAAGCAATTTTATTTTACTATTTTCTTGGTGATGACCCACATGGTGGAAATCGAGATGTGATTTCAAGAAGAAAACCTCATTTTTTGAATCCTGCTTGGTTTTCATTTTCCTTAACTGAAATTTGATTATTTGTAAGAATTTAGTTTTAAGATTTATGTATTAAATTTAAATTTTTGAAAAGTGGAATAATTTGTTAGTAACCCCTGTAACCCATCTCATTCTTTTCCTTAGTCATAGGGTCACAGGAGGTTTCAATAAATGATGGGTGCATACAACACCTGAAATGAAAACGTGTAATGCCTAGCACTTCAGGATTTTCAGCAAAGTATGAATTAACTCAGGGTCTTAAATGGATAAAGTCAGATTAGATAGTGAGTTTATTACGCAGTTGCAACTAATTTACAGTAAAGTTGGGCACTTAAAAAAAAATGACAATAAATTATAAAATAAGGAAATATAATCACACACAATCTCAATATGCTAGATGACAAGTGAGTAAACATAAAGACTTCAATAAAATAGCACAAGAACACTTAAATGTACATGGTCCAAGACTTCATAAGCAGTCTAGGACTAACACAGCTCATATTCTGAAAATGAAATTAACTACTGAAGCATCTCAACTACTGGGATAGAGTTTTCGTCGAGTAACATATAACCTTAAGTGACTTGCAAGAGGGAAGCTATTTGGAATTGATACTAGGAAAAATTTAACTGCATATATACCATGTCAGGCATGTTCTACGTAATTCACACGCATCACAACCCATCCATCCAGGTGGCTCCATTCAATTTCCAAGCTAAACATCTATGTAAGCATAAAATTACTTAAAAAAATTCTTTACAGATAGTACAAATATGGCACCACATGCAAAATATAACTATCAAATTAATCCATAATTGAATGTGTTCAAAGACACCAAAACAGTGTATAAAAATTTGATTAGAGCAGTCCTGGATGGGATTACTGGGAGAGGTGAAGTTTACCACATGTGGGTCTCTCGAATCTCACTAATAATGTGATTGGCTCGCTGAAGAGACTGCAAAGAAAAACAAAGGTTATTAGGCAGAGTAAACATAAAGCAGAAAATCCACTCAAAAAATCTGTACATTTGATGGAATGGAAATGAAACAAAACAGTGAGAACATTGTGCCAACCAGGGCTTGAAAAGGAATGGAAAACGAAATTAAGCATCTATCAAATCAACATTATTAAATTACATTTGTTAGAATTGCGTACCTTGAGCATGTCTGCGGCTTCCTTACGGCGCTGAGCAACATGCTCGCTTTCACTGAGCATTTCCTCGGCTTGATCAGATTTGTAGAGGTGTGTCACTAGCTCACTCTGAAGGTTGTCTTTAACATAGTTGACCAGAAAATGCATGACAGCCTTAGGAACAGAGTCCTGAATTGACTTGCGAACAATGTAAAAGTAGGAATTGATCAGCCTCTCTGGAATGGAATCATAAAATGGTCACTCACTTTCAGACGACAGTTATTATTCATTCAAAGTAAAGCTATCCTACCTATAACATCACAATCTCTCTTTTCCCTATCAGAGAGTTTTCTGCTGTGTTGAATGGGAACTTCCGGCAGCAAATTGACAGGCTTCTGAGGGCTAAGAGCCCCCGACCCAGGAACAGCTGGGACTCCCTTTGAAGGCCCATTCATCGGACCATTGACAGTACCATTGCTAGTTTCTGAGCGAGTTGGGCTAGCTGTGGGAGTGTTTTCAATGGAAGTTTCTTTACTATCTTTATTTTCTGGTTTGGGCATGATAGATGCAAGCCATCCGGCAGAACTACCTGATTCACTTGTAGTTCGATGAGCACCCTATTAAACAAAACAGCAATTAAGAAATCTGACAAATATTATTAATTACGAATCAAACCAAAAAACAAGATCACATACCTTCAATCCATTGTCAATAGCATCAGCAAAGTGCATTGTGTGGGGACGCTTTGTTGTTCTTTGTTGCTGTTGATGTTCATCTTCTACTGATTTAAGGAGAGAAGAGACCAATGCAGCATCTTTGTGGAAGTCGGGATGTTTGGTATTGATGTATGCCAATTCTATGGCCACCAAGTTCTCTACCTGTAAATTAAACAGTAAATAGACAAAATATCAAGAAAATAAAAAACCATGTCAACAAATATAACATAGATAATAAAAACCGTTTGACAAATAAGGACATATTACCATACAATTGGTGGTCGGCAATCGTCTCCTTAGCAAGTGAGTGACAACATCAACAATTTTCTCGTGCAAGCGGGGGAACCTTAGCAATTCCTGTTGCACTTCTGTGCCGCAATGTTGAATAATACGCTGCATTTCTTCATGAACTAATTCAACACAACGCAATGATGGCTCCTCCAAGCGTCTAATTTGACGTTTAACAAGGAGTTCAAAAGATACTTCGGGAACAAAAAGGGCTGGACGTGGTCCTGTGGCATTGCGTATAGCAGTGAGAATGTCCATCTTGGTAAGCCCAGCAAGAGGATGTATGGAGTCGAGGGTACGTCCAAACGTCTCATGAAAGATGTAACAAATACGAGCACCTCCACACCTGGTACAAAAAATATATTCAAGATGAAGGAACAGTCAAAAGTGATTTGAGTTGGAAAAACAGACTGGCATTAACAACTAACAATTCAGTTGTCTCTATATTGCGAGAAGTTCCTTCAATAGTTGAACAATATGCAGAGGCAAATTTGGTGATGATTTGAAGCAATGTCTGACTCTTGTCAGATACATCATCTCCATAAGAGTTAAGAAGAGACTGAAACTGGGACATCATCACATTGACCCGAGTCTGTAAACAAACATAATTGTGTGTGTTATGATATGGTAAAGAGCTGCTGGACAAACAACTAGGGATCAGAATTTGGAATTGCTCTCAGATGGCAAGGTTACACTGCATAAAAACAGTACCTCAAACCATTGTTCAAATATCCGTTCAAAAGACATCATATCCCTCAAATCAAAAGAATTCACTGAAATTACACTAAGAGGGGGATCAGAATTTGAAATTGCTATCAGAATGGCAAGGTTACACTGCAAAATGTGCAGTACCTCAAACCATTGCTCAAATATCCGTTCAAAAGACATCATTTCCCACAAATATAAAGAATCAACTGAAATTAGACTAACAGGGGGATCAGAATTTGAAATTGGTATCAGAATGGCAAGGTTACACTGCAAAAAACAGTACCTCAAACCAGTGTTCAAATATCCGTTCAAAAGGCATCAAGTCCCAAGAAATGTACTGATGACAAGACCATCAAATTGCTAAACAAAGCAAAGAAAGTGACCCAAAATAAACTAACCTTCAGATCAGGCAAACAGTCTCGAATGTGATGCATCAACAGTCGGTTTAATGTTTTAGCAAGATACGGTGTACCATTCCGTGTAGCTAATGTAGGATATTTTCTCTGTAAGTAGGCAGCTTCATCCTTCAGGGCATCTTTGATGGACTGGAAAAGAAAATGGAATAGATTAGAATGTTTGGACCTAGCAGAAAACTGTAATAGAAATTAGGAAGGAAGATGTACCTTCTTATCATTAATGTCTTTTTGAGATCGGTTCACTACACCAATAATTCCGAGTTTAACTGGGATTACTCGTCCACACAGGATGTCGATAGCATCAGTCCCTGCACAAAGCGACAAAGGAAAAAAGAAGGAAGATTATAAACCAAAGCCATGATGCATGTTAGTGATCATAGACACCAGACAGCAAAATATCACCCCTAATGCTCCTAAACTCAGAACTTTATTTTGGATGAGAACACGATGCACAGATAGGTACAACTTTGAAACAGCAAGATGCTTATCTTCCAATGCAACATACTAAACCACATCAGACTCTAGGGCAAGAAAAAAATTCAATGATGGCAAATTGATGAAGGCACTTTCTAGTTTGAGTTGACATTTGTTACACACACACATCCAACTCACAGTTATAATGGTGACTTGCCAAAGGAGAATTCCTCTGATTCTTAATGGGGAAACTGACTATAAGAAATAGAGGGAGGAACATGAATCTCAGATGATAGCACACTATCTATCAGTAAGACCTCCATCAGTCTCACTGATGGTCCTAATGGTAAATTCTTGCAGACCTTTCATTGTCAAGTTTTAATTTAATTCAAATGCTGTGCAGCACCAGTGTTTTAAATCAACTGAGTATCAGTATCAATATGGTTTCAAACAGAGTTTTTCAAGAATATGGTTTTAAACAAGTGACTTCTAAGCATTTTAATAGGGAAATAAAACTTAAGAAAATACGAAGGAAAGTGGACAGAGAGATGTGTTTCCTGAACTAAAAATTACCTGCATCCATAAGGTCAAGCTTTGTAACAACAGCAAGTGTCCTGCGGCCATCTGCATCAACATCCTTGGCCATTTTTAAGCTTTCACTTGTGGCCATATCAGTGTTGGCAGTTACAACAGCCAGAATTATACTGTTGGGATTGCCAGTGTACTGGATAACAAGAGAATGAATTTGCTGCTCTATGTCCTCAGGTTGATCCCCAATAGGAACCTATTCAAAACAGAAAAACACAATATTAATAAGGAAATAAACCGAATCAGATTCTTGAGACTAAAGCAAATGAAAGGCCTACCTTTGTTATTCCCGGCAAATCAACTAGTGTAAGATTCACTACACTGGTGGAGAAGATTTTAAGACTGATTGGCTCTGGACAAATTCCTTTGTTTGAGCCAGCCAGTCTTTCAGTTTCAGCCTCAATCTCTTGCCTAATTTCATCAAAGTCACGAAAGACTTTATTTTTATTGTGCAGGAACCGACCCCATTCCTCCAAGTTGAGGGTTCCTAGAACAGGAGGAAGTTGCACAGGGCCTCAAGAATTATCCCAAAATATTTGAACACCTTGCTAGAGAAAGCGAAGCGTTACCATCCTCAGCAGTGCGCCTCTGATCATCTTTGGGGCAATAGATCAACTGAAGAACGAGAGGGCGACGAGTGACAATGCCAGTGCCCCGAGGAAGAAATGATCGGCCCACCAATGACTCGATCACTGAACTTTTGCCAGAACTCTGCAACAGAAATTCATTTCAAAAATACCACACAAAAATGGGTGAACCAGAATACTGAAAACCAGGATGTAGTTAGAATGACAACTATTTTTTTCGCAAAAGGCTTTTGACAAAGCAGTTAATGATTGTAAAAAAATCGCTTTCATACTTATGGTCAAACAGCCGAACGAAAGATGATTCGTTTTAAAATGGCTAACTCCAGACAATGGAGAACAAAGTGCAGATATTCAGTTGCACCTAACCTCAACCAGTTACCTGAGTTCCAACGACAACAATTTGCGGGAGCTGGATGGCATCGGCCCCAACTGTATTAAACACATCTTGCAATTTGTTAATAACTGGTATAAGAGCCTCCATTTCGAAATCAGTGCAAGTCCCCCTTCATTCGCTGGTGGGACTCTGGCCGACAAAACGGCGATATAATAGTATTTTTCTGCACCCCTCCAAGACCCCCTTCTTCCTCTTCTTGTTCGTTCGCTCTTCCCCACCCCCACCCCCTTACCGGACTACACCGGATCAAAATGACCACTAACAATTTCGTCGGCACGCCAAACATTAAGAACGTACCCACATAAACAACTCCAACGTAAACTACAATCTGTAGCCCAACTTTCTTTTGGCTTATTTTCTTGAATCCTCGTCCCTCTGGAAAATGTGGGGATTCCAGGCGATGAAATAAATCTTTCTTGTCTTATTGGAGGTTTTGAATCCGGAAAACGTTGCGGTTTGAGGGTAAGTACGTGAAACAAATGTTAGCCTCTATTTGTAGCATCTTGTAACAATTGTGCCATTTTCATATATTGATCAATTTTCAATTTGAATGGCATATTTCTTTTAATTCGGCTTCCATTATTTTTAATTTGCTTAAGTTTTCATCTTGTTAAGATACTTTATGTGCATTGTTATGTTTTGACTTAACCTACAATTGTTTGTTATTTTTATCAGGATTCCTCACTATCTTTCTTGAACCATAGAATACATCATTAACCATTAGCATGACCACGTACAGCAATCATGGTAATGCTTACCCGGCAAATTCTGTATTCTTACGGGACGAGTATGACTTTGATGACGACCACGATGACCTGGAAGAGGAGCGTGAAAATGAAGAACCCGATGAAAGTGATGAAGGTAATTGCAATTATAATGCATCATCTTTTATTTTCTAATCTATTAATGCACAGAAAGATGAGCATGCTTGTTAAACTCAATTCAATCTCATTCAATGTGTTTTCTTTAGATACCGAAGAGGCAAGTGAATCAGAAATGGGAAAACCAGAAGAATATACAGAAATAAAAGAGCAGTAAGTTGGAATGCTACAGTATTGCCTATTGACCACTTTAAGCTTTACATTTTTTGATAACAATGTGCCTTTTACCCCCCCAGAATGTACAGAGACAAATTAGCTAGCTACAAAAAGCAGCTTCAACAACTCAATGATGGCAGTCATCCAGATTACAACCGCAAGCTGAAGAAACTCGAAGCTAATTATAAAGAAAGGTGAGATAAATCAATCTTTGAATGGCGTACTTGGACATTTGAGTGTTTAAAGTTACTAATATTGGGAGACTAATTATATTTTTAAAATGCAACTATTTTTGTTTTTGCAGATTACGCCTGAATATTATCTCTCGAGATTATTCCATTGAATGTATTGAAAGAGATTATGTTGTGGAAAAGAGAGGAGCTGCAAATGATTTTGAGGAAAAGAAAATAGAGCTGCGGGAAAATTTAATCGCTGATTTAGAAGAGCGCCGTAAACAAGTGGAAGCTGAGAGGCACACAATGGAACTGACAGGGGATCCAATGGAGGTATATAAATTTTTGTCCTTATTCACACTTTCCCAGCAAACAATTTGGCTTATATTTATTATTATTATTCTCATCCTTGCTGAAGCAGGTTAAGCCATCTGTAACAAGAAAGTTACGTCGGAGACCAAATGATCCCATCCCTGTGCCTGAAAAAAGGAGAAAGCCACCTCCAGCACAAGTCAACTATACTCTGGAAGATAAGGAAATTGATTCAGATTTGAAAGCTATTATTAGGGGCAGTAAAATGACTCAAAATAGTTTAAGGAAGCCAAGTAAGTTTAAGCTAACAGAGGTGTGTGGAAGTGGATCCTATAGATTTTCAAGAAGGTTTTCTGATAAAATGTTTGTTGTCTCAGATATGTTCTCAAGCTCTTCTGTGAATCGACCCCCATCCCCTATGAATGACAGTTCAAACCAAGATACTCGAATTGAAGATGGAAAACTTGTTTACGAGCGTCGTTGGTAGGATTTGCTCCGTTTGGTTCATTCAATGATTTTTTTTTATGATTATCATTATTTACTAAATTGTTATACCATTTTTAGGTTCCATCGTGGTCAACCTGTTTATGCTGAAGGAGGCAAAGACATGCCACGATTTGCTGGAAACATCTCAGCTATTGGCAATGATGTTGTAAGTAATTTACGCCCCATTTTTTATTCACACGAGTATTACATCTATTAAACTATGAATAATATAAATGTTTTCTTTTCAGATCTACGTTAAGAAGCTGGATAACACAAAAGTAAGGATTCCTCTGGTTTACTTGATTAGAGGGAAAGTCTCTATCAAGAGGAGAGCGTCTTAAAATCCTGACTGTCTCATTGACCAGAGTACAAATTTATATCTGAATGAGAAATCTTTCCTTGTAATCACTATTTATTTAAATTCCACTTCGTTGTATTTGTTAGCATAAGTGAATGATTTTTAAATGATTATTGTTTTATAACGGTTTATGTACCATTTTGCTGAAAACTGTCTACCATTGTTGATTTCTGTTAAGCATTATTCGAAAGAATCAATTTTTTTTATCAATTTTCCCTTGTCTAGGCTCAAATGAACTTATAGATGTAGTAGTTTTATCCCTACATTTGTTTTGTCTGTAGCCAGTACAGGTGAATTAATGCCAACTCTTGTCATTGTTTCACTTTTAATTGTGATTATAGAACAGTTGCATTCAAAATAAATTCATAGAAGTTTCAGCTCACAACTGCCTGTTTTAATGTTTTCACCTATGTCACACCAATCTGTATCAAAAACAAAATCACTGAGGTATGGTATCGGTCACTTACAACCCAAAAGGCCTGTTATGGAGGTAAAAACTATTCGATACTCACAGTGCAGGGGCGTAGGAAGGGTGGCCTACCTCCAGGCGGCTCGCGTGCACGTACGATGGCGCCCTCCTCCCCTGCGGCCACTGGGTGCACCACTACCTGTGAATATCACAGGACGCGTCCGAAGTGGCCGGATCGCCCCCTCCCACCCCCTCCTCGTCGCCGCGTCCGTTTTCGAACGCCCCCGCGCCTCGCCGGCTCAGTGTGGCTGCGGCGCGTTCAGCACGACGTGCCTGTCAGTCGGCTCCGTTGATCGGCCACCGGAGCACCTCGCCGTCAGCCAAGGATCAAACCGTAACAGTTGGCGGAGTTGCTGACCGTCGCGGACCGAGACGAGAACGCCGACGCCCAGTGCGCCCAGTGCGGCAGCCTTCGGCAGCCTGCGTGTCGTGAAGGGCATCATGAAGCCCAGCCGGGGCCTGGCCGCTCGAGGGGCCGCCGCCGGGGCCCTGACCGCCCTGCTGCTCGCGTCGTCGCTCATCGCCGTCACAGGTAAGCACTACGGACTACTGGCTACGTAACGCACGGGGTACGGCGACGCGGCGACGCAGCGACACTCGGAAAGGACGGCCTTCGCCGAACGCGACTACGCGACCCGGGCTTTGTTTACATTACGTGACCACGTGGGCCGACCGCCGCCGTTGACCGGGCCGCCGGCCGGCCAGGCCGTTCGTGTTTACCGACGGTGTAGTGACCCGCGGTGCACCGCTGGCGGTTGGAGCGGGTGGCTGCGAGGGACATCGCGACAGTGCCGGGACTGCGGGTTGGCACGCTCGCCCTCGCCATGACCAGCCACGACGCCGAGGCGCTCGTGTTCCCCTGTGACCACGACTCCGGGGGTCATGGGGCGGCGCGGCGCCTTGCAGCCGGGCACTCGCCTGTTGCAGCGGCCGGCCCGGGCCGAGGCCGCCGGGGCCGCCGGGGCAGAACGTCCGCCGAGGACAGTCTGCGCGGCCTCCTGGGCTGCCTTCTGGCCGGCGGGATGGTTTTCGCTGTCTTTGAACTTGGTGGTTTCTTGTGGTTCGTAGAAGAGGCGGCCGCACCGTCAGACCCCGCCGAAGCGCCCAGCTGCAGTCTCCAGCATCACCCGGACGGCGACAAAGTGCAGCCATGCACATCCCCCGGAGGTACAGTAACACTGCGCCGTGCCGAATGAGAGTGAATGAGTGAGCGGAATGAAAGAGTGCAATGAATGATCAATGAATGAGCGGGTGGATGGATGAGTTGAATAAATTAATTAATGAATAAATGAGTACTTGCATGAATGAACGAATGAGTATATTGCCAGATGAATGCAGCATCGACTGAATCAATGAGTGAATTAATCAGTGCAGGACCGAATGAATTCATTAATGAATGAATTGGTGCAAGAATGAATGACCGTACGAATGAACATGTTCAGGTCAATGCCACATCGAATGAATGAATGAATGCTCTAACAAAAATGAATAAATGGGAGAAAGATTGGCTTGGCGAATGAACAAACGTTTCCTCAGATGATTAAGTGAGGGGTTTGCATGGCTGATAAAATTCATGTTTTTAATTTTTCAGTTGTGTATTTTATGAACTTTCCAGCTTGTTCTCCACTGAATATTGTTTACTTTTTTTCAGACTCGTTGCCGCCCCGCCTGGATGCCCTCCTGAAAAGCGACAAGATCTCTCCGGAGTTCCGGACCGCGGCCGCTGCGATGAACTTTGGCACCGTTAGCCCTGCTGTCATGGGGGACATCCCAGTCCTGCTGCTGCTCCATTTATCGGTGTGTGAAGTGGTTTTTATTTTTTTCCTATTTTTTTCGCACTTCCCCCTCTGGCCACTCACGACGCTCGGTTGCAGGCCGGCTCCCTGTCCACGAGCGCCCCCCGCGCGCTGAGCGCCATCATCCGGAAGCACCCCAAGGACGTCGTGGTGGCGAAGGCCGTGCTGACGGCGCTGGACCTGGCCGACAACGAGAAGCGGACGCGGTTCATCAGAGAGGTAGGCTTCCCCGTCGGCGCCCTCTTCCTCGACCTCTTCGTCTTTGCCTAATCCGCGGCGTGCTTTCACCCGTTTCAGCTCGGCCTCACTTCTGGACTGAGTCTCGGGGTGCAGTCCGCCATCGCTGCGTCGACCGTGCACTGGTGGGGCCCGGAGCTGGAGCAGCACTCGATGGACTTGGCGATGGTGGGCAGCCCGCTGCTGGCCGCGCTGCCGCCGGGCTACCTCGCCGAGCTGGACTCGGAGCGCACGGCCAAGATGTAAGCCCTCGCGAAGCTTTCCGGGACGCCCCATGAGAGCGAGAGCCAGAATGCGAGTTTTTTTTTTTGCCGCAGGTTGATGCGGCTACGCAACCACCCCTGGGAGTCCCCCGACGACCCGTCCTGGTCGTCGCAGTCTCCGGAAACCAAGCGCGTCTGGATGACCATGTTCAAGAAGGACGATGCTTCCGGCAAGGGCCAACTCATCAACTCGGGTACCGACGGGTGAGTATTTGTAGTTATGAAAGGAACGCCACTGCAACGAATACAACTGATGTGTCCTTGTGCAGCTTGAAGATGCTGTGGGCGGGCGCCACCCCGGACGAGATCGCCGACTTGCAGTTCGTGGACACGGACAGGCGGCTGCTGACGAGGCTGTCCCACCTGACCAAGCTGCAGACGCGCGCCTTCCTGGCCAAGCTGTACCCCACGGCGGCGCTGTCCTCGCTGGAGATGAACGAGCTCTTCAGCTGGGCTTTGGACTTCTCTCCCGCCGGCCTGCAGCGCTTCCTGGCCAATGACACGGACTTCAGCAACCTGCCGGCAGCGGACACGTCGCGCGCCTCGCTGCCCACCCTGAAGCAGGTGGGCCACGCACAGTGGGCCAGAAGTCCGGTGAGGTGGCCAAAACTGTAGACGCGTTTTGAGCTCCAGAGTCGCTGAACAGGACTCGAACCGAACGTGTGATCCCACCAATGGATTCCTCGTTCGGAGAGCAATCCATTGGTGGGGTCACACGTTCGATTCGAGTACCTTTTAGCGACTCTGGAGCTCAAAACGCGTCTAGAGTTTTGTCCGCCTCCACCGGTCTTCTGGCCCACTGTGCGTTCGAACCCAGCAGACCGATTCCGAGAATCGTGTTCGTCGCTGTGTCTTTCTCGCACCTCCACGGGACGCCCCATGAGTGCGAGGGAGACGGGCAGGGCCTTGACGCTGCTGTTTGCGCAGGTCCTGGAGCAGGTGGTGGCGACCATGGTGATCCAGGGGCGCATCGAGGAGGCCGGGGCGCCGGGCACGTGGGCGCGCAGGATCAAGGACGTGGGGCGCCTCGCCTACCTCATCAGGGCCGACCGCCTCGCCAACTACAGCCAGCACCAACTGCCCGCCGACGTCCTGACTGCCTTGGACACGTACAAGCTGTCGTCGCTCCAGGTTCGAACCCCATCAGTTTGTTTGTCGGGTGCAAGCGCCACGGCATACGATCATGTGTGGTCTAGCCCGTAATGGTAATGGTAATGGCGGGTAGGCCGCGCGCGCGCACCCGTGCGCTCCACGGGCAGGGTTGCCTACCCACCGGGCGTTCTTCTGCATCGCTTGTCTCTCCCCAGGCGCGGTGTCTGACGAACAACGGCAAGTTCCTGGACCTGCAGCGCCCACTCAAGGACCTGGAAGGACTGCACGGCTTGACGCTGGCACTGAGCACGGGCAGGCTGGCGTCGCTGAGAACGTCCACCGTCAGCAACGACGTGATGAACCACCTGCTGGAGTCCCTGCCCGCCACGAACCTGGGCCGCGCCTCCGTGCTGTTCAACAAGATGCGTGCCTCGCTCTGTAAGAAGCTGCTGCTTTCGGCTGCAGGCTGCAGACCTTGCGGGTGCGGAGTTCTGACCACTGCTTCTTTTCCAGCCGAGCCCAAGGTGCTGGAGGCGGTGCTGCGGAATCCGTCGCCGGGGCAGTTCTGGGCGCTGGTGTCGTCTCGCGAGGTGGCCGCCGAGCGCGAGGCCCTGGAGAAGGCCCTGTCGCGGACCAAGGCGCCCGTGGCCAGGTCGCGGGGCATCTTCGACCTGGGGATGTGGATCGACCAGCACCTCAACAAGAAGGACGGCATCGAGGAGCACTTGCGGTTTTTGCCCCAGGATACGGTTTGTGTTTCGAACCAGACCCAGACCGTTTAAATTTAATAATTTTTAAGTGACCTGATTTTGATTTTTACAGCTGTCTGCTGTGTTGGGTTCCGCTCGCCGAGAGCTGGCTTCGTCGTCAAATTCTTCAGGGAGCGTCGTCTGGACGTCGGACACTCTCTTGGCGGCGGACAGGCCGCTGGTGCGCGGCGCGCTGCTGGGCCTGACCTGCGCTGACGTGATTGCCATGGACCTGGTGGACCTCCCCGTCATCGTGGCCGCCCTGAACCGCCGCGTCGAGGAGGCTGGCGTGGTGAGTGTGCTGCTGCCCGCCGGTTTTAACTCTGAGTACATGTTCCGACTGGGGGCCTTGGGTTGCGCAGGCCTTCCCCAAGAGGCTGCAGCACTGCCTGCAGCGCGCCATGGAGGACTACCTCGCGATCAAGAAGCGCATGCGCCAGTACCACCCCGACGTGCCTCTCATCGAGGTCCTCGAGCCCAGCGACATCGAAGCGTTCGGAGGTACTGTCACTCTGCCCGTCCGGAAGGCAGCCGCGCCGACTGGATGTGAAGCTTGAACCGTTTTGTTTGACCGCAGGCTACCTTCTGTCTGCACTGCGCCCCGGTCTCATCCAGCAGTCGCACTACGCCAAGCTCATCCTGTCGTCCATCGGCTCGCTGTCGCCGCAGGAGCTGTTGGCCGCCGCGCCCAGCCTGGAGCGCCTGCGGGAGTTCGCGCTGCAGCTCGTGGACCTGTACCGAGCGGTGAGCCCCTCGCACAGTGGGCCAGAAGACCGGTGGAGGCGGACAAAACTCCAGACGCGTTTTGAGCTCCAGAGTCGCTAAATGGGGCTCGGGCTGAACGCGTGACCCCACCAATGGATTCCTCGTTCGGAGAGCAATCCATTGGTGGGGTCACACGTTCGATTCGAGGCCCATTTAGCGACTCTGGAGGTCGAAACGCGTTTAGAGTTTTGGCCGCCTCCGCCGGTCTTCTGGCCCACTGTGCCTCGCCGGTGCGTCGATGCGCCTCCGGCGGCGCGGCCTTGACCTTAGCTTTGCTTTCAGACGCGCTCCGTGGGGCCGCGGTGCCTGTTCGCGCTCGGCAACCTGCACATGTTCCTGCCCCCCGACGTGATCACCGCCATCGAGCCGGACGCGTGGAAGCTGTTCGTGGAGGCCCGGGCGGGCAGGCCGCTGTCGCTGGCCGTGTGTGGCGGCAGCGAGCAGAGGGACGCCTGGCACCGCCTCACGGTGCGCGCGTTCGGGTAAGTGTTCGGCCACTCCGCCGAGCCTCCGCGTCGTCGCCCCCCTCATACTGGTCATGCCCTGCCGCAGCTCGCCTTCGCTGTGGTCCGCTGGCGTGGTGGCCGCCCTCGGCGACGTCATGGCTGCCCTCCCCGGCGACGTCCTGCTCACCGTGCGCATGCCCAACTGGCGCGACGCCGCTGACACCCTGGCCGAGCGCACCGTCTACCACCGCCCCACCGGCGTGGCCGGCAGCGACCAGCCACGGCCTTTCGTCGAGGTGAGTCGTGTTCGGGTCGGGGTGAAATTAATGGGCTTGCGGATTTGAACCCGGGGCTTTTGCTTTTCAGGTGTGCCGCTCGCTGCTGAGCCCGGAGGAGCAGTCTTCGTACTACTGGAGTGTGCGGCGTGTCGCGCGCTTGTACCTGCGCGCGGCGCAGTGGCTCCTGGACACGGTGGAGGACGCCGACAAGCTGGTGCGTCGCCTCATGCCGCGCAGCTCGCGCCCGCACTTCGCCATCTCGCACCATCGGCAGGCCGCTGTGGTGACGACCACCACGGAGGCGCCCACCACCACCAGCTCGACCACCACGACCACGGAGGTCACCACGACGGAGGACCCCTTCGGCAACTTCGATGACTTCCTGACGTCCAAGGACCCCTGGCTGGTCAGCGCCTTGTCCACGCTGCTCCCCGTCCCGCAGGAGCCACCCAAGACCGTGATCGTGGACAAGGACCCCGCTTCCACGACGAGCGCTGCGGAGACGACCACTGCCTGGACCACGGACGGCCCCTCCACCGTGCCGACCGCGGGTAAGCCCAAGCAATTTCACGTTCGTACACTATCCCTCAACACCTTCCAGTGTCTAATGACGTTACTTCCTTGCAGCGGCGAGCCTGCCCGAGCTAAAATCGTGGGATGAGTCCGACGTCAGCCAGTCCACGTCGGCCCCCAGCACTTCGTCGGCGACGTCGCCGCTGACGGAACGCGCGTCGGAGAGGAGCGACGGCACCCCTGCGCCGCAGTCGGTGGACTCGCTTCCCGCCCTCACGACGGCCCTCTACCCCAACCAGAGCACGTCCGGTGGCCAGCTGAACCTGAGCGCCACCACCGCCAAGTACAGCGCGGAGCTGGCCGACAAGGAGGAGGCCCTGGCGGCCGCCAACGTGTCCACGATCGGTAAGGGGACGCTGGGGGTCGGCGTCGAACCACTAGGCCACGCTGCGAGTCTACTTTGGGTTTCGCTTCTGTCCGGCAGCAGTCCCCGCCGTCGCTGGAGAGCGGAAGGGGCAGGATGGGCTGGAGGACCCCGAGGCGGCCGTCTTGGCCGAGAACAAGGTGCGACGCCGGCGGTCGGACGCCGCGGAGGACGAGATGGAGCACCAGATTTCACGCGATGTGCAGGTTCAGGTGAGTGCGGCCATTCAGCTTTCGCCTTGCAGCCCCCACAGTGTTTGAACCTCCCCTTCGTCTTCCCCCGCCAGGTGACGTGCGACGCGCTGCGCGTGCTGGGCGCCGCCTCCTCGCTCGCCATCGTCAACAGCGACCCGGAGCACATGCTGGACTCGGAGGTCAGCGACTGCGTGGAGGAGCTGGGCGCTGTGCGCCTCGGCGCGAGCGTCGCCAGGGACTTCTGGACCAAGATACCAGAGGTGCAGTACGCGGTTGCGACGAAACTCCCCTCAGCCAGGCGCGGGATCGGGATTTTGTCTGACTTGGTTTGGTTTTGCAGAAGCAGCGCTTGGACTGGCTCGGAGACATGGGCCAGCTCGTGCAGGGCATGCCCGTGGACGAAGTGCCTCGACTCAACCTGAGCCTTGCTCACGAGAACGTATTGGACACGCTGAGCGTCGTCGGCAGCCACGTGACGGACCGGCAGTGGTGAGTGCCTGTGCAGCAGACTGACGCCGAGACTCGTCTTCGTCGCTCTGCCCCTCTCGCACTCGCGGCCACACCGTGTAGGTGCGAGAGGCAGAGCGACGAAAACTCTGAGCTGGCCGCGCGGGCTCATGCTTGACGTGACGTGTGTGCAGCTGGACGCGGTGGCGACGCAGCTGGAGCTCCAGAACCCGCAGCTCCGGACGGTGGCCGGCACGGCTGGTGGCACGACGGCCGGCGACGTGGACCCGGACAGCCTGCTGGTGGCGCTGGGGCCGTTGGCGTGCTCGCTGCGCGTGGACCTGCAGCGCCTGCTGCTGTCGCGGCGCGGCGCCCTGCAGCACGCGGCCCGCAGCCTCCAGGGAGTCGGCGCGCGCTGCAACTCGACCTGCTTGAAGGAGCTGGCGACGGCCGCGGTGGCGGACACGGCTCTGGGGCACCTCTCCTCGTGGACGGCCGAGGACGTGCGGGACTTGGGCGTCATCGTGGCGGGTGAGGCTCTCGCCGCGTCTGTCAAAATGTTACCAACCACTGCCGCCGCCTTTCTGACGCCCTTCTGATACGTTTTCAGGACTCGCTCCGGAGCAGCTTCAGGAACTACGGAAACCTTTGGACCAGGTGGAGCAGCCCGTTTCCGGGCTTGCCGCCAGCGCGGTGGCCTGCATGACGCCCGAACAAGTGCAGGTGCGTACCCTTCCCTCCATGTTTGTGCCGCACTGACTGCCCCACCCTCTGACTGTGTTGCTCCGCCCTTAGGCTCTCGGCGACCACCTCGGAGTGCTGTCCCCGGTGGCGGCCGCCGCGGTGACACCCTTGCAGCTGCAGTCGCTGGCGTCTACCCAGGAGAAGGACTTGGTGCGCGTGCGGGACTTGGTGTTCACGCGCCAGCTCGGCAAGACACCCAACGACGACTACATGCCGCCGTCGCAGGCTACGCCGTCCTCGCGCGCCCCCTCAGCCCTCGGCCTGCTGCTCCTTGCCTCAGTCCTGGTCCTTTTCCGCAACTGAACGGCTGGTGACGTTAAAATGCCGTATTTGAGGAACGATCTCGTTTTCTGTATTTATCTATTTATTTATTGATTGTGATTTGGTGATGTGGGAGTATACCTGTTTATTGTTAAAATTTTCCACGAAACTATTATATTTAATTAGGAAGTATGATGATCGTTACGTAGTTCTATTTGTTTTAAGAACAATGTTGATTTTTGTATTTATTTGTTGTAATTTGGTGTTGCGTATAAATTTATCCTGGGAGTTTACCTGTATATTGTTAAAATTTTTCATGTAACTGTTGTATTAAATTGGGAAGTATGTTGAGATCGCTATGTAGTTAATAAACATTATTTGATTTGGTTATTTCTGGAGTTGTCATTCCACTCTGTGAAGGGAATACCACCGTGTCCTCCACGCTCAGAGATAATATTGATTGCGGCGCACCCAGCGTTCCCAATCGGGTGACGGTCGGGGAATGCCCTTTAGCAGCAATTTATTAAGGACCTCCAAGTGCCTTTTGCCCTGAGGTACACATACCTTTACACACCCACCCCCGCCCTTCCCAGAGCGTCGCCTAGAAAGTAGCACGGCCACCTCGTCCCTTCGGTCTCCCTCAGGGCGACGGATTTAGGGCGACGGATTTTGGTTCCGCTCTTGATCCGTGGTACAGACCGACACGACATGTTATCGAGGGTGACTTTGGGGAATAACGCAAAGCTTCGCTTTGCTTTCAAGTGCCTGCTGTTAGGGAATACCCGTTCCTTCCGGCCGCGCTGGGTATAAAGCGGCTGGCTCCAAAGTCGCTCGGCAGTCGCTTCGAACTCCGAACCGCCACCCGTTCGAGATCCTCCTCAGTCGACACCGGCCTCTTCTGTCTGCAAGTGCTCCAGGCCCTCCAGGCGTCATGGAATCCAAGGACAATCAAACGGCTGCGGCGGCCAAGGCTGCGGCGGCAGTTCAAGCCAACAAGGCGGACCAGAAAAACTCTGACCACGAGCCTTCAGGTCCAGGTAAGGCACACTCGAACACATTTCATTTTTTTTTCGACATTAGGCGCCCCCCCCTCCCCATCTTATAAATGGCGCATGTACCTTTAAATTTAATTCTGTTTCCAAACCAAATACACGTTTTGAAAAGATTCTCCAGACCTAAATTTTACTTTAACTGCATGTCTGTTCCTTACACTGCAATAATGTTCCAATGCATAATTTTTTTTACTACTTAAAATTAAAAGGGGAAGTCACTCAGTTGATTCCAGCCAAGGGCAGCTGAAATTGAACTGCTTTTCAAAATGTCCCCTTTTTTTTCCAGGCTGCAAGAGTGGCTATCACGGCATCGGATCGAAGCCCGACCTGGACAACCATTCTGAGCAGCTGAACCCAAACAATGCCAAGTTCGGCGGCGGAAAGTGAACCTTAAGTTTGAGAAGTCAGTAACAAACGGAATGGATGAATAAAACAAATCAATGTGTTAACGGACCTTCATTAACTTGTCCCAGGGACTCACATGAGGATGCACAAATTTGTTTCCGTCATCATAATGATAATAATAATTTTTTTTTTTCAAAAAGTCAAATTACACTTGTAGTAACAAAATTTGGGCAACAAATACATTTTAACTACGTTAAACATAAATCATTTAAACAAAATTGCTCATCTTAACCAAAGTACTGCAAAAAGACGCACATAGATAATCACAGGAAGAGAACCTAAATTTTTGAATCACACATTCACCACAAAAAAAGAATATATCACAAGATACAAGAATCAATAAGTCTAAACAGAACCACAGAACACTTGAGAAACCAGTATTCACCCATTTTCATTAGAATATCAAACTAAAACATACCCTCTAGAATTAGACTGACAGAAATAAATTACATTGAAAAAATTAATGAATGATATTGTCTTAACTGTTTCATCATTAAAATAATGAAGCCACACGTAAGTAATTATTGAATGGGAGTACTTAGGTTCTTAAACAGGAATGGATTTTTAGCTGTGAGCAATTATTAAATAAACAACATGAAGCAGTCTCTTAAATAGGTTCAAAACAAAAACATAAAAAAGATTAGTCTATTGGCAGTAGTTGATATTTGTTTTTAAAACAAGAAGAATTAAGGTGATGCACTGGGTGGCCTATCATCAGGGGAACTGTAACAGAAAATAATCATAGACTAAAAAGCATTGGTACTTGATTGCTGATAACAGATGTCGATTGAAGAAAATTTAACTCACCTTTCATCCTTTTCTGGCTGATCTGATGTATCCTTGTCACCTTCCTGAGGAAGACTCACATCTCTCTGAGCTGATATAAAACACAAAATCAGGATGTTACAAAAAAAAAAAAAATGCTGATAGTCACTAAAAGATTTGCTAACGAAGAAAGAAAATTAGGCTTACCTTGCTTGAGATTTGAGTAGAGGGGAAGTGATGAAGGCATCCATGAAAAGGGAAGGTTGTGAGGCTGTCGAGTTGACTGACGTGGTGGGGAGGGGCTTTGATCCCGCGCCTCTGACAGTTCCCTAACAACATGCAATAATAATAATAATAATAATAATAATAATAATAATAATAATTACTAATGATCTTGTTTGAATTTTAGTTTAGAACCTACTAATTAAAATACACACCTCAATTTCACACAAGGAAGCCGCAAGGAGTCTAACAGCAGATCAAATGCCTGAGAACAAAGCACATTTGTCACATCAAGGCAGGAAGTCAATAGCTGGTGGGGAATTTTACATCTATGACTTGATTTACCTCATCTTCAGTCCACTCAATGCCTGAGTGGCTGTGACTTGGTGAGGTCACAGGTGAGTGAGTTGATCCTCCACGAGCTCCACGCCTTGAAGTGTGGTTGTGGCGAAGAGGCCTTAAGAGGGACCGAGAACTTCCCAGCATGACTAAACAGACGAATTAACAAAACATTAGCACCTGAAAAAACATGTGGTAAAGAAGACGTGAAGAAGTGAAGTACCTTTGGGAGGAGTCAAATGGGCATCAGATGTGGGACGGTTATCCCCTGAATCCACTCGTGGTAGAGATGCGCCTGCTTGACTAGGGGAGTTGTACATGCTAGCAAGACTAGCTGGACCACTGGCTGAGTTACCAGACAGCGCATTGGACGAGTTGATCACAGCTCTACAAGGTGGAATATTGGTTGCATTGCTTGCAGCTCCCGTTGGCAGGTTTGAAATAATACTGGAGTCACTCCGCATGGCAGTTGGAGATACACTTGATGACATAGGTTCACCACCATTGTTAGGTCTAGTGGCACACCTATAAACATAAAAAGTTCATACAAAATTAAAACAATTCGTTATTTCTGACATAAAATGCCTGCTACTGTTGAAAAAGCACATGTGGTGTACCTTGATGGGGATGAAAAGACAGCAGCATAATCTAAGAGACCCAAGTTCAAGGTATTGACAACATCACTTGTAGGCATTAGTTGTGGGCATCCAACTGAAGGAGGAAAGAAAGCAAATGGTTACAAATGGTCTTTAAAGGACGTGCCTAAATACTATTCTCAACTGATACTGTATTAAACTTATTGAAGGTCAGTTAAAAGATCATACTTGGTGGTTTGTACACTCTTGGAGTCCATGCTGCATTTTCTGGCAAAGGGTTTGTTGAGTTATTTCTATCCTGCATCTCAAACAGATGCAACAACATTATCTCATCTTCCAGGCTGTCAGTTGTTGCTCTTCCTCTGCAAGACATAAGACAGGATTCCCAACAAAGATATTAAAAAATGAATTTACTCAGGATTAACTTTTTTAAAGGAAAATTATTGGTACCTACCCAAAGGATTGATCTGCGTCACGGTCCCGATAAAATAATCTTTGAGCCATTGAAAACTCAACATCATTGTCACCTATAAAAAAATAACAACATTGTAGTCAAGTCTATAGTTATGGCCTCTGAACCTTAGTTACCTTGAAAAGTGAGTGATCACTCACCAGACATAGTTTCATCATCAACATCATTCTCATCATTGGAATTATCTTCTGCTGTGCATTGTGATGTTTCCACTTGAACCACATCATCGCCATCACTGTTTTCCTGAAAAAAGAAATAACAATTAAAAACAAATAACAATTGTAAAAAAAATAATTATGCATCATCTACAAAAATAAAACTAAGACGCAAAGTACCTCAGTATCACTACTTTCAGGGCTGTTTACTGCACTGACAGCTACATTTGAAGTAGAGGATGACAGTGATGCGGATGAAGCTTTTCCTCCAAGGGCCTCCACCTGCTGGGCTGGCATTGTTCTGATACCTTCAGAAGATTTTCCACTGGCCAGCTTTAAATGTTCTTTTCTTTGAGGAAACTCTGGTATTTCAGTGTCAGCTAGAGTAAGAGCTGCTATGATAGAGCTGCTTTTGACAGGTGTTCTTCCAGGTCCACAGGAAGAGGAAGAAACACATGCAGCTCCAGTACAACTAGGGTCAGCTGGCTGATTGTTTGAACCTTCCTCCCGCGGTTGAGCTGATTTTGAATTTTGTCTGGTGGCAGAAAATATTTGTAAGTGAGGTATGCACTTGGAATAAGCATAAGCTGCAAAGGGAATAAAACAACAGAGACATACTTGGTACTTCCTGTTATAGAGGTGAGCGAAGTGGCGGAAATGGCAGGAGTGGCTTGAAGTCCCGCTACAACAGCATTGGTAGGCTCAGCAATGCTGAGGGAGGCTTCTGAGGAACCACGAGCAGCAGTCAATGCATTATTGCGGTTAATTTCAATACTCAAACGCTGCAGAGACAGACACAAGTTTTACTGTAAAATTCCATGCCTTTCAAGTTACAAACATTTAATTTTACTACTAAAAGGAAGACTCACCTCTTTTAGCTCATTTATTTGTGCTACATACTGGTTTTGGACAGTGATCATTTGGTTAATGTACCATTGTTGATCCCTACAGCGCTGGAAAAATGTTGGTGGTCGGACTTGAAACCTGAAAAGTTAATGTAATTAAAAAATTAGTGGTGCAAACACAGTATGATATTCCACGAGAAAAATGAAGATTTCATACCTTAATATAAGAGAGTCATTTTCTGTGTTGAGGTAACCCTCACTGGCGAGAAGATCCAAACGGAAAAACCGGTTGTAGCCCCAACATTCACCAATTTCAAAATCTGAAGCAAATTCACGAACAATATTTTTGCTAGCATCTCTTGAACCTTGATGAATCATTTCCACTCTGTACTCGTATCTATAAGAAACACAGATTAATTGGTTAATTATTTAAAGGCCACGTTGAAAGTATCTCACGTTCTTCTTATCATGTAAAACTGAGTCATACTTGGAAGTTTCAGGCAGGCCAGCACTCAGCTCCAAGAAAACTGACAGATAATTCCCTCTAACAATGCCATTGCCATCTGGATACACTTTCAAGCGCCAGCACAACCCATTGACATGAAGAGGAGCAGAATAAACAGGGTCTGCTTGGTGCTGCATTTGAGTGAAGTTATGCAGGGTGAACGTGCTGCTATCATAACCTGGCACAATTTCACTGTAAAAAAGGATGCAAAATAAATAGTTAAAACAGTTTCCAGTTAGAAGGCAAGTTCAGATGGTGCCATAAATGTTGATTACCTCTGGAAATCTGCTGGTACAGGAGCTGTAACAAAACTAGCCATTGGCTTCTTTCTGACTTGATGTATCATTCTGGACATATCTCGACTTTTAGCTATTAACTCTGATTGGGTACAGCTATGCAACTGGTGCTCCACTTCCAGAAGGAGGGCTTCTAGTTGTTCAGTCTCCTGTGTCAGAGAGGTCTTTTGCCCCATTAACGTCAGCAACTTGGCTTTAAGCTGAGAGTCCAACCTTGCAATCATTAGCTCAACGGCATTTCTAATTTCTCGTACACGTTCATCCTTGGCAGCTCTTACAGATTCAACATTACGTTCCTGAACAAAACATCAAATACAATTTGATCATATGTATCACAAAAACCATTATAACAAGTTACAGTATTAAAAATGGAAAAGGGATAGTTACCACTTCTTGAACCAGACTTATCAGTTCCATCAACCGCCGCCGAAGTCTGGCCACTTCAACTTTTATTTGCATCATGTGCTGTTCGTAAACTTCTTCCAAGGGCTTGAACATGTGTCCTGAGTGTGTACCACCCCAAAGGGCACATTGATGACAAATACAGCACCGACATGTCCAACAGAACACTGATAGTTTTTCTTGATGAGTTTCACACCTGTTTTCATAACATCAGGTTTAGTGAATGATGAGGAGAAATATATCAAAAGAAAAACTGGGTTCTTTCATACTTGTCCCTCTCATTGTCAGCGCCCCTTGTTGTAGTGAAACCAGCCGCTTGCAAAGTATCTAGCTGTTGAGTAACTTCCTCGACCCATCGGCAGTTGACCAGCTCATGAAGATGGAGAGTAGCTCGACAATGAGGGCACTGAGATCTTTGTTCTGTCAGCCATCGACGGATACAAACATAACAGCAGAGTTTTGAGCAATGAGGACACAAATGAGCATCACGGAGCTTTTCCATGCATATGAAACATCGAAAGACTTCTGCCAATGTCTGAAAACAAAAATGAAGGCACAAACACATGAGAAAATAAATAAATGGGAAAGGGGGAAGTGACACAAATCACATAATAATGGGCTGCCATCAAGTATACAGGCTAAGGGGCATTTTAATTCAGACAAGTATTCAAGGAAAATACTGGCAAATCCTGTCATTCTGCCAAGATCTAAAATAAATCGTTTCTTTGACGAGATGGGAAATAATTTGACACTAACTCAATGGTAACTAACCTCAACGCTGTGTTCGTCATCATTTCTAGCTCCTTTGTCCTTGCCTGACATTCTTCTGACCGCAAATAAGGAGCTTTCAGTGATAAGAGCGTTTCTTAGAAATCATCATAGAGTCAACCAGGCCATTTGGAAATTTAAATTTTGGTTCTTTGTTCGAACTGTTTTGACATGACAATGAATAGGCCAAGGCAGCCACCAGAAATGAAAGTGGTGAAAACGTAAAGTCCCTATGCTTGGATGATAAGTCCAAGAAACCGTGGAGCTCAGCTCATCAAAACAATCTGAAAAATATAGGTAAAAAATTTCGCAGACAACATCATTGTAAAATAAATTTTTCAAACCAGAAATCTCACAGCTGCTAGGGATTTCATTATACAGCAGTTGGTAGAAGGAGTTTCCAAAACAACTGTCAAAGTCAAATAAATGACCTAATAATCCATTGATAAATGAAATGTGTATCAATGGAATTGATGAAGGTTTTTGTCAAGAAAGGAAAAGTAAAAAATCGAACTTTGTATCATTTTTTATGTCAACTTCACCCTCTTACTGACAGATTAGTGCGAGTTGGTGTGTGCGCTTGACCTTCATAGTTGCCGACAGTTTCACAAGTTTCTCGAATGTTTGCAAGGCAGTGGCATTGGCATTAGTCAGACATTTTACAAATCGCCAATATCCGCAACTTTTGCCAGCGGCGTTCAGCGGCGCAGTTGGTGAATTCAGCGGTCACCGCCCCGGTCCTCCAAGTGTGACTTCTTTGTAGAAAAAAAAGGATAGCTGATACAACGGCTCTTGTGTCCGATGTATAGTGCAGAAGTGGTGGACAATTCCGTTGATCCCCCAGCCAAGAAGCGGAAAGTTGCTTCAGCAGACTCCACTGCAGCGAAGTCCGTTTCAACGTCTCTCTCAGACATGGCGAAAAATGGATCATCGAGCTCCGGCCAGGAAATTGACGAGGGTCTGTATTCCCGGCAGCTGTATGTCCTGGGCCACGATGCTATGCGCCGCATGGCGAGCTCGGACGTCCTCATCTCAGGGATGGGTGGCCTGGGTGTGGAGGTAGCCAAGAATGTCATCCTCGGTGGAGTCAAGTCGGTCACTCTCCACGACGATGCTGCGTGCTCCATTGTGGATTTGTCGTCCCAGTTCTACTTGTCGGAGGCTGACATTGGCAAGAACCGTGCCGAAGCATGCCACCAGCAGCTGTCAGAGCTCAACACCTATGTGCCTACTGTCGCCTACACTGGTGCTCTCACCGAAGACTTCCTCAGCAAGTTCAAAGTGGTGGTGCTGACTCAGAGCTCACGGAGTGAGCAGCTTCGTATTTCTGAGTTTACTCATGCCAATGACATCGCGCTCATCATTGCCGACACCAGGGGAGTGTTTGCACAAATCTTCTGCGACTTCGGACCCAACTTCACTGTCGTCGACACGACAGGTGAGAGCCCAGTCTCAGCGATGATTGCTAGTGTATCACGTGATGCTGAAGGTGTTGTGACATGTCTGGACGACACTAGACATGGTCTGGAAGATGGTGACTATGTTACTTTCTCTGAAGTTCAAGGCATGACAGAACTAAATGGCTGTGAGCCCATGAAGATCAAAGTTTTGGGCCCATACACTTTCAGTATTGGTGACACCAAGAACTTCTCAGAGTATGTCCGTGGTGGTATCGTTTCTCAAGTTAAGATGCCCAAATCTGTTAACTTCAAATCTTTCAAGGATGCCCTGAAGGAACCTGAATTTGTCATGACAGACTTTGGCAAATTTGACTATCCTGCTCAGCTTCATGTGGCATACACCACTCTGCACAAGTTTGAAGAACAGCATGGAAGACTGCCCAACCCCTGGAATAACGCAGATGCCGAAGAGTTTGTCAAGCTGGCCGCTGACGGTGGAAGTGATGCTGAACTGAACGCCGATCTTCTCAGCAAGTTCGCTAAGGTGTGTAGGGGAAGCCTGAATCCTTTGAACGCTACTATTGGTGGTATTGTGGCACAGGAAGTTATGAAGGCATGCAGTGGCAAGTTCCATCCCATTTACCAGTGGCTGTACTTCGATGCCATTGAGTGCATTCCACCTGCAGGTGTTACTGAAGATGACGCCAAGGCTATTGGAAGCCGTTATGATGGACAGATTATGGTGTTTGGTCAACAGTTCCAGAAACAGCTTGGTTCCCTGAAGTATTTCATTGTTGGAGCAGGTGCTATCGGTTGTGAACTTCTGAAGAACTTCGCCATGATTGGTGTAGGAGCTGATGGCGGTCAAGTCACTGTCACTGACATGGATTTGATTGAGAAGTCTAATCTGAACCGTCAATTCTTATTCAGACCTCATGATGTTCAGAGGCCCAAGTCTGGTACCGCTGCCCGTGTTATCAAACGGATGAACCCCTCTATGAATGTTGTCGCACATGAAAACAGAGTTGGCCCTGAAACAGAGAAGACCTATGATGATGCATTCTTTGATAGTCTTGATGGTGTGGCCAATGCTTTGGACAATGTTGATGCCCGCATCTACATGGACAGGAGGTGTGTTTACTACCGTAAGCCGCTACTTGAATCTGGCACTCTCGGCACCAAGGGAAACACCCAAGTTGTGGTGCCATTCCTCACAGAATCTTACAGCTCTTCTCAGGACCCACCAGAAAAGAGCATTCCCATTTGCACCTTGAAGAACTTCCCCAATGCCATTGAGCATACTCTTCAGTGGGCTCGTGACAACTTTGAAGGCCTGTTCCGTCAAGCTGCTGAGAATGCTGCTCAGTACGTCCAAGATCCCAGCTTTGTTGAGCGTTCTCTCCGACTGCCCGGAGTTCAGCCTGTGGAAGTATTGGAAAGTGTCAAGACAGCACTGGTCTCCGATAGACCGAACTCCTTTGAAGACTGTGTTGCCTGGGCCCGCAACCATTGGCAAGACCAATACTGTAATCAAATTCGTCAGCTCCTCTTCAATTTCCCACCGGACCAGATCACCTCAAGTGGCCAGCCTTTCTGGTCAGGTCCGAAGCGCTGCCCTGTACCCCTGACTTTTGATATTAATGACCCTCTTCACCTTGATTATGTCTGGGCTGCAGCTAATCTGAAGGCGGAAGTTTATGGAGTTCCTCAAGTCCGTGACAAAAGTGTTATTGCACGCATGGTGGCTAATGTTGTTGTGCCGGAATTCACTCCTAGGTCTGGCGTCACCATTGCTGTCACTGACTCGCAGTTGCAGATGTCAAATGGCAACATGGATCATGATATCGGAGCACTTCAGAAAGAGTTGCCTTCTCCTGAGGAACTGAAGAATCTGCGTATCACTCCTCTTGAGTTCGAAAAGGATGATGACACCAACCTTCACATGGACTTCATTGTTGCTGCATCAAATCTGCGAGCTGCCAATTACAAAATTCCTCCAGCTGACAGGCATAAGAGCAAGCTGATTGCTGGCAAGATCATCCCAGCTATTGCTACTACAACCTCTGTTGTTGCTGGTCTGGTGTGTGTGGAACTGTACAAATTAGCCCAAGGCTTCAAGGAATTGACGCCATTCAAGAATGGATTTGTCAATTTGGCGTTACCTTTCTTTGGTTTCTCTGAGCCAATTGCTGCTCCACTCAACAAGTACTACGAGAAGGAGTGGACCTTGTGGGACCGCTTTGAAGTGACCGGAGAGCTGACGCTGAAGGAGTTTATTGACTATTTCAAGGAGAAGCACCAACTTGAAATCACCATGCTGTCGCAGGGTGTGTGTATGTTGTACTCATTCTTCATGCAGAAAGCCAAATGTCAAGAGAGAATGGGACTGCCAATGTCTGAAGTAGTGAAGAAAGTTTCTAAGAAGAAGTTGGAGCCTCATGTACGAGCTCTAGTCTTTGAACTTTGTTGCAATGATGCTGAAGGGAACGACGTGGAAGTGCCTTATGTAAGGTACACTCTTCCTCGCTAAGCTGCATTTTTCTGGTGCTGCTTGTTTTCTGCTCGCCTTTTGTGGGGACTTGACATCTCTCTTTGAAGGACCATGAAATGTTTGAAGTGAAAATTACATCTTGCCACTCTCCATTTGTATCGCGAACTCTAAATTTGGAACAAGTGTGTGTTTTCTTGTCCGTATTCATTGGACCACCCTAATTAAAATTACTGTAAATGTAAAATTCATTTTCTGAGTCTCTGCCTTTGTTTTTCTAATGATTATTCCTGATTAATGATTCATTTTTTTTAAATTGGTGATTGAACTAGTTCTGTTTTACTACTGGCCTGTTTGTAGTTTTTCCTTGATTATTAGATGGTGATGCAAATTTGTTTTGGTCTTGATTAAGCACTGTATTACTTTTAGCTTTGGCTAGGAACCTTTGTACTCAACATTTCCCGGTCAGTAAGAATTCCTTATTCTTGCGTGTTCTGCAACATGTGGATTAGTTGTGATTTTTGAGGCTTAGGTGATGTAAGTTAACTTAATCATTTTGCAGGGAGCTGTATTTGTAATTGAGATTTGTGGGAATATATTTTGCTGGGCAAATTATCTTATCAGTCTTGGGGAGGGAAATGTTAGCAATAGGTTAGAAGTTTTGTAAGATTTCATGTTGGAGTCTTGTGGTTTTGTGATGGATGTCTGTGGAATCGAAGAGAGAAATGTGATTTCTTTTGTGCTGTCTCATCTTATTTTAATATTTCTCAGTTAATGAAAATAAGATCTCTAAACTTGCAAGCCTTGCTCTAAAAGATCTAAGAGAGCTATTTCGATGTTTTTCCTTATCAGATAATATCAATTGTTTTGGTCACTGGTTTGCTTCCCTTTGAGACTAATCCTAAATGTAAATGCTGACAACAGCGCGTATTGGACAAGATATTGTGAAAGCATCTTGGTAAAGACTGTCCCCTCTATTATTTCAAAGTGATTTTCATTTAAAAGAGTGTATACTAGATAATTTTATTATGTATGTGAACTTGGAACATCAGTTAAGAAATATTTGTTACTAATACAGGTTTTTATTTTAATGTTAATTTGCACCTAGGCTTGGTTTTCTGTTTTAAGTAAATTAAATTTTGTAAAGCTTGTACTTGAGTTTATATACATGTCTACTGTGTATTAATGGTTAACGTGATATGACTTTGCATTTGTGTACTATCTCAACTATTTTCATTACTTTCCTGTTTTCCTTAAATTAACAATAAAAGAAGACTTAAGTATCTCTGAACTCTTTCATGCTGGAACTTTTTATTTATTTTAATTGCAGTATATGAAACTTTGGATTAATGTAGATCTATATAGTGAAATTGAGTGAGTTGTAATAGTGGTGCAATGTTTTCAATCATTAAAATTTTCATTGTACACATTTCTTTTTATTCCCCCATTCCTCTTATATCATATCTGGGTTACATAAAGCTCTGGTTGGGTACACACTTTCTTTTACTTCACACTGACATGAAGTTCTAACAACACATTACGTAATATAGCTGCTCAGAAAAAAGGGCATGCTTTTAAACACAGATGACTCGTACTTGCAGTCCTCTCAACTAGCTGACAGCTCAGCTGCCTTATCATTCATTTCAAGACTTAAATAAATATGTAGGCATATGTTCAGTAATGAAAAGTTCTTTATTTTTTACACCTCATTAATCTCTTAACTAGGACAATAAACACTGGGAGCAAGAATACCAGGAGAGAAACGAGTGCGACGGTACTCGGCGCGGCTGGCATCAGGTCCACTGAGTCCAAGGTGGCAACGGGGCCGGGGAATAGGGGCTTCAAGCCGGCATCACATTTACTCTAAAGGGAATGAGGCAAAAAAAGCAGTGAAACAGCAGAAATTTAGCAAACTTTAGCAAGCGCTAACTCGACCTTACGTTGAACACGAGGCTGGTGAGGTTGTCTTGAAGGTCTTGAACACGCAGAGCCACCGCGATGCCGCAGGTGTCACTCACCAGGTGCAAGCCGCACAGGATGTACTCCGACAGAGCCCTGTTCAGAAAGAAGCAGTGAGAGGAGCGGGAAGTTCTGGTCCTTGTTGGCAGGGGCGGCAAGGGTTCCACTCTGAAGCATTGGGGGTGCGTAGCGTTGTCCGCCGGGAGGGCTGGCAACCCAACCAACACCCGCGCAGTGTGGTGTGCCAAACGCGACGGCGCCAAGCCGTCCTGACGTACCGGCACACTGGCGCGTGGAACCTCCCCGCAGCGTCCACGTCATAGAGACTGTCTACGAGGCTATCGGCGAAGGCGTGCACCTCCCCGTCATCGCCATCGACCCCTTGTCGGAGCCGCTCCAAGAAGCGCTCGCTGCAGTCCAGGCGTCGAGTCCTCGCCGAGCGCAGGCAGGGCCCGTGGCGCACCAGCACTGGCGACAAGCGAATCACTCGCGGTCTCTCTCGCACTCGCAGGGTCCTATGGGGCTTCCCCACGAGTGCAAGAGAGACAGCGCGATGATGGCGGACACGTACGCGGGAGACTGCTGTCGCTGTCCGCCTGGCACAAGCCCTGCACCACTGCACTCGCGTCGCCGTACACCTTGGAGTAGAAGTGCTGCTCCCGCAGCGGCAGGCAGCGCTGGCTGAACCAGAAGTAGCAGTCCACCGCCTCGGCCAGCGAGCTGCAGCATGCCGGCGGTGGGGGAGTTACAGCCGCGGTCCGGGGCCGGAGGGGTAGTTCACAAACTACGTAACCACGAGCCGAGACTGCCGGACTCACGGGCAGAGCGCGGCGGCGTCGTCCTCGGCGGGGCTGCCGCCGCCAGCCCCCGGGCCAGCTCCAGCCGCGGCCGCGTCCAAGCCCAGCAGCGTGCTGGACAGGGGCCTGGCGCAGCGGTGCAGGTTGCGGGGGTTGCAGGGGCTGAAGTGCGTCCCGGCCAGGAAACCTGCGAGCGGGCGGCGGCGGGTATTGGCTGCTCGTCGCAATCGCCTCCATTTGATGGACGGAAATGAAACTCCCCCGCCGCCCCGAGAGCCTCGACACCCCCGGTGGGACACCCCAGGACACCCCGCAAAGCGCGCGGCTGCGGACCTGCGGACTGATTCCGAAGTGTCGCCTCACCGCTCCGTCTCTCTCCCCCCCACGGGCCGCCCCGAGGGCTGCGAGAGAGACAGACGAATCTGCGGGATGGCGCCGCTGGCGTCAACACGCAACAACGCGGCCTATTTATAGGGCGGCACACACTTTACGTAAGTGGCGAAAGTAAGGCGAATCTTACATAACTCCACTCAATGCCCGGCGGAAATACTTTAAATACCGTGGCGACAGGCCGTCACGTAACGCCGTGCGGGCGGAGCGGAGCGACGAGCGAACGGCGCTGGGGGACTCGGGGAAGGCGAGGACGGTGTGGGAGTTCACCTCCTTGCGTCCTTTCCAGCGGCAGCCCAGTCGCTCCCGCCCCTGGCAACGACACCCCGGCCCAGCGCCGCGGGCCCAGCGGCTCGCACGCCCCCTCCCACCCCCACCCCACCCCGCCCCGGCCGAGTGGCGGCGAGGAAGAGGCGCGCCGCGCGGCGCAACAAGTCGCCGCAAGTAACACCGTCGGAAAGCACTTTTAAATCGTAGACGGCAATCTTAAACGAGCGGCAATGTCTGGAAGATGGGTCGTGTGCACGCAAGGGTGCGGCAAGAGTGAGCACGCAACAGAGGACGCGTCGCGCGCCGCACCGCAACGGCTGGGAAAGCTGGACCGTGCGAGACCCGGCCGGCTCTTTGGAGGTTAGTCGGCAGCACCCGTCGATGTGTGAAGGAGTTGGTACCTAGCGCCAGGCCGACGGCGACGACGACGCCGAGCCCGCACGCGGCCAGCACCTTCCCACGGCGCGTCGACGGGCACGCCCTGCTGGAGAAGGCCATGGACAGCATGGTGGTGGTGGCGAGCCTCCGTCCGGGCTGCGTCCGAGGCGCGCGGCTTTGGGAACCGTGGGAACTTTGGGGCGGGTCGCTGCTTGCCCTCGCTGCTCGGCTCCGGCGGCAACAATACGACGGGGTTGCGAAAATAAGCAGTCAGGGCGAGGCCGGTATTCGAACCCCAGAACCGCCCTGACCACCACCGTCTGCCAGCGTCTGGGGCAGTGAGGCAGTCGTTTTCTCTCGCGCTCGGGCGTCTTATATAAGCGCGAGAGACAGCGATGAAAACGACTCTCGGAATCAGGCTGCAGGCGGGGCGGGACAGAATGGGGCACTTGCAAGGGGGCCTCCCTCCCCGTCATGTCATTATCGGCCACCCAGGCCTCCCAGGCAAAAGCTAGCAAACAAACAGTGGCGCAGCGGCGGGCTGTTTTATGGACACTCCCCGGGAGAAGGAGAAGCAAGGCGAAGGCGGGGTGGCCTTCTCGTGTCTCTCTCAGCGCAAGTGGGTCAGGGGGGCACTAGGCCGCCGCCCCGCCCCGCCCCGCCCCGCCGCGCAGGGACATCGGCCAGGTGCATCGGGCGCCCCGCCTCGCTCAACCCAACCCCACCAACACCCCGAACAGCCCAACACGATATTTATCTGTTTCTGCGGGAAGTGGGAGGATAGAGGACCCGCGAGGATCGCGGCAAACAGCCGTGGCACACATTGGCCGTCTCTCTCGCACTCACGGGGCGGGCCGGAGGTGTGCGAGAGAGACGGCGCGAGGCGTGCGGACGGCCTGCCGCTGTCTGCTAAATCGCAAACGCACGGCGGATTCGCATTCACACCGGGAATCCTTGCACGAGTTACGTCACACAGGGTGGCGGAGGCCTTGGGCGTGCCTTGGGCGCGCCAAGCATCTTCGGAGGTTGTGTTTGTTGTAGATTGACCCACCGGTCAGACATGGCCACACCAATTTTCATCATCTTCACTTAACCGGCCGGAAAACAGTTTCTCATTTTTTTTTCCCGAACTCTTCGTGAAGCAAAAAACCGCGGGCAACGCAAATTTTGTTGCGGTCTGGGACTTGTTTTCAAACTGTGGCAATTGTTTGGAGGCTGTAGACGCGGACGGCCGACTGGCGGCTCGGTGTGGCGTACACTGCAACGCAGCCCCGCCCATCGGTGCTGCCCTCTGGCGTCGCCGAGCGCTGCCGGGGTCAGCGCGTTGGGTAATTAAGGCTGCGGCGGGGGCTGAGCGCGCGCCAAGTCGCCCTTTTATTTTCTTCTAATCGCGTGAATCATTTGCAGTTGGATTGTGGCGTCTGCGCCGAACAATGAGGCCCGACTGCGGGTTCGATTACCACCGAATTACCACCGGCGGCGGTGGCGGCGCGGTGGACGACGGGGTGGGCGACGGGGTGGGCGACGGGGTGGGCGACACGGTGTGGGCGACGGTGTGGGCGACGCGGTGGGCGACGCGGTGGGCGACGCGGCGCCGGTTGGCGACACCCGATGCCTGCGACATGCGGGCCATGCGGACGGACGGCCGGCACCCCGTCTCCCTCGCCCCCACGGGACGTTCCGCGCTCCGCGTTCCGCGAGAGAGACGGAGCGACGAGGCTGCAGAGAGGCGGGCCACGGTTGCGAGGGGCGAGGAACACGCCAGGCACGCACACGCACGCAGCCCCGTTATGTAACGCGTTCCGCGACACCCCCGCAGTGCCAGGCCGGTCAGGCCCACCTCGGGCAGCACGCAGGGACTTGGCTGGCCCGGGGCCTGGGTTCGATTCCCGCCGTCTCCTGCCCACTTTCTTCCGTCGTGGCGGTCCCACACTACGAGTTCCTTGAGAAGTAGCCGGTCATACTGCGTTGTGGATGGGCAAACGGAACGCCGCCGGTTCGACTCCACCCTTCCGCGTCAAAAATTAACGACGCAGCAGCGGTTTTTGTCGGTGTCGGTTGCGAAACGGCCGCATGGTCAGCGCCCCTCCCCCACCCCTTTCGAAATAGCCGCGCCGCACCAAGGCGCGCCGAGCCGCCGAGCCGCCGAGGGTCGGGATCGCGGGATCATAGGAATCTTGAAATCGGGGAGGGGCCCTGAGGAGGCGGCGGGGGCGCGGCGGGGGCGCGGCGGGGACGGCACGGCGTTTGAGGGAACTGGTCGTGGAGCGGGCCGCTTGGCCGCTTGGCCGGCACGAGCTGGGATTAGCAGGGAGTGGTTTATTTCAATCCGAGGCTAAATTTAACTTGAATAGCCCGAGGGCCCCGCCCTCCCAAGGCGCCACGCCGCGCCACGCCACGCGGGCGCCCATCTGTTTAACTGCCCAATCTATTCATGTAGGTATCCCGATTTCTGTACATTCGTTTTTCGCGTTTACCACACCGAAAAACCCGCCGCGACTGGCCAACTCCTCCCCCGACGATTTCGCTCCCCTCCGCGACGCCTATTTGTATCCTAGAGTATCGGAGCAGTGTCCTGAATTAAGTCTGCTTTGTCAGCGTGTCTGCCTGTCTGCCTGCATGCCGGTGTGCCTGCCCGTCCGCCTGCCTGTCTGCCTGCCTGTCTGCCTGTCTGTCTGTCTGTCTGTCTGTCTGTCTGTCTGTCCGCCTGTCCGTCTGTCCGTCTGCCCACGCGGTGTCCGGCCGGCCCCGCGGGACGCTGCCCCGCTCTGGGTTGCTCTGGGTGCTCCCCGTCGCGGCAAAGCGTTTCGGCAAGAATTTCGAGAAGATCCCGAAATATATTTTACCCCTGCTATTTTTCTGTGCGCCCTTTTGCTGGGTGCCGCCGCGGCTCTCGTCGATAAAGTTGATGTGGATGTACGCTCCGTGCCCCCTCCCGCCCCGGCCCGCCCCTGCTCGTCCTGGATGTCCTGGACGTGGCCGTCGACGCCCCCGCCCCCACGAGGCTGACGGACGGGGTGTCGGGCAACGCGGCTGACAGGCTGCGGGGCGGCGCCTGTCGCCAGGACCCACCAGGACGCACCAGGACGGCGTCGTTGGATGACGAAAGAATGACGGCGGAGGCGGGGAGCGGGGCGCCGTCCGTTTCAGATGGCCGTCTCGGCGGCGGCGCCGGGGACCCGGGTTCGGATCCACCCGCCGCGTGCGGATTTTGCCGAGAAATGCTTCGGTTTTGGCACGATTTCGGCGCTTGTGGCGAGGCTGTGCGAGGCTGCGGGGCTCAAGGGACGCCTTGTGGTCCCCGCTCCGCTGGCCCACTGGGCCTGGCTCGGGCCGCCGTGCCGCCGTGCCGCCCCGCGACCTCATAACTGTGTCGCCCCGTCGCCCCAGTCCCGCAGGGCGAGGCCCAGGGCCCCACTGGTCCCACCCGCGGCCCGCTCGAGAGATATTTTGTGCCGCCGCGAGCAACTCGGAATAAATATTTTATTTTATTTTTTTCCGCCAGCGAAAAAATGCGGCGCGGCGCCCCGTCGACTTGGTTTATGACCGCCATTTTTAACCGTCTTGCGTGGCCGCACGGCCGCGGAACGAGTGGCTGTAAGGTCAAGCAGGCCGTCAAATCCGGAAACCGAGAATGAGGCGCTGGAAAATTGTTTCCGGTAAACAGTGCACAGTTCCCCGTGCCGAGTGCGTTGTGGGCCTGGCTGAGACCCCGCCACGCCACTGCACGCTGAGCCACGCCGCGCTGCTGCGCTTCGCTAGCTAGGCCGGCAGGCTTTCGCGTTTGGGGTTGGACCTTGACAAGGACCTTACGTAACTCTGTCAGTTTTATTTAAGATCAGCCAGGCGCCTGCGTCCCGGCGCGCCCCGCCGGGTCCTGGCGGCCGGCTGCGGCTCTGTCGCCTGGCTGAAAACGCCGAGAACGCCCCCACCCCTCGGGCCGCGACCACCGCGAGGCGGCGAGAGGCAGGAAGTGAGTGGAGTAAATCAATGATTTGCAACGCCCTGCCAATGCGGCTTGATGATGCAGGGGTCCACGACGAAGTGCGTGACCGTGGCGCCCGCTTCCGGTGGCCGCCCCACCCACGTGCTGCTCGGTGCACTTGGCGGCCTGCACAGTGGGCCAGAAGACCGGTGGAGGCGGCCAAAACTCTAGACGCGTTTTGAGCTCCGGAGTCGCTAAATGGGGCTGGAACCGAACGTGTGACCCCACCAATGGATTGCTCTCCGAACGAGGAATCCATTGGTGGGGTCACACGTTCGGTCCGAGTCCCATTTAGCGACTCTGGAGCTCAAAACGCGTGTAGAATTTCGGCCGCCTCCACCGGTCTTCTGGCCCACTGTGCGCCGACAAGGCCCGCGTATGAGTCATCGCGGCTCTGTGCTGCGCCGCTGCGCCGTGCAGCCTTTCGTCGTCATGCCTCGCCTTGGCGTGCGCGCCTTGGCAGTGTGGCCTCCATTTATCTGCACCTGCAGGCCCCTCCATCACGCCGGAGGCCTTGAGGGGCTCGTCCCGGAAGCGCGCCGCGCCGCCCGGCCGGGCTCCAGGACGGCGTCGTCGCCACGGCCTGCCGGCCGCGGGGGCCGCGTGGCGTGGGCCGCGTCGTCGGGGTGCTCGCGGACTTGGCCGGACTTGGCGGGGCGGGGCGCTTGCTTGCCGGCGCTTTTCGGCCTGCAGTGCGTCCCTCGAAATAGTTTGGCCCCTGTTTCGCGATGTCGTCTAAATCTAGACCTACTCGCATTTTGGTGCATTGTGGGGAAGGAGCTGCCCGCCGCGGTCCGCAGTGGAGCGGAGCGAGGCGGAGACCCGCCGACCCCGATTCGAGAGCACCGCTCCGGCCTAACCCAGCGGTTCTCAACCTTTCGCGGCTCGCAACCCCAAATTTGAAGCCAAAAATTTCCGCGACCCCCCCCTTTACCATGCCACTGCGTCTGATTCGAGGCGGGCTTCTTGCTCCCTCAACGGGCCGTTGGTCTTTGGACCTTCCTTTAGCATGCCTTTGTTACGGAGTGCGATTATCAGTCTTAGTTTGGGAGCAGTATTGTGTCAAAGTTGGTCGAAACGGTCAAAAGTGTCTTTGCAAAATCGTGTTTTGGGCCGATTTTAAGCATCCACTGCGTCTGATCCGAGGCGGTATATCGTTCTCCCTCAACGGGAAATTGGTCTTTGGACCTTCCTTTAGCATGCCTTTGTTACGGAGTGCGATTATCTGCCTTAGTTTGGGAGCAGTATTGCCGCAAAGTTGATCTAAACACGATTTTTCAGACATTTGTGACCGTTTTGATCAACTTTGCGGCAATACTGCTCCCAAACTAAGGCAGATAATCGCACTCCGTAACAAAGGCATGCTAAAGGAAGGTCCAAAGACCAATTGCCCGTTGAGGGAGAACGAAATACCGCCTCGGATCAGACGCAGTGAATGCTTAAAATCGGCCCAAAACACGATTTTTCAAAGACACTTTTGACCGTTTCGGCCAACTTTGAGACAATACTGCTCCCAAACTAAGACTGATAATCGCACTCCGTAACAAAGGCATGCTAAAGGAAGGTCCAAAGACCAATTGCCCGCTGAGGGAGCAAAATGCCCGCCTCGGATCGGACGCAGTGGCTGCTTAAAATCGGCCCAAAACACGACCCCAGCTACCTCGCCGCGAACTCAAGTGGGGTCGCGACCTTGGTCGCGACCCTTAGGGTGAGAACCACTGGCCTAACCTAACATGCCTTTGCCCTCATAATGGCCATGATCGGGGCTGCGGAGCGCCTGGGAGGTAGGCAGGCCCGTCGAGCTGGCGTGCACCGTTGGTGCCTACCTCCCAGGCGCCTAGTGGGGCAGGCCCGCCGAGCTCGCGTGCACCACTGGTGCCTACCTCCCAGGCGCTCCGCACTGGAGCGGTCGCCCCCGCTACCTCTCCTGCACTTCATCCCCTTCGTCGTCTCAAGCCTCAACCTCAGCCAACACTACAGCCCCTCCGCCCCAACCTCAGCCAACACTACAGCCCCTCCGCCCCAACCTCAGCCAACACTACAGCCCCTCCGCCCCAACCTCAGCCAACACTACAGCCCCTCCGCCCCAACCTCAGCCAACACTACAGCCCCTCCGCCCCAACCTCAGCCAACACCACAGCCCCTCCAGCGCAAGCGCGGCCGGCCGGTCTAAATGCGGCGGCGAATGGGGCTATCTTGGTCGCGGTGACTTTCCCTGCGGGCAATCATGCATGTATTTCGGTCCGTTGTGACGGCAGCGCGCAGCGTTTGGTGTGACTGTGACTCACGGGGGTGCTTCCCTCGGCGCCGCGCTCGCGCCCCGGCTGGCTTCCCTTGGCGAGGCGGCCGGCTAGGCCAGGCCAGGCCAAGCCCGGTACAGACCATTGTCGCTGCGTCACTCGGAGTCATTCAGCTCATTCAGCACCGTGACGCGCCTCGCTGATTCACCCTCTCTCCGTCTCTCTCCCTCCCGAGCCGCCCGGGCAGCGGGCAGTCCCGCCGCGCTGCACAGTGGGCCAGAAGACCGGAGGAGGCGGCCAAAACTCTAGACGCGTTTTGAGCTCCAGAGTCGCCAAGAAGTACTCGAAGTAAACGTGTGACCCCACCAATGGATTCCTCGTGCGGAGAGCAATCCATTGGTGGGGTCACACGCTCGATTCGAGTCCAGTTTAGTGACTCTGGAGCTCAAACCGCGTCTGGAGTTTTGGCCGCGTCCACCGGTCTTCTGGCCCACTGTGCGCCGTCTGTGTCTCTGCCTCTCTCTGCGGACTCGCCTCGTCTGATGCTTCGTACTTCGTGGGCGCCGAGGTTTCTCAAGACATGCTACAGCACCATAAACAGATGCGTGAAATTCGAACGCCGTCACGGCGGACGATGGATCGGAGAAGCGGATCCCGTTCCGACGTCGGTTATCATGTCTCGTCGCGGAAAAAAAATGTTCTGTTTTAATAACCCCCGGTGGGTCCTGATCGTTGGCAAGCGGGCCCGGGGGTAACGGACGGCGGTGCTCCCCTTCCCCCCTCCCCCTCCCCGACATTCCACCCGTCACGCCACAACAGCGCGCCACGGGCCGCCATCGGCAGGTTTGGTTTCGGTTGGGTTTGACAGCGATGACAAGGCTGTCAAGACGCGACTCGTCGCGAGGACCGTCAGACTTCCGACCGCTGACGAGACGCCGAGGACGCCGAGGACGCCGAACACGGGGCCCCAACCTTGGGTATTTCAGGTGGAAAGGTGGCGGCTCTAGAAATAATGCACCGCGGGGTTCCCGCCGCCGAGAGTTCGCCCTGAAAACCGGGTTCTCGCCTCGAGCGCTCTGTGCACAAGGGGTCTCTTTTGAGGCGAATTTCTAGAGCGCGTACTTGTTGCAGTGCCAAATTCCTCGCGGCAAGACCAGAGGTTGCATAGCGTTTGAGCGACGGATGTTGGTATGTTCTGACGAACCAACAGGTTTAAGGGTTTTCCTTACGGTGCAAGCGTCTAAAATGGGAACCGCGTACGCGGCGTTGAGTGCCGTGCAAAAGGGGGGCGTTGTCCAACGCGATACTCGGGTGCGTCTTTTTTTTAATTTTTATCTGAGGGTCGGTGCCGGGGCGCGACCGACCGTCCCGCTCGGCGGCCAGCATCCGAGTGGGTCTCGGCGAGCGAGCGGGTCTCGGCGAGCCTGGCCGATTCCGAGAGTCGTCGCTCTGTCTCTCTCGCACTCATGGGGCGCCCCGTGTAGGTGCGAGAGAGACAGAGCGACGACTCTGGGAATCGGCCTGCTGGCACACTGGCACTCCGCACGCAGGAAAGGGGGCGGGGGACGTCGGGCCAGAGGGGAGGGGGGCGGGGAGAGCGGCCAGAGAACTTATATGGCCGGGCCGGGCCGCGCCGTGGTGGGGCGTGGTGGGGCGGCGGGGGATAGGGTTACGCGCCGAGGCGCGGCGCCCCCGTGGGGCTGGTGGGGCCGGTGGGCCGGCGGGCCGGCGGGGTGGTGAGCCCCCACGGCTCAATGAAATGGCGGTGAATGGAATAGATTAACGAGTGACCGATGGCTGCCGATGCTGGTGGTCGCGGGCCTTGCAGTGGCGTCGCTTAGCGTGGCGCGGCCTCTGCTGGAGACGCCTACGCAGGTGGGCGTGCCGAACTGCAGACAGTCGTTTTCGTCGCTCTGTCTCTCTTGCACTTTTACGGAACACCCCATGAGTGCGAGAGAGACAGAGCGACGAAAACGCCTCTCGGAATCAGGCAGCATGCCCGCCCCTTCGGGTGCTACCCGCCTCTCCGGACGGTCGCGGCGTCCGATTCAACCTGTGTACCTTCTGAAAAAGCGTCAAACTCAAAAACAACATCTCGTAAGAGGGAGCCGTCCCGAGCGAGTGGAGGGGGAAAAGTGGATCAGGGGGTGAAAGGTGCGGGGTCTTTTCGCGCCTCGGCGTGCTTCGTGCTCTCGGCTGGGCTATTTTCGGAACTTGCAGTTGTCGGGAGGAGCGTCTCTGGGCCTGGGTCTCTGCATCACGAGCCGAGCGGGCAGCGGCCAGGGAAGACCGCGGAGGACGCCGCCGCCGCCACTGGCCCGGCTCTGCCCGGCTTGGCTTACCATTTCGTGAAACGTGCATGAACTGCGCCGCCAGCTTAGTTTCCATCAGCGGATTTTTGTCACGTTGAACGCCACGACGTACACGGTAAAAACGGAACCTGGTTTTCCCAGGATGCCTATGGTAGAGACATAGGCGATTTCCAGGGAGTTCCTGGGAAAACCAGGTTCCGTTTTTACCGTGTACTGGAGCGCATCAGCAGGATAGCGAACTCCTGAAATATTCACTTTCACCGCGGGGCTCGGTGGGGGACATCGCGAAAAATGGAATCCCGTCGAGGTCAGATTTTTTAGCGGTGTGGCACCCCGCACAGTGTAGCGGCCGGGCAGCAGCAGGCGGATTCCGAGAGTCGTACTCGTCGCTCTGTCTCTCTCGCACCCCAAGCGCGGATCCAGGGGAGGGGGGGCAAAAGGACAATTGCCCCCCCCCCCTTGACCCCTAGATAGCCGCCTGAAAGGTAGGCAAAAAGCACCACATTGCCCCTGTAAGTAGGCAAAAAGTGCTACTTTGACCCCCCCCTTGGGCCGACTCTGGATCCGCCACTGTCGCACCCCCTGGGCGTCCCACGCGTGCGAGGGAGACAGAGCGACGAGAACGACTCCGAGTCCACTGCGGTGCGTGCCACCAGTTCGAGGCGGCGCGAGGCGCGAGTGCGGCCGTGCGGCGTCTATTTGCGTACCGCAGCGTGCCGCGCGCCGCACGCCGCGCCCGAGCCGGCCGCGCGAGTGGACGCCACTGCCTGCCACTCCACTGTCGAAAAACACTAGAGTCGAGTCAAAGCGAAGAGCGCACTGCCGAGCGATTGCGCCGCTCGCACTTCTCCCTCCGTCTCTCTCGCACTCATTGGGTCTACCGCATGGTGCGAGAGAGACAGAGCGACGAGTGCGGGCGCACACTGGGCCAGAAGACCGGTGGAGGCGGCCAAAACTCCAGACGCGTTGTGAGTTCCAGAGTCGCTAAACAGGCCTCGAACCGGACGTGTGACCCCATCAATAGATTGCTCGTTCGAAGAGCTATCCATTGGTGGGGTCACACGTTCGATTCGAGTCTCATTTAGTGACTCTGGAGCACGAAACGCGACCAGAGTTTCGGCCGCCTCCACCGGTCTTCTGGCCCACTGTGGGCTGGCCCAATCGCTTGACTGCGGGGCAGCGAGGTACGCGTGGGCAAACACGACGATGAGGCCGTCACACGGCGTCATTCGGCGTCACACGGCGTCCTTAAGGCCAGCCATTAATCTGCCAGACGCCAATGATCTGACGATCGTCTCAGTGATCCCCGGCTCGATCGAGAGATACCGGTACTTGGTTATCTCGAGCGCGCGATGCGCGTCCCTCTCTCTCTCTCTCACCCACACCTCGACCGGCGTCCCGGCCAGCCATTGCGTGGCCGCTGCGTGGTGCCGCAGGGTCGGGTATCGCCGGGTATCGCGTCGTCAACATGGTTCGCGCCGTCGCCGCCCTGGCGGTCCTCGTTGGTAATTAAAAAGCCATTTGAAATAGGACTTTTTACCACTTTCGTGGTCTGTTTTTAAAACGCGCGTTGCGGCCTGGCAGGACTCTGCCAGGCGACCCCCGTGCCGCTGGAGACGCCGCAGTCGCTGCATTCCGACATCTCGCTGCAAATCTCGGGCGGCAGTGACGTGGACATCCAGCGCGTGCCGTACCAGGTACAACGCACCACCGACCGCCGGAAGCCATCAACTTGTTTTTTTGTTTTTTTTTCTGTTCCGATTCGCTGAGCGTTTTATCTGTTGACCCTCGAGGCGGCGGTCGAGCTGTCGTCCGAACACATCTGCGGGGCGGCCATCGTGGCGCCGCACTGGGTGCTGACCAGCGCCGCCTGCGTCGTGTAAGGTTCAGCTTTCGGCCAGGGGCGGATCCAGGCCCGGCCTGGGGGAGCACAGTGGGCCAGAAGACCGGCGCAGCGGCCAAAACTCTGGATGCGTTTTGAGCTGCAGAGTCGCTAAATGGGACTCGAATCGAACGTGTGACCCCACCAATGGATTGCTCTCCGCACGAGAAATCCATTGGTGGGGTCACACGTTCGGTTCAAGTCCCATTTAGCGACTCTGGAGCTCAAAACGCGTCTAGAGTTTTGGCCGCCTACACCGGTCTTCTGGCCCACTGTGGGGAGGGGCAAAGTACTGGCACACTCTGCCCGTCAACAGGGGCACTTTGACCACTCCGGCGGTTCTAGAGGCCGAAGGGGCGCCAATTACTTTTGCCCCTCCACCACTGGGTCCGCCCCTGTTTCCAACGTCAGTTCGCTATCCTTCCTCGCTTTAGACGAACTTGCAATCACTGCACTGGAAAACAAAGGCACAACCATGGTGGTCACCGGGCATTAAAAACGGTCCATTTTCATTACGTTGTTAGTCAATCTGTAATCATAACCATGATACTCGAGTTTTCATAGCGTGTCATCTATACGCACTGTTGAAAGTAATTCATTCCATGTTCATTCCATTCATGGAGCTGTAATGACGTCATTCGCGGCCCCTCGCGGGCGTCGACGCGCTGCTCCGCGCTGCTCCGCGACCACGCCCGATGCCTTTGCTTTTCCAGAGAGGTTCGGTCCCGACGCGCGCTGCGGATCTGCGCGTCGGCGCGCGGCGGCCGCGGCGGCCTCGCCGGCGTGCAGGCCGAGTCCGTTGAGTTGCCGGTGTACAGCCCTAGGGACGCGTCGCTGCTGCGCGTGCGCGTGGGCTCGTCTGTGCGCGAGTCTGGCGGCGCGCTGCTGGAGGTGACGCAGGTCGTGGCCCACGACAAGTACGACGCCACCACGCTGGCCTACAACGTGGCGCTGCTGCAGACGCGCGCGCCCGCCACCAGGTCGCCGTCGGTGCAGCCCGCCGTCCTGGTGGCGAGCGGCGCGCGGCCCAAGGGCGGCGCCAAGCTGCTCGTGTCCGGCTGGGGCAAGACGTCGGTGAGTACCGAGTGGCGGACCCGGAGCTGGAGGCGGCCAAAACTCTAGACGCGTTTTGAGCTGGAGAGTCACTAAACAGGACTCGAACCGAACGTGTGACCCCGCCAATGCATTCCTCGTTCGAAGAGCAATCCATTGGTGGGGTCACACGTTCGGTTCGAGTTCGGTTTAGCGACTCTGGAGCTCAAAACGCGTGAGTTGCTGACGCCTTCCCGTCTCTCCGTCAGCTCGGCGAGTTCTTCAAGCCGCTGCAGCTGCAGTCGCTGTCCGTGTCCGTGCTGGCCAGGACGCTGTGCGCGCGCGCCTACGCCAGCGAGGCCACCAAGGTGGACGACACGACGCTCTGCGCGCGCGGCGAGGATTGGAAGGGCGTGTGCGAGGTAGGACCGTCTCTCACGCACCGGGGCGGCACGCACCGGGTCGGCACGCCCCGCGAGTGCGAGAGAGACAGCCGGTGACACTCTGCTTGCCCTGCAGGGCGACTTCGGCGGGCCCCTCGTCAACGACATGCACGAACTGGTGGGCGTGGCGTCCTGGGCCAAGGGGTGCGGCTTCCCCCGCAACCCCGCCGTGTTCGTGGACCTCGCCAAGGACGACATCAACACCTGGGTGCAAACCACCATCAAGAAGTGAATAAAGTTTCCAGTGTCTTCTGTCTCCGTCATTTGCTCTGCCCTTCGCCAACTACTGTTGTCGGATGAACCGGCCATCCTTTGCATCGACTCACACCTGGGAGCCTTCCAAACCGCCGGGACGGTATTTATAGAGGGGCTATCAGTCGGCCGCCGTTAGAGCCTCTTTGGCAGTGTGGGGGACATTGTTGCCGTCTTGATCCACGGCCCTCCGCGCGGTCTAGCGGTCCGCCCACTTCGCGCCCACCGCACCGCGGACGCCTCGGGCTCTTCGAACCTCTCACCTCGAAGAGTGACGAATCTTGAAGAAATAGATTCCTCGTTCGGAGAGCAATCCATTGGCGGGTTCACACGTTCGGTTCGAGTCCCATTCAGCGACTCTGGAGCTCAAAACGCGTCCGGAATTTCGACCGCCTCCACCTGTCTTTGGCCCACTGTGGGACTGCTGTGCGCCCTCTGGCGGCGCGCCCTCGAACAGGCCGTCCTTGTTACGTAAACCGCGTAAACCGGCGGGGATTCGGGGCGGTTTTGCCGCCGAGCGCGTAAGAGTCGATAAAGTACACCTCCGTCGCCGGGACGGCCGGGGCGGAGATGATCGTTCTATTTCTGAGTCCTCTTGCTTTTTTACGCGCGGACCAGCAAGCCCCGCCAGGCCGTCAAAAAAAGGTCTTTCTTTCAGCAGGTTGGGAGGTAAATTTGTTTTTCGCAGGTGTGTTGCGCATCCGAACACATACACTATGAATAAATTGGGGTAGATTGCAGCGTAGCGGAACGAACAGCACACCGGCGAGAATAACTAAATGAAAACCTGGCGGCGGTGACACTGTAAGGCCCAAATGGCGCCGTTGGCTTGCCGTTGGCTTGCCGTCGGCTTGCTGATGACTTGCTGATGAGCACCCTTCCTACCGCGGCCGCGTCGCGTCACCGACTCGGGCGCCTCGGGAGTCTGGCATGGCGTCTAATCCCTTGCCGCATGACTTGCCAGCGTCCGTCACTGACTCACGCCGTTCGGGCGTTCGGGCTGCCGGGGGCCAGACCGGCCAGACGGACGCACACTGTTTGCCCGCTTTGCCCCCCGCCCCTCTCGGATTCCATTGAGGCATTGGCAAGTCCGGCCGGCCAATCGGAGAGCGGCGCTCGGATTGGCTGCGGCGGCCCCGAACGGTCTGGCTGCGAGGAGAAGCCCGTGCATGTAATTTGTGTGAGTGGGGGTGGTTCGACTCCCGCCGTACCTCTCTCTTTGCTGGAGGGTTGCTGGTTGTTCTCCGCACCTCTGCGGGGATTGAAACGCACTGAGCTTCCAAACTACTATCACCACCCTTTTCGTTCTTGCCCAACACTCTGTGGAGGCTGCACTTTTGCCGTGCGTTCGATCGACACGGAACGGCGCACAGTGCCAGAAGACCGGTGGAGGCGGCAAAAATTCCAGACGCGCTTTGAGCTCCTGAGTGTCTAAAGGGGACTCGAATCGAACGTGTGACCCCACCAATGGATTGCTCTCCGAGCTAGGAATCCATTGGTTTGGTCCGGTTTGGTCACTCGTTCGGTTCGAGTCCTGTTTAGCGACTCTGGAGCTCAAAACGCGTCTTGAGTTTTGTCCGCCTCCACCGGTCTTCTGGCCCACAGTGCGCCGTGGCGCGCCTTGACCCTTCCGGCAGGTTGACCTTGGCCACCGCGGCGCTCGGTCCAGTGGCGGCGCAAGGGCGCCGGGGCCGTCGGGGCGCACAACACTCACCCCACGCCGCGGCCGCCCCGCCCCGCCCCCCGGCCGCGCCGCGCCGCCACGCCCCCCGCGCCCTGCCGGCGTGGTGGCTCCTCCCGGCTCCGCCCGCTCCCCCTGCTCCGCCTGCTGGCCGCCCGGCCGCGGCGCGCCAGTCACCCAGTTGGTTCCGTGGTCCGTGGGTCGCAGGCGCACCGCGCCGCCGGTTTTCGCGTCAAAAGTCTGCGATCGCTTTGAACATAGCGGGGGTTGCCGTCAACCGCGCTGCGGGGAGGAGAGGGATCGAACCGTCCGAGGCGAACGCGTCGATCCTCTCCCGCCCGTGCTGTTAGGCCCCTTCTTCCCAGTAAGTAAAGATCCCCCCCCGTGTGCAACAAGTGGAAAAAGGTGCAAAAGTGCTGTGCTGCCGTGAAAAGTGATGTGAAAGTGAGCAAAAGTTGCTGGTGCCGCCCCCCTGTGGATTACTGCGTTGGATTACCGCCGCCAAAGGATTAACCCTCGCCGTCAAGCCGCCGTTGGATTATTGTGGATTAACGCAGCGCGCCCGTCTGGAGTCCGTCTGGAGTCCGTCTGGACGGCCGTCTGGGCGTGGCGGCGCGGAGGCCGTGCGGTGAGAGTGTTCAAGTCGCCGAGGAGGCCGTCCTCGCCGCGGTCCTCGCCGAGGGGCTCGGTGGCCGCACGACGGCCGGCGGTGCTCGGGTTTCAGGCTCGGACCGCGTCCAAATACCTCAGGGCGCCCCGCCCCCTCCCACCCCGTGAAGCTGGACGGAGCCTCCCCCCTCCCCCTACGCCCCCTCCCCCTTCCCCCGTCACCCTGGCCCTGGAGATGAGACCTTGACATTTGGATGGATAGAAACAACATTCACTTTCAATGTAATTATTTTTTATCCAATCTATATGGGCTACTTGATGTGGGCCTCGTCGAAAATACTCGAAATTTTGAAATTCTTCACTACGATTTTTGTGAAGAAAATTTTCTGAATTCTTAAATTTGTTCCGATGTTCTCACATTAGGCTGCCTCAAGCAGACTACTCTTCTGGCAGTCTCTTTTGCCTTTTCCCTCAATTTTCCTGGTTTTTCTCTGACCGCAACGGTGCTACTGAAAAGTACCTTCTCGTTGATCTACCTTGGCGACGATAAAAAGACCTTTCAAAATTGACGTCCCGTTAGAAACAATAGTTGTAAAACGGCAGCCGGGCTCGTATTTTACGCTCACGGCACACTTTCGTTGGGCGCAGGCGGCGCAGGCAGCTCGCCAGGGCCAGACCCTCGGCCAAGCCGGCCAGCCCCGTGTCTCCGCAGCCTCCTTTTTGACCAGCCAGACTAAATTTAAAGTCTCTGGTTGCGGCACGAGTCGAGTGGGCTCTTGGCGGGTATTTTCAAATACGCCGCTCTGCCAACCGACTTGCCTACATTGTCGAGGGGGTAGCTGAACTCTCGTCACGATGTGCCGGTGGCATTGACACCTGTTGATTCGCATCGGAATCGCCCCGTGACGCAATCCAAATTTGATTAAAATCTAACTGGCTCCCCCATGTTAAATCATGGTTCAATAAATCCGCAGGTAGCAATTTTTTTTTAAAGGAAAAAAAAAAAACTTTAATTTTGTGGAAACTGCCCATTGTTGCCTTTTGTCTTTTTCGGGTTTTCTTCGGGTCATCTTTGGGATTCTTGAAGTAGTAATACAGTTCCTTTGGCTTGCGATCGTCAACTAGGCCTACCGAAACAAACATCTGACAGTCGTAAATTGGCAAATTCAACAACGCATGATGGTGACGTAATACGTAGTACCTGAGAAGGCTTTTGCCGCTTGACATTTAGTGGGCGACTGCTTCCTTGGGAAGAAGGGTTTCGATGTTTCTCTGATCTGGACAGTTAGACTGCTCGATCCAACTGCACACTAAATGCTTCCGGACATTTTGCACATAAGCATTGACGTTTTTGTGCAGGTGTACAACTGTGTACACACATTAGGTTATGTACACTTTTCCTAATTTTTCTAATTTATGTACTTATTAAGTTGCACAGAGCTTAAATATGCACAATTATGGCAACAGTTATGGACAAAGAAAGTACATAAACATTAAGTCTGTGCTTCGCGTAGCGATGTTAGAATGTGGAAAATGTGCATTTCATTGTACTTTTTGTCTATTCGTTCCTCATGCTTCGTCGGGATTTCTCAGATGCATTCAAATTCTATGTCCTCATAACTTTTGTGGCCACACGCCTTGAAACCATCCTAACACTGATGCGTCGAATTTTTCATCAGTTCAAAGATGTTTGTACGTAATAAAAATCTTCTCAACTTGTTTGTTTACAAATATTAGGATTGGTTACTGACTTTTAATCGCTTTTAATGATGCTTCTGAACAAAGAACGATAATTATGCGCACAATCACAAATGCGTCCAAAGCTTTTCGGGTTGCGCGTCTAATGTTATCGAAAAGACTGAAACTAGTTTGTCGTGTTGGTTAGACGGGTTAGTCTCTGCTGAAGTGCCTCGAACGAGGCCTTGCACATTTCAATCAATCACACTAGCAATGAATCAGAATTTTGTAAAACACACGTATTTCGGTTTTTGCCTTGCAATTTGCTGTAGATTTTTCTTTGCGTTTCCAAATTAGTATTGTAAGTCGTCTTCTCTAAACATACGCATTTTACTTTTTGCCTTTCGTTGACGATTTTTGTTTCGACCTCTGTCAGTGTGGTTCGGAGGTGGTTGTCGCTTTGTTTTTCTTGCTCAGTCAGTGTCGCCGGTTCACCGTGCGTCGTGGCATGTGCCTCGTAAGAAGCAAATGCAACACAAATCAGCCCCCGTTTTTTGGGGGAGTAGGGGCCGGTGCGGGCGCCGTGCATGCAACAGCTGACTGTCAAAGGGGCAGCCCCTCCCTGCCGTAGACGCTCCCTGGCGCCATGCTGGCACGCTGCCAGCGCCGGCGCGGCCGCACGGCCTTCAGGCAAAGGGACTTTGTTGACGTGAAACGCTTGCGAGGTTTCTTCTTTAACTGTTGGGGCGATACAATGCTTTGACTCAATGCTTCTCGTCCAGCATTCTCGTCTGCGAGCGTTGGCAGATTATGTCAAAGCAAACCGAAAAGGATAACGCAGGATAACGTTATTTTAGTTTCCATTTGTTTTCAATTACAAGTTTTGATGAAAAAATTCAAATTCTGCGTAAGCGCCTGTACTGGCGGGGTCAGGGCAAATCGCGCAGTTTTCTATAAACTGAGGCATGAGTGGAACGGAGATGGCCCTCGTTGCAGTATCATTAATTGTGGGTTCACTTTTCAAAAGAATGAGACGTCACTCGATTGGGAGTGAAATCTGTCTCATCACTGTAAACGTTGAGCAAAATACGGCGAGGCATAAAAAAGTTATTTTTTTTTGTCGGTGGAACTCTTTAAAGATTGTTTTTGCCCTTAGAACGATGACAAGTGTCGCCTTTCGGTTTTAGGCGGTTTTGTGAATTTCTGGGCTGACAAAGGTGGCTCTTTAAGCTTAGGGCAGAATCTGCAATGTCAATATCTAAAAACTCGCATTGTTCCTGGTCAGGGTAGCGCGCAATCAATGCCGATACAAGATATTTGACATGCGCCGTTGCCTTAAGTGACTTTCGTTACCAAGCTCCAGTGTTCTGGTCCTCCTCTCTCTGGCCATTCCTGTTGTGTGGTGCAAGATCTCTCAATTCCTTCGCCCGTCCCTCCCTCCTCAGCCACCCCAAGTTTTGTTTGCAATCAGTTGTTTTCTTTTCAGGTATATTATATGCATGTGGTACTTGTGTGCTGAAAGTTGGCACTGCTGTGCCGAGTGTTTATTTTGCCACGTTTTTATTTGCCCTGCCCCTCATGCCCCTCAATATTTAAGTAGAATGGTGTCCAATGCCCTTAACGACCATCGTGGGCAAGTGTTGTCCTCTGTCATTGTGTATCGCTGTGTGTGTCTATGTGTGTGTTGATTTTCTTGGGTGTACTGTCCCATCGTTTTGAACTCGCATTGACGGTAGATACCACGCCTCACGCGATCTGGTAAATCGAAAAAGTAACACGGTGCCGTTTTTTTTTTAGGTTACCGACCGACGGCACGGTTAAAGATTTGTATTTACGGAGCTCTCATTTGTCACATTTTTACCGTGCAGTGAAACGCGTCTGAGCTTTGCCATCGCGAAGCAGTGTGCCGTGTTGCGCTCTTCTCGTTGCGAGGAGCAGAGCACCTTGGCACTCGGGCGCTGTTGTGGGAACAAGACCAGACGTAAAACTTGAACGTCGCGAGGGGTTGGCGCAATCTTGTTTACTGACTCAATTGTTTCCGAACTTTTTAGAAAGAATTCCTACAGATTTTTGTGCACGCTTAGCAAGTGTCTACAAAAAAAATTGTAAGAAGTACAAGTGATCCTTTGCAAAGCATTTGCGTCCTTGTTTAGCGGGGGGGGGGGGGGGGGGGTGAACCAGTATGTTATCCAATAGAATCAATTATTAACGGTGCGTCCCACAACAATGTCCAGCCTTCACGGCGTGGCTGCCTCATACCATGTACTTGGAATGATTGTCCATCTGTTAGGCAGGGTTCGCAAAGTCCGCGGCGCTTTGTAATTGTATGTGGCGTAGCGACCGTTCCCTTCCTACGGGGCTGTATCACTGTTGCGAACCAAGGGGCAATACCTTTTCATCTCCGGGTTCTCGGGACCAGGGGTAAATGGTACTCATCTCTCTGAGTGTACATATGTAGTACATATCTATCGGGATGTTCTTGCCTCACTTAGATGTGTACTTGCCCTACTGCTTGTCTCGACGCTTCCTTGAACTGACTGGGTATTTCCCCTTGCGTGAGCCCACCCTGCGTCGCCCTGCCTTGTTTGTGAAAGGGGGCCTTCTTCTCCAGGTGGAGGCGCAGGGCGAGCCTCGCCACCGGGGAGACCCGAAGGGAGACCCGAGGGGAGACCCCACACCGACGCTATAACGAGTCCCGCCAGGGCCTGAGCCCCTCCACCATCCAGGATGGGGGTGGCCGACGACTTCGCGCCGAGCTTCACGCAGAAGCCACAGCTGCGCCAGGAAGATGACGGCAACCGCCTCGTCTTCGAGTGCCAGCTGCTGTCCTCCCCGAAGCCGGACATCACATGGTTCCGGGGGGACACGCAGCTGTCCGAGGACGGGCGGACGGTCATGAAGACCGTGCCCACCGGCTCCAACAAATTCACCGTGGTCCTCGAGCTGGATGACGTCATCGAGTCGGACGCCGGCCTGTACAAGGTCAAGGCCAAAAACAAGATGGGAGAAGTTGCTGCTTCCATCAACCTCAATTTCAGCCGTGAGTGTCTTTGAGGGTTTATTAGTTTGGGTCTGCGAGCTAGTTGCCCGAAGGGGCCGTATATAGTTTCATTCATTCCACGTTTTTTTGGCGTTCATTCAACCAAATTAGATGTTATTCCAAAAATTGACAGCCGGGGGGAGAGGGCGCCTGGGAGGTAGGCAATCCCCTCCTAGCCCAATCACATAGGTTTTGGGGTTGCCTACCTGCTAGGCGGCTGCACTATGATTTTTACACTACCCACATTATTACTGCGTAGCTGTTTCTTGTACTTAACTTTTACAAAATTAAGCCTTTGCTTTTAATGATCGCATTCTGCATCTTGTGCTCAAAATTCTACAAAATAGTTTGTTCTAACGTAAAATCTCTTCGTATTAGGTAAGTTAATCACATTTTGCGACTTGCGAGTGACTTGCAAGTGGCACACTGTTCTCGTTCTTTTTTTTTAAATTTAACGAAGTTTAGTTTGGATAACTAAACGTAATAGGATTCATCAAATTTTCTGTTTTCTACCAAAATTTTAGCGGCCTTGAAATGGCTCAGACCGCAAGCAACGCTTCTACCATATTGAAAATTCTGGGCAGCCTATGTAGAAATGTTGCATACTTGATAACTGAGGAGTGTTTGTATATCGCTGTGGTGGGCATCCTACCCCACGCGAAATCCCTCCCCGCCACCCCGGCCTTTGAAGGGAGCTCTCGTGTCTCATAAAAAGTTGAAAGGACAGGATATGTGTATCTATGCTTTCTCGCGGTACCTGCACGCAGCACGCACCCGGCTGGTGTTAAGTACATCCTGGCGGGGTGGAGTCGCAGGGGTGGGGTAAACACGATGGCATGTCGTGTTTGTTTACGCAAGGAGAGCTGCCCCACTGGGGCACTGCTGGGTGCTGGGCAGTGCCCGCGCGGGGGCCCCAGACGCAGCTATTCTTAGCGCGGGCCAAAGATCAGTGCACTGAGCCTGTCAACGCCCAGGGATTACACAATACACAGGGGGGCCCATTGTTAGGGTTCGCATCACACAGCCATACTAATGTCATTGATTTATTCCAGCTGCGGATGAGCCTCGAGAAAAGTAAGTTGACTCAGGTCGCACACGTATCTGCACGACGCTCTACTGCTGGCACTTTCTTTACCCTCTTCTCTTTTGCATTAACGCCGCACAGATCGACTGGTTGCCTATGACAGACTCAAAACATGAAAAATGACGATGAATCGAAGTGAACTAAGATTCTCGGTTGAATCAATCAAAGATCAAATGATTCATTTTCAGTTTATATACTAGCCTTATACTATCAAATTTTGGGCCTTCATTGACATGATCTGCTTGTTTGGGTTGAGTCCCAGACAGCTTTGGTCATTTTGTATGATTTCTTTTTTTCTTGTGGCAACTTCTCGGTACAAACACAAACGCACAAGCACTCGTACTCAAGCATGATCACTAACCGCTCCTGAGGCACCAGACCGTTACAAAAGTAAAAATATGCACATTTTTCAACAAGCCATTTTTACACTTATTTATTTTGTCCAAAATAAAAGAACTTTAATACATTTTGGGACACATTAGCAAACCAGTGACTTTTTTTACATAATTTTGATTTTGACAAATTAATTGAGATACGCTGATGAGTTTATATTGTATTTTTTGGGGTAGTTTTTGGTCTTGTATTTTGTCTCAGTTAACCCTTGCCTCTGCTCTCGTTCTTTCTTTGTCTTACCTTTCCTGTGTATTTCTCTTTGCAGCGGCTGACAAGGCTGGACCGAGGTGAGTTGCCACTCGCACTCCCCAGCTTGTAACACTTCTCCCCTCCACTCAGTATTTTTCTTCGCTTGCACTCTGCACCGCTTTACACGTGCCTTTGTTTACTTTCCGTCTATGGTTGCCATGTGCGGTTGCTGATGCCGTTTCTCTCTCCAGGCAAGTGGATGGGATCGCTCCGACTTTTGCGAAAAAGCCGGCGATTCGGCAGGAGGATGACGGGAAACGCCTCCTGTTCGAATGCCGGATCAACGCCGACCCAGAACCGACCGTCAGCTGGTCCAAGAACAACACTCCCGTCACGGCTGGCCCCAGACATAAGGTGAGAGGCTTGTGCTCCAGTGGCCGCCAAGCCCACAAGCCGCGGCGCCGCCGTGGTCTATTTCGGGGCAGCGTGACTGTGCGAGCCAAGTGGGCTACACATTCATCGCGGCCTGCCCACTAGATTATTTCGCTGTGTGTTTGTGGGGGAGGGGGTGGGTGTAGCTTGGCGGCATTCAACGGCACCGCGCCTGGAGGGTAGGCAGCGTCCTGGGCTTGGTGCATACGTGCCACGGGCTGCCTACCTCCCAGGCTGCCGCCGTGGGAACGGAAATGGCTGTCCCTTTCCGTACTTGTTTCTGACATAACTGTATTTTTCTGATTCCAGCTGACGGTCGACAAGGATGGGCACTCCTACTTCGCCACGCTTGAAATTAAGAATGTCACTGTTGAAGACGCTGGCAAATACAAAGTGACAGCTAAGAACGAGCTTGGCGAAAGTAATGCTACCATCAGTCTCAATTTCGACAGTGAGTATCGTCCTAGATAAGGCTTTATGTGTGTGGCAAACTGGCCGCTCAGATGGGCTTGCAGTTTTCTCCCCTGGTCTCGCACATTGTACTTAAATGGAGCCCTTTCCGTTTAAATATCTTTTTCACCGTGTTTGTAAATTTGTTAATAAATCGATTATGAGTTAAATCACAAAAATTAAAATTTTACAAAAGACTCTGAAATTCTTCGTTGAAATTTTCTTATATAATTTTTAATAAACACAGTAAATAGTTTGATTGATTAAAAATAAATGAGTAGGTGGACACAAAGCTCTGTAGTGTAAACACGATAAAGTTGTGTGATACCGCGTGAGGAATCACTGCTCGGCCTATAATTAATGAAAATTGCTTTCATTCAAAATCTTCGTGTAAGATATCTCATTGTTTACTGTTCCAATTTGTTTGTACTGTTGCTCTTGCGTTAATCTGACGGGCGGACTCCATGAAGTGCGTGACTGCCTGTCACTTGCGATGACGGTGGTGGGCGCCATATTTTTTGTATACTAATAACGATGTTCATTGAGTTGAACTGCCCGAGAACGCAAAGACCCTCCAGAACTCAATGTTGTTTTTGTTACTGTCGTTATTCTTGTGGTGGAGGGTCTTTCCGTTTTCGGCGGCCCAGCTCACCCTCAACCTCAACGCGCCTTACTCCGACACTTCACCCCCAGAGAGCAGTGTTGCTGGAGTTGCTGGTCGCCGGCCGCCTCACGGCCTGCCTCACTGTAGCCCTCGGCCGCTGTCGCGAAGATATTTTAGGACGTTCTCAAGGCGGGGATGAACGGGAGTTAGTACGGCTCTCTGTCTCTCCCTGAGTTTCACGAAAAACTGATGCGGTTCTTTAGGGTTGCTCGATAGAAAGAGAAAAGAAAGCTCCACCAAAGTCTCCACACATTGCTGTGCTCTAGTGTATGACCTCAGCAGTTTTTCGTAGAAAAGTTCCTGAAATACCTTGGAGTGCACTAGCCTTTTCATACTCTAACGTTTCCTTACGCCAACTCCGTGCTACTGCTTTGTACACAGCCAGCTTGTGTCGTCTGCTGCAAACGCGTCATTTGGCAAGAGTAAAGTCCTTGCTGCTTAAATATTGCATTGCCAAGAATGCTGTAATGGAGGAATCCGTTACATACGTCACTTTTTAAATTAATTTTTCTTGAGTAGTTATGACTTTGTGTTTACACTGTCTGGGCTGAGTGAACATAGTGTAGTTATTCCCACCTACTGAAAAATAAACCAATGACACTGCATAAATTTAGTGCGAGGACTTAAACCGCCCAGCTTGGAGACTCTTCCGCTGTCCAGCTGTTCGCCGCTCTCGTTGTCTTATCTTTATATTGTACAAAGTTTTTCTTCTTTGTATTTCTTTTTTTCTCTGTATTTTCTTCTTTGTTTTTTTTTCTTTTAAACAGTAGGTTAGGAAAGGATCGTTCGGAATGCTCCTGTTCAATCCAGTTCATACAGTAGAGTAATTTGACATTGTCGTTACAACAAACCCTATAAATAGCTGTACATTGTAAAAAACGGTACATAAATGTAATGAACCTGGGGTTTCGTATTTTAGTGGCTACCGCTTGGTGCTGACCTGCTTAAGACTGGCTCTGGGGTGAAGTTTGAGACCGCTTCGTCCGTCCGTTTTCTGCTTTCGCCACAAGCTTGGATCACTAGTTATTTAGAGCATGACGTCATGCGGTAGATGTTTGTGACGTTCAACCACCAGTGGCGTTTTCTGGTCGCTTTGCTGTTTTTCTGTTTTGATTTTTGGGTTTTCCTGGCTCCTTGGATTTGCAGTGAAATGTTGTATGTAGGTACAGTGGTATATCGGCTTATGTATATATCACCTCACCGGAGCCATCCATGAGAAAAGGATCGTGAAGCAGTAAAAACATTCACACTAAGTTTCGGTTTCAAAAATATATCTCATAATTTAAAACCGTGTCAAATAGGTGGACATTGTCTGTATGCGATTTCTAAATTTGGCTTCTTGCTGGTTTCCCCATGGCCAGCAACATAAACAGTCACTACGCAAACATTCGTCTTGCGCTAAACTGCATTTTTTAATTTTCGGCGAGCTTTTTTTATGCCCGTCCGTTTTCTTTTTTCTTTTTTTTCTAAAGGCATGTGAAGGCGTTACGCATGTGGAAGCAGCTCAATGCTTCAGCTTGTTGCACACTTAAGCTGCGCTACGACACTAAAGCTTTGAGCGGCCCCGGCATGAATGTTGTCATGCCGAGTCGTCTCGCTTCTAGTAGAAGCGCAAGATCCCACTGTGCTGACTAGACCCTTAGAAAGCATACACCAATGTCCAACACAAGACTCACGCACAGACCCGCTCTCCTGGAGGCTCTAGGTGCGGCTTGCAGGTGAAAACTGGATGGTTCAGTGGCTCAGTAGAACAGGCTGCGTGGTATTCTATTAAATACGGTACAGGGTTCTCACCAGCGCACTGGAGATTATGCACTTCTGCCAGGCCTTGTCCCAAACAGTCATACTGTTATTTTTATCTCTCTGTTTTTTTTGTTGCTGCTGCCGCTGCTGTCGCATCATTGTCTCACTGATTTGCCCTCTGACAGGAAATGTTTTCATGTGGAATTGTGTGACATTTATGTAATCATATTATCAGCACGGGACAAGGCACATATTTGTTGTTCACTTTTTGCACTTTTTTCCTTTTTCTTTCTCTCTCTTCTTTCCTACTGTTTCCGCTTTTGTTCTATTCCTGACCACACCTCCCCCGCTTAGCGAAGTACAGTGTAATTTAAATACAAACAACTTTGCTCCGTTCTTACAGGTTCTGTAATTATGTTTTCAATCCCTTGATATACTCAGCTCACACAGGTCATTTGTAAAGCGCTTATTAATGCGCACCAAAAACTAGGTAAATACTATAAGAATTGTCAGGTATTTCCGACGGAGCTGCGCGTGTACATTGCAAGTAGAACATAAATATATTTTCCTGAACCGTGTCCATGGCCCAGCCAAGGACATTGCGATCAGAAAGCGTCAAACATTTTTTTTTAAACGAGCGTACTGAAGGCCCTCGTGCTTTGTTGGACGTACCTAAGAGTCTCTGGTGGAGTTCGGAGTTGGTGGAGTTGAGATTTGAGGGCTTGGGTTGAGTGGTTTCTCGGGTGGGTGTAGGCGACGAGGCCCCGGTCCCGGAAGACGGCATCAAGCCCACCTTCACAGAGCGGCCCGTCATCAAGCAGACGGAGGACGGCAACAGTGTCATCATCGAGTGCAGACTAGTCGGCGAGCCCAAGCCCCAAGTACAATGGTGAGTTGTTGCTGCAGAGCGTTTTTCTTCATCAATTGTCTTGTTTTCGGGACGCATAATGGTTATTTTGAGGACAGGTCCGATAGCCATTCATTCAAGCGTAAGGATTGTTTACTTTGAGGCACTCGCCACTCTAACTTCAATTTGTGGTGTCTCGCGGCCACGGTGTGGGTTACCGGGCTCCCAGGCTACACCTGACCTCAAACGAATCATTGTGCCTTCCCGACTGGCGTCCCGTCCTTACACCATCGCGCCTTTGGTTTCAGGTTCCAATCTGGCAAGGAACTGACCGAGGGCGGCCGGCTGTCGATGTCACTGGAGGTGGACGAGGTCTTGTACTACATGGCCCGGCTCGAGATCAGCGGTGTGGCGACCACGGACGCCGGCGAGTACAAGGCAGTGGCCAAGAACACTCATGGCTCCTGCCAGGCTACCATCAATCTCAACTTCGACTCTTCAAGCGACAAACCGAAGTGAGCTTTTCCCTTCCCGGTTACAACACGTAGTTGAATAATTTGTAAATGCAAAAGCTATTTTTGATATTTTTGTTTATTTTGCGATAAAAAATTCCCATTCTGGTTGATCTTTAGCACGCACCTACGTACACCTTGAATAATTTTGGCTGCAGATTTCTCTTTTCAAGTAATGACCCGCTCGATGGAGTGACAGATTTGGTGTTTGATCCAGAATTCCCGACGGGAAGGCTCCGCGATTCCCGAAGAAACCGACTATTCGCCAGGAAGGAGAGGTGCTCATCATGGAGTGCGTCTTAGAAGGCAACCCTGCCCCCGAGATTACCTGGTTTCAGGGCCAAAAGGTCATTGCAGATACTAACAGGGTGCGCCTCATGCGCAAATCTTGTGGAAAAGACACTTACCTCCTCACGTTGGAGATATCGAGTCCAACGAGAGAGGACGGCGGAAACTACAGGTGTAATGCCTTCAACATTTATGGCGAGAGCAATGCCAATATTGCACTCAACTTCCAAGGTACGCCTACGCGTCGCTACTCCCCTCGCATGTTTTCCCTAATCCCAGCACGCTTTTCCGCAGGCAATGTTGCAATGGTGCAGGAATTTGGTCACACTAATAAGGTCTTGGGTCAGTTGACCTGTATATGTGTATATATAAATTGGTGTATATATGTAAATGGTGTTCATTTCCCATTGAACCTCCTCATAGAAGTAGGAATCTTATAAACTGCTTCTGTGGCGCACGATATATATTTTGATGGTGATGTCATGAGAATGTCTAGACCCTGTCTCCCGTGTCTCTGTTCTTTTACCACGCCTGCTCGTTTTCTTACAGTTTCTCTTTTTAAGATGGTACTTTTAGCATGAGCCACTGAACCATTCTGTAAATAGTGCACTGATTGAGTTTGTGCAATGTCGCATGATTTCCTTACAGCCATGGTCAGCGCGTCCCTTGCGGTTGGCAGTGCGGTGAGATCTATGTCTGCTTTTATCCCCAAAACCGTATTTACAACAACCTCTCTTTTTAAAATATTCGATTTTTCGAATCCCAGAAAAAAAAGCCACTTAAAATTTTGTCGTGAATAAGCATTTAAATAAGTGCACTGTTGCAGGCGGAGATGATGCAGGTTTTGCCCCATCATTCGTCGAGAAACCTAAAATCATTCCAAACGAGACCGGCACTCTTATTACAATGAAGTGTAAGTGCAAAGCGAAACCGAAACCGGACGTTACATGGTTCAGAGGCACTACAGTTGTGAAAGAGACGTCGAAAATTAAAATAAAGAGTGTCGAAGCTGGTGAGGACACATACGAACTTTCACTCGAAATCAAGGCAAGTTACGGTTGTACATGGCATTGAAGAGGCTTTGCGCATCTGCGCGCTGGCCATTGTTTTTGCCTACTTTAAATTTGAAACGCCTAATAACGTTTGTAATTTTTTTATTTTTAGGACCCTTCAGGGCCCGACGGTGGCACATACAGGTGTCACGTTAAGAATGAGTTTGGTGAAAGTAATGCAAATTTGAATCTCAACATCGAGGCGGAGCCTGAGCCCGAGGGCGACGGACCAACATTCGTTGACAAACCACGCATCGTTTCGGAACAGAACGGGAAGCTTGTAATCATGGATTGTCGCGTGAAGGCCGACCCCAAGCCGACAATCGTGTGGACTCGTGACGGCAAGGAGGTGAAAGAAAGTTCAAAGATCACCATGAAAGTGGAGGCCAAGGGTGACGTGTATTACATCAGACTGGAACTAAAGGTGAGATTATTGCTGGAGAGCTATACTGAATTAAGGTGGTGTAACAAAACTTTAATGGGGATATTTTTTTATTTTTTCTTATAGGACCCGCAACTGGAAGACTCAGGACTGTACAAATGCAACATTAAAAACAGCTTAGGAGAACTTAATGCCAATTTAACGCTTAATATTGAAAGTCAGTACACAAACTTTCTGTTTTGAATTTCATGTGACTTGTAATGTTGTTAGCTCTGCATAATTTGTTGGTATTTTTTCAGTTATCCCTGTTATTAGGCAACAACCAAAGATCATCAAGGTCGTGAAAAAGAAAACGGTTATTGTAGAGTGCCACGTACAGTCCAAGTTTGCTCCTCAGTGCACTTGGTTCAAGGAAAAGACTGCCGTGAAAGAAGATTCCCGGCACACTGTCCACGTTACACAGGTCAAGGAAGGCGAGTTCTCGGTCAAGCTGGAAATCGAGAACGTCAAGGAAACGGACAAGGGATCTTACAAACTTGTCGCTAAGAACGAGAAGGGCGAGACTGCGTCGCAGACTGTGGAGCTAACTGATATTCCTAAAGACGAGGAAGAAAAGCCAAAGCCTCAAGGGGACAAGCCCAAAATCAGCAAGGGGCTGAAATCCCAGGTAAAGTCATGGGCAAACCGTAGAATAATACACAATACAGCCCAACTGTGTTTGCAACGCGTTTTCTTTTTTCTCAGACTGTTGATGAAACAAAGTCGGCGGAGTTCTCGGTTAAGCTCATCAAGACAGAAATGAAGGCAACTGTAGTATGGTACAAGTAAGTAGCGCGCCCTTTGAGGTCCCCGCCCGTCTGGGTACAGACTGCTCTGTTTAAAACTAGTTCCTGAAAAGTTGTCAATAAAATTCTTTCTGGACTGAATGATTTACAACGGTATTTTTTTAACAATCTAGAAACAACACGGTCATCAAGGAGCGGGAAATGCACCAGTCTTTCGATGGCACCACAGCCACTTTGCAGATTTCAAGCTGCAAGGTGGATCATGCTGCCACCTACAAGGTGGTCATTACCAATGAATTTGGTAGTGACGATTCTGAGGCGGACCTCAAAGTAACAGAAAAGAAGAAACCGCCAGAAAAGGTTAGAAACTGTCATTGTGTTTTTTCGAACGATCTGTGATAGATACTTAATTGTGTACCGTTCTGAACCACTTGTTCACTAGCACAAGAAGTATATATTCGAATTGGCACCGATTTCCTCCCATACATTCGGTCTTAGCGTATGTAAATTTACATGTGAAAGCCGTGGCTGACTTGAATCAAGCATGGACATGGTTTGTCCCCCTTTTGAGCACGATTTATCCTTGTCATGCATAGAGTCAGTCAAATTTATCAGGCTCTGTCGATGAGCTAGTGCGTTGAGGTCTCCATTGTTAAGTGAACTTTGCGGTGTACTTTTAAGGCGCGTAATGAGAATGCAAATGGACCCATTCATGTTTGCGAATTTTGATAGGTTTCCCTCATACGCTGTTTCTAACATTGCATGTTAATTTAACAGAAAGAGGAAGAAAAGAAGAAGGAAGAAGAGAAAAAAGTGGAAGAAAAAAAGGTGGAGGAAAAGAAGGTGGAAGAGAAAAAGGTCGAAGAAAAGAAGGTTGAGGAAAAGAAAATTGAGGAAAAGAAGATAGAAGAGAAGAAAAAGGTTGAGGAAAAGAAGGTGGAGGAGAAAAAGAAAATTGAGGAGAAGAAGGTTGAAGAGAAAAAGGTAAAGGGATTTTTTCATTGTCGGTGTTGACTAAGATTGAGTTAACATTAAGTATAAAGACTTTGCTTTGAAACGTAACATTTTAATATTTCAAAATTTATCTGCCTTGTTCTTGTTTATATGCTTTCAATGTTCATTTCTAGTTCATTTTGGCTAGGATCGTAACCATCGCGTTCAATAGCAAGGCGTGATTTTTTCTTTTTGTGCACCAGAGCATGTTTGTGATTAGATTGCATGGCATATAATTACTAACAGAGATAAGGCGTGTGAGGCAGCAGCGTTAAGTGATGCCTGTTGCCCCAGAGCTGTCTATGCAACCTGACTTCCAAGTTCTCGCCGTCCCTTCTGGCAGTGGTTGCAGAGGTAATATGTCAGTTACCACTAGGGATGCACTTGGCTTATCTTCTGAAACAGTACCCTGTTGTCCATTCATCGCGCACCAAATCCAATAAGAGGCTAAAAGTACTACTGTTTGGGTCCAACAAGTTACTGACATATCTTTCAATCGTCATCCCGTAATTTCTTAGCCGCTCATTCATTTAGTTAGTTATTCATTTATCATCGCGCGATATTATCTTAACTGCTTATTGAGTTGCATATTACGCTTGTGAAAACAAAACGAAACGCTTTTTTATTTTTATGTTGTGCTTTTTTTCAGGGGCCACCACGATTGGTAAGAATTTCTATGTACTTGTCATTAGCCTGTTGTTCAGTGCATGTGTTTGGGCACGACTGCATACAAATGTGCCCCTCTCTCCTCTTTGAACTACCAATACACTTTACAAGGACAGTAAACACTTACATTTTCTCACACAGATTGACAACCAGGTGGACAAAGTTAACGATTTGCGGCAAAGAAACGAAGACGATGAAAAGGTAAACAGTGTGAAAACCTCACTCGACTCACATCATATCATAGCAGTTATCACTTAAACATGAAACAGCGTCCGCATTCAAGCGTGCACCTTGTGACCTTGCGGGGGGCTGGCCCTACTGCCATTTCATAAAGGCGTGCCATTTCCAGCGTTTAGAAGGAATAATGCTAGTCTCATTTCATGTGTGGTTCCACCGCCCTAGCTTACCTCTTGTCACACCTGTTCATGGATACTCAACATTAGACATTGATGAAAAGCACTTCTCAATTAATATCTCAAGGAGTATCGGGGTTACTCCAGCTACTCTCACAAACCGGTCATTCAGCCCCGCTCGAAGTGCCCCTGTATCTGAAGCGTTTCCATTGCATGGACCGTTGTGGCACGTTTCAACATCTTTGTTCTGTTTTTCCCTTTTTAAGGAGACCGTTAAACGGACGTCGTTGAAGAAACCGGAAGAGAAAAAAGACGACAAGGTAAGGCATTCCATCCCCGTGCTAATTTATGTGTCCCACACCCATCATAAACCATCATCTACAAATCACACACTGGAATTACACTCACAGAACAAATCCATTTTTAGAAGTTTGTTCAATGTTTTTAAGTTCAGAACTTTGGCACTGTTGGTATTGTAAGCTAAAACTTTTCAAAAGGTTACGTAGCATTTTAATGATCCAATTTGTGTTGATAAAGAAAAGTTTGAGGTGTGCGTTTCATGCAGTCTACGTTTGTGTCGAAGAAAGTAAGGAAGTTTTATATGTTGGTGGACACCGTTTTTATCTCGACTAAGCGAAGACTACAGGAGGCTTCCCATGGAATTTGAGCTGTTATTGTACAGGAAACCACCCCACCTGCTAAGCTGTTTTCAAAGTCACTTTTGAAACACGTGACTCCGAAGAAACAGCCAATCAAGTATGAAAGCTTCCTCGACGTTACGTTGAAACCGGTCGAGCGTACAACAGCTGAGAAGATAATAGCGGCAAAGAAAGCTGAAGAGGAAGAGCAGGTGACTCATCTGCACTGGCTTAGCACGTTTATACGGCCACCGCCATAAATAAGAACTTTTTGGGTGCTTCTGCAATGCTAGAAGAATTTGGATGAAAAACAAACGTCTTTTACAAAGTATTTTTCCCATTATAGTGGTTTTTATTCTCACTGTCAACAGCTCTTTACGATCGCAACCCTCTGCTAGCCTGCAAAATATTTGCAGTGTAGTTGTTTGCTTCAGAGTAGACCCGTGTTTTCAAAACAATTTCTGAATGCTTTCAAATTAAATTTTTATAGCCAGGGTATGCTTTATTTTCTTTGAAATTTCTCCATTTGATAGTGAAAAAGCTTCTAGCAGTGCTGACGACTCTCTGAAACGAAGCAGACGTAAATGTCTTGGCCGTGCTCGCTCTTGTTTCGTGTCTAGACGAAACGACTTTTCTTACTCTCCGTCTTCCGTGTTCGTCCCTCTGTACTGCTGGTCTTCATCTCTTCACGCCTGCCTGCTGAACGCATGCAAGATGCGACCACCTACACATGCATGGATCTAAAGGGTCGCACTAAATAAGTGCCATCCGAGTCGACGGCATTATTTAATAAAAGCACCTAAACGGAATGCCCACATAAATGCAACTGCCTGCCGATGTTAAACGAAGAGGACCACCAATTAAACAGACTTAAACGACTACTGTCATTAATTTGGCATTTGCACCACCAAGTAATGAAGCCTATTATTCAACAAGAATGTAACAGTAATCCAATGTGTTTGCAATATTGTATCAATTTTATTACAGTTATTGTATCATTTGACACAAGAAATAAAACTGTCAAAACTGTCTGCACCTTTTAGCTCCGACTGGCAGCATCTTCCTTGAGCCGAAAGTCGTCCCTTTCATTGGACACTTTCGTAAAGGTATGGGGTCAATACTCACTTTTACAAATCCGAGAACAATTTGCTCTTATACATGTCAATCCTTTTCCTTTCTATTGCTGTTGCTCCTCGCCCAAATAAGGCCTGCCGTGTGCCTGAACCCTCGACATGCTCCCCACGGATCCCTTGACTTATTGTGTGGTATACTCCTATGTCTACTGCAGCCTAGCACGGGGGAGACCAATGGATCGTCACCAACATCTCCACAGTCGTCAGCGCCTCCCTCCAGATCAGGATCCATCAAAGAGCCTCAATCCACAGAAGAAAAGAAGACTCCGCTCAAGCGCCGTCCAATTCAAAAGCCAGAAGAAAAGCAGGACAGTTTTCTTAACGTGCAGCTTAAACCCCTAAGCAAAGAAGAGAAAGAAAAGAGAGAGAAGGCCAGGCTAGAAAAAGCAGAGGCGCTTAAGGTGAGGTGTCCATAAGTCTGCTTCCTGCCACAACGATTGGTCAAATAAAAGCGTCAAGATCTAAATAACGAAGCTGAATAAGAATCAACACTGAAGTACAAACCCATCTAAATAAGCATCTGACCTACTGGCACTGCGTTTCACCAAAAAGTGACTGGTTTCGGTAGCACTTGTGAGTGGCTTGCGAAACCTTTACTAGAGGTAAACCTTTGCCTTTAAACCACTCGATTTTCAGTCGAGTTAAATAAAATCTTCATAAAAACGTGACATAAAATGATCCGAGTAAATAAATAAGCCCTGTCCTCGAACAATGTGACCAACCTGTAACGCTTATCCATCAAGGAATCTAAAACAATTGCCATTTTAAAATCTTTTCATTATAAATAGGCTGTTTTTGGCCCCCATATTTACTTGGATACTCTCTCCTGCCACAGCTTAAAAATGGAACGGATGCGAGGAAGTCATCTTTGAGTGTAGAGGAACCAAAGGTACTTGTAAGGAATAGTAGCTTACGTTTTGGTATAACTTTTTGCTAATAAAATGCTTCTACGGACAGAAACTTGGCGAACGAAGACTCTCCACGAAAAAAGTCGAGGAGGATGTCGAAACGAAACGCAAAGCGTCGATTATTAAAACCGAGGAAAAGGTGTGTCTTCTTACATAATTTGCCTATTGTGTTAGCTGTGCACAATGCTTTGGACAAAATATAGACTTCTTTTATGTTTACTGCTGTACTGCAAGACCATAACGCTCTTTCAGACTTAAAACTAATACCTCTCCCTAGGCAAAGTAGACTGTCGAAATGAAAAAAAAATCAGATTTAAGCCTTTGTTCTAAATGCTTACATTTTGTCCGTGTCTAGCCGTTGATATCGTTTAACTCCTCACGTTTATATCTTTAATATGAATGCTTTTAAACATTTGCTTAGTAAATTGATACGATTCTTACGATATTTCTCAACTACTTTAATGTGCTTCAACGCTGTACATATCTGTATGAGCTTTCTTTCGTCTTCAGGTTTCTCAGCAAGTTGGAAAGGCACCCGTTACAGAACGAAGGGAATCCGTTAAGGTACTAAACATACAAAACGATCAAAGTTTCACGGAGACGTTGTTAGTTTTTGAGCTAGAAAGCATACGACAAATAAGAGACCTGACTAACTTTCTAACATTAAAAATGTGGTCAGATTTCTGGATTTCCAAAATTAACCTACATTCCTTGTATGCTATGATGTATAGGTTTAATTTTGTACGGGTATTGTGACCCAAACGTCTCATTGTTTTTTGAGTTAATAAGCCCCACCACGTTGGTGACACTCCATAAAAAATGACGATTCCAGGATTGCCGCTTCTAGTTTAAAAGTGCGCTCTAAAGCGCCGTAAATGCAACAGGCTTTAGTCCTTTTGTCATTCGGTCCTATAAAGCAACCATTTTTATTTATGCCTTTTCAACAAAAGCCACCTTACTAAAATTTTGAGTAAGCATTAAAAGTTCTTGACAAAAACGTAATTTTCACGATTGTGTTGCCCAACAGATCCAGGAGGAAACCTCGGATGCTCGACGAAAATCTTCAGTATTTGATAAGGTACAAAGAACGAAATTATCTATGCTTTACATTTTTACAGTGCGTGTAAATTTGCTTATTGCCTCTGCAAACAGCGAAACATTTTTATTTAAGTTCATTTTTGTTCTTAATACAAAAATCCCATGTGTATGTTTAATGGTTTAAATACAAGTATAGAAATATGTACATATACTTAAAAGGCGCCAATTTTCTTTATTTATATTATTTTATTTTATTTATATTTAAGCATGATTACTGATTAAAGAAACCGATCAAAACTACGTTATATTGCATGTGTATGTTATATGCTTTCTATTTTTATTGTGATTTTGCATGTGCACAAATACAGACTGAACCGGAGAAGAAATCTTCGGCAGAAGCAAAGGTCCCCTCCGACTTACCCGAGCCAGAGGTAAGTCACTGTGCAAGTTAAATAACACTGGGTGCACTGTCAAAACTTTGTCAAATTATGCAGTTCAGAACAAAGCGAGCAAAATAATTTACGCCTGTATTTATGTGCAGTAAAGCCTGCATCCGGTAGAGTAAAAGTTGCTACGGGCCCTAAATTTAATTATTTACTATGCTGAAGATAATTTTTTCCTAAACAAGGCGTAAAAGAGCTGTGCTAATTTATCAGTATTTTGACAGTGCACCTGCACGACAAAAGAAAACTTAAATATCAAGCATCCTAGACAGATCTGCCTGGTATTTTTTTGTGCTGGTTTCACTTCAAAAACACCAGAAAAATAAAAATTTTGTCCATTTGAAATATTAACTTGGTGATTCTGCTGGTAATGTTCACTGCATGTGTATATTTTTAAGGCGGAAAAGAACGCTCCATTAAGAAAAGCTGGACTTAAGCCTGAACCACCAAAGGTATAGTTTGATGCCCTCACGGACTCAAATTGTATATACAATACCTCACTAATGCATGTGTCTGTTTTACTCATTACGCGCACAACAATTATTTTACCCGAAGAAGGAGGAAACAAAACCAACACTGAAACCTACACCAGTACAGAAGCCAGAAGATGACAAGGTACGACTTGTGACATATCAGTTATATTCAATGTGGCGACTCATTCTTAACAACCCAGGCTAATACCGTCACATCAAACTAGGATTAAAATAAGTACGGCAAATAACAATCTCGTTTAAATTTTACTATTTCTCTTCAGCAAATAGAAAGTGTCAAAGAACAACCTGCCGCAACCGCAGCAACCGATCGACCGGTATGATCGCATAACACAAATGTACCTTAGACAATGTCATATTTCGTTCGTTACAGTGGCAGATTTTTGTAGTAGTTTTACACAATCAGCCACTCTTGACTCAATGATCATATTTTGCTTAAATTTTGCTAGGTCCGCAAAAAGTACGATCCAATGGCGTTCATTCCGGACGTAGCGATTGAGGAGCCACAGGCTTCAGAAGTTTCTACAGTAACCCCTAAAATAGATACAAATAAAACTCATGAAAGGGTGAGAGACCATTTGTTTGAAATGCGTTGTAGATTAATATCTGTTAAGGACAGTTTGTCATTTACACTTTGATTTTAATGTTGTAGACAGTTGTCTTCCTAAAAGTATACATTTGAAGTGCCGCCAATAAAACATGCTGTTTCAACTTTGGCATTTACAGTCAGCTAAAGTAGAAGTTGAACTCACCGTATTTTGGTTTTGCAACATGATTTTCTTAAAGTAGTTTGATGCATGTGTCGAATTTGCAGCTCACTCTACACAGTACCAACCAACAAACGTGTCTTTCAATCATTCCTAGTAGTTTTAAAAATGTCCTTGGTTATTGTTACAGCATAAACACTAACCTATAGACACAGCCTTTTATTCTTACGAGATAACTGCCTGCAAATCCAGCAACCCATTGTTAGCCCTTTCAAGTTCTTGTGCTTTGTGGCAAGCAGGATCTCGCTTGACGGCTGTCCAGTTGTTTGCCAATTTCATAGTTAAAATTTAAGTTTGATTCTTCGCTTTTAGTGGAAAAACATAAAATCTGTGCAAAAGAGGAAAAGTCAGAAAATATCACTGGATATAGCCTAAAAGTCTGCGCTATCACAACAGGCATTGCTAATGTACTTTGGCCACACTAAAATCGCAGAGCGCATTTAATTAGGCAAATGTAGAAAGAAGGCTTAGTAGTGTAGATGTGTGGTATGTTTTGTCTTGTTTGCCATGAAATTCCTTAGTGTGTATAAATTTGCCTTCAACTCCACCATTAAAAATTGATGGTCGTGTTTTCCGTTCAGAAAAAGTACGATCCTATGGCATACATACCGGATCCAGATCCTCTAGAGGTTTCCGACGACCAGCCCATTGTTAGTAATCCAGCAACCAGCACAGCGTCTAGTGGAATGGCTCCTACCACGACTATTCCGAAACCAGTTCAGACAAAAGTGACTGTTCCTAACGCTAGTGTGCCAAAGGTCACTGTGCCGTTACCGGTGAGACATTTAAAGTGCCTGTGTGCGGTTACGATTGAAATGCCTGGAATGATTAGACTGTTACTTGTATTTGACTGGCGTAGTAGTGTATGACTGAAGGTAACTTCAGCCGTTGAGCATTTCTGAGCGTTGTTTGCTTCTGATTTATCGCTCGTTTTAAGCTTAAACTTCATATAGAGTACGTAGAAATAATTTTATTCCATAGCACAAATGCATTGATTAAATTGCTGTACGAACTCTCTGAAACAATACATCAACTTACAAAGTAAAACTCTTTCTTCACGTCCGTGACCTATTGCACTTTTTCAATTAATCAAGTATCATTACAAATGTAGTTTGGAAAATACCTGTTTTATAACACGTACGCCGTACGCCCACATTGTTTGCATAATATCTTAAAAACCTGAAGTATATTACCTAACTGTCGCTATATGAGATCTTAGGGTGAAGTCAAAGTTGCGATAGGTGCATAACCACTATAAACTTATGATGGTTTGCCTACTCTTCAGTCTGCACGTAGCTCAACATTTACGCAGCACGAGGAGTCTATTAAACAAATGAAACCTTGCATGTATAAAAAGAAATTTTAAGGAATTCAAGCCAAACCAAGGACAAATGGCTTGACTTCATCGTCTTATTTGTTTCAACTTTCTGTTGTAAATATGTTTCTACTCTAGTGTGTGGTTTTAATATTATACTTCATTTCTGTTGCGTGAAATTGGGACTCACACGCAGAAGGATGAAAAGAAGCCGCTCGTCAACAACAAAGCCCCCGTGGTAGGTAGCATGACTGTTTTGCACATTTTTATTCTTTTGTTTGCGTTATTCTCTTCTTATTATGTTTCTAACGATTTATATCGTATATTGGTAAGACCTTTCTGCCGTCAAGGTCCCTGAAGCATGTGTTTCAAAAGCCGCCTATGTGCATATATCTATTATTCATAACTTTTTCTTGTTGGTACACTAATACAGTACAGCAAAGAGTATCAACCAGTATTTTTAACCTCTTATATTGATGCTATCTCTATGTTCGCTGCACAATCTTCCCGACATTTTAACGTGTGTTTCTCGTACTGTTAGATGGAGCGTGTTAGTAGCGTGGAAAGTGCAGCCAGCTCAGAAGAGGAAGACACCTTTGACGAACGTAGGCTGAAGGTCAGCAACTGGATTCAAAGTTCTGATAGCACTGAACAGTTCACTGGTCCAATAAAGGTAGAGTCTTTAACAATACTTCAAATCCCGCGCCATTTTTATCGGAATAATTATGAACACCAGAAACTTGGTTTGGTTTTTCCTTTGTCCTTTCCTGTTGGATCAGTGAAATCTCAGACATAACTTACGTAGTCTCGCGTTAAAAAATTACAACCGATCTATGACGAGTGGCCTTAGGCTCGTTCATATAGCATAGTATAGTTGCAGAAACATTACTACTATAAATAAAATTTAAAACTAATCAGAACTATTTAGACTAGACCAATGGGTAACCATGCAACGGCGTCTACACTTTATTTCCGGCTTGACGTTTTGCTTGTAACCAGCTTCCTGCTTAAAGAAACACTTAAAATGTAATAACATGTTCATGAAAGAATAAATAGTGATGTGGGACTGAATGTCACTTATATACTGAAGCTGTTTTGTTTTGGTCGCTTCTACGTCAAAACTTCGATGAAAAGATATACTATTATGTGTACTGGGAACGGCCAAAAACGCATATTTCTGTCACCAGAGTCGCATTACTGTCACAAGAGAAATGTCCTTATACCCATGTATATACTGTTGCCAAAACAGCGCTCTCATCATTCTGTTTTAATTCGGCAAAGATTTATGTTTTTAAAAACATTTTCCCAGCCTGTGGAGCAGCCCAGGGTTCCAGCAATACCTATAATTATTGTGGAGGCTGATCCGCCCACCTCAAATCACATTACCATGGCTGAAATTAAAAAACCTACGTTAAATCTTGGGAAAGCCCCCGGGACTAAACGAGAAGGGCCTCCTTGGAAGGTGAGACAAGCTGCCTTAAAACTACCCAATGCAATTGTGCCGTCCAGCTAAATGTTTCCAAATGAACTGTTTTCATCAGTCATTCATAGTTCACGTTTCTATCCATTTTGTTGATTTTTATTTCATCCAGGCGTGCTAGGCTTTGGTTTTGCTATTGAATTGTTGCCTTTAGAGTATTTATTTAGAAAGTACAGCCTCCAAGGCACATCTTTGCCCAAAGGCGTGATGTTTCATGGCAACTGTTATCTATTTTATGTTTTTTTCCCTCATTTTTATTACGAAAAAGTATCAAAAAAAGAAGTTTTTGGTCTGTGTAACTGTTGGTTGGTAATCCTAGGTTATTTTTATATGCCAATTTTGTTGTATTTTGATTTATGTTTCTTTATTTTTGTCTTGACGAGTAAATTTTTCAGGTGGTTGTGACCAAACTCCAAGACTTAACACCTTCAGTGGATACATATCCCAACACACGATTCATTATTCTTCCACAATTTTTGTTTTGTTTTTGTAGCCTTTTTAACACAATTTTTAATTTGTGCTCTGGCGTCAAAGCCCGCCTTCAAGTACGCTTTTGTGTTTGTAGATTCTGCTTTGTGTTGTGTTGTGGTGTTTCTATCGTTCAGGAGTACGGTGAGTAACAACGTTATTGTTCTTTAGCAAGGACATATTGTAAAATTTGTTTAATTATAAGACAAAACAACAATGCACTATAAGTGATGGGCCTGCTGATACAACTTGCTGACGAGGTCCAAGGTCTTTAAAACTTGGCACCGCTGGTGTGGATTCATATCTCGTGTTATGAAGGTTCTCAGTGTTTCGTAGGCCAAATGCATTGTTATAAAAATAGCTGCCCAGTGAGCCAGCTCGCGGTCACAACTCAGGTTCTCTTTAGTTCTCGTGAGCACTGAGACTCAGTCGTATACTTCGCGGGAGAGTTGAAATGCCTGTTACGATCCAGCATGTAATTCGTTGACGGTAGCTCTAGTTTGGGCAGTTTTACCTTTTTTACCTTAGTAGACATTTTTCATATTGCCTTAAAAGACCCGCATCAAGCATGTCAAAGCCCTTAGTAAGTGGTTTCATTTATAATTAGGGACTGCAAAATTGTTCTTGGACGTAGTCTAACGCATGTGCCTGTGCATCTTGGTCTTTAGCGCGCCAAAATTCCGGAAATCATTGCTCCGGAAGACTCTGGGAGCCGGAAGAGCTCGCTGATTCCTGGCTCCGCTGGATCAAGTCGCAGAGGATCCCTTATTCCTCCCGAGGAAATGGGAAGGCGGCCGTCACTTATCATAAGCGATGAGGTAAGATTGATCTTCGAATATTTCTCTCTGCAACGTTTCTTACGTAGAATACTGTGAAATTCTTTTAAAATGAAAAATAATTAGCACTTTAAAGCTTATACTGATCGGTGCTTAGACAACAAGAACTCTGTCTACCGCCAGCAATAGTTCGCGCACAGACTGCAAACATGTACATTTTACTACGATTTTGTAGATGATGTTTTCTTTCGTAAGTAGTCTGTCGTAAACATGTGACTAATTATAGAATTTATAGTTCTTCAGAGTCTGAGACACTGCAACTTTTTAGACTTGTCGCATGCCTTTTCCTTGTCATAAGGTCTTGTGTACATTTCCTTTTGTAAATAAAAGTCGTTTGAAATACTATTTACTAGGAACAATCTAGGCCGGATAAACTGGTAAACCGAAGCCACATCCTCTGGTTCCTAAAAAAACCTTATTTTTGTTTGTTCGTCCTCGCCTACTTACAGCAGAGATCCTTCCTTCCCTTTAGATAAAATGTGCAGAGAAACGAGACTTTTTTAAAAATTGCACTGCTATGTTTTTAAAGAGCAGTAAGGTGACTTCACAAATTTCTCTGAACATTCCATAATCACATATCTGATTTTTAGGAGAATAGGAAGCTGCGGCCTGGTGAAGTGATGGAAGATCGAAGGGTGAGGAACATCGCTTTCTTTTCTCGCTCACCGCTCTCTTCGTTCCTTCTGCTCACTTACAACTTACCGGAAGCCTATCTTTCCAGCTGTTGGGGTGTTGTCAATGCTTAATGATACGCTACAGTAATGTTGTAGAAAAATAATTCGAACAAAATGTTCTTTTAAAGGTTTAAAAAGTCAAAGTCTTTGTCTAAATCAATACCATAAACGTCTGCTTACATTTATTTTTATTAATCTTTCTTTAAGTATCATTTTTAATAAAGGTGTCGAATTATTTATGCGTATCCAATTTGAGCATACTGTCTTAAAGAGGCGGTAACTATATTGCTGGTCTCTTGTCCCGTTTTTGTCTTTTGCGTTTCTACAGGTGTTGTTTTTGTCTCGTGTTTCGTCCGTGTCGTTTTGTGACGTCTTGTCTTCGTCAAATTACCCTGCTCAACCTTCCCCATGCCCTCTTCCTTTCCCAAATGCGTGCTGTAGGTTCAATCGCGAACTGATAGGACTCTAAGGAGGAAGGGCCCCAACTTCAGGGTGTGTGTTTAGTTTAATCAGTTCCTACTGTCATGATTTCTCTGCAGGTTGGAAAATTGCGGCCTGGTGAGGTATTAGATGCTAAGGTGAGGCTTGCGGCACAAGCTGCAACAGTTGCCTTCAGGCTTTTGGCAGGATTAACCATGATGGCGCTGGTACTGGTTTTGCTCACTCAAACCACATGTGAACACGCACGAACACTTAACCAAATCACACATTCGTTTCAAAAAGAGTATGTTTTATGAAAACTTAAAATTGCTTCAAAACCTATAATGGTCGTTGTATGCTCGGGGTCTCAAACTCGCAGTACTTGGCCATATAAGGGCTGAATAAGATAAAGTTAAACTGCAGTCTTGCTATGCTATTTAACTTGTGTGACCCGGGAACTGTGGGTTGCATGCTTATTAAGGGTTGAGACCCTCAGTCTTTGTCGTATAATATGTGTCGTTCACACGCGTTTCAATATTGTGCTGTGTTCACTTACGGACATACCCGTGGTGTATCTGGCGTGTTTTGTTCTTTCTTAAATGTAAGAATGCAATTGTGCATCTTTCGTGTTCACCAAAACTGCATTTTTTCGATGAAAATGATCTTTTAGCAAGAACTCTGCCTCTGTAATAGGTTTCGGCCTCCAGATGCATTGTTTATATTTAAATTTAAAATACTTTTTGGAAATATATAATGCAACCTTATAGAATGCCACATTCCAAACAACTGCTTCAATTATTTTTGGTTTTACAGCAGAATGCTTACTTTTCTTCCCATGTCCTACTTCCCCTTCAACCCTTTCGGTAGGAACTAGCATTGTTGCATCGAAATTAATATGTGTACTTTGTTCTTCACAATACCAGAAAAGGGGATCTCGACCGGGTGAAGAGCAAGGTGCAAAGGGCGCGAAACAGGTTAGAGTAAAATCATCTTCAAGAATTTCCCGTTGTGTATTTGTGAAAGATTCTCTGTTTTATCTAAACAGATGCACTTGCATTTTAGAAGCTTTTTATGCTTCAAGTATGCAGTGCCTACTTGGAATCACGTCACTCATTTGTGGGATATCTTGAAGCCAGAAGGAATAAGACAATTATGTCATTCACTCTTGCAGTTATGTTTACCTGCAAGACAAGTAACTCTGGTGTCGAGGCATCTTGTTTATGCGTGATGAAGGGTTAAACCATTGTCAGATGGCTTTTAGAAATTGTAAATATCCTTAGAATTGTGATTAATCTGTACAGCAATTTAAGTTTTTAGTGCATTAGAAAAAGTGCTCAGTAGCTTATGTCCTTTAAGGAGGAACAGAGCTTTAGAGCTTAGACTTTTTGCAGAGTGTGGGATATGATTTTAGCCTGCGTGCCAGGCTTCCTTTTTTATTTTTGCGCCCCTTCTAGAAGGGTGTCTTAGCATTGTAGAAACCTCAAGCGTTTCTTGTCATATTTTGCATGAAAATTTTTCCAGGGCTATGTGTCATCCGGCGCCTGTCGTCTAGAATGCAGGATATTGTGTTCTATTATCGGTTCAACGATGCAAGGTCAATGTAAATAATATTGTATACATAGACGAAACTTACCTTATGTGAAATCAGGTTCTTCCTCGTTTTCGTTCCTTGAAATGTTTTTGGATTACAACCCCATTCCCTCCGTTCTTCTCCCTCTGTCTTTTGTGCGTTGTATGTAAAATTGAAGAAAGCCCGAATGACTCGGCTTGATTTGGAACAATGTTTACATTTGCATGATTCGCATAAAACATAGCTAAATGAATTTTGTAAAAGCTTGTTCAGTACAGCACGACCTGTGATATCCTCCATACATTCTGTTTACCTACTTATCCTTCCCATCATACATCCTTGCAATTTGTGTTCATAGCTTTTCGTGTTTTCCTTCGACCTGTATTTGTGACTTTGTGTGATATGTGTACCTGCATTTTGAATGTTTTGCTGTTATGTGTGTAGACAAGCTTGTCTATGTTCGTAATTTCTTCTCTCCACGCTTAAAATACTTGTTGCTTTACTGTTATTATCGCCTATTTTATCAAACCAACGCAAACACATCAGGTAAAACCGATACAACTTAACAGCCGTTGTTTTGTCTTGTATCAAAAAACTCTCAAGAAAGCACTTAAGAACAACTTTTGTGTTGCCTTGCTGGTCATTTCCTGTGTAACGTTTGTATCACAACGGCAGGAACTATACCAAAAGGTGACACCAAACAAGGCATCGTGATTAATTTAAGTCTTGGGTGGCTATTGCAGCGGAGGCGCCCCAGTACCGACATGCGGCGTCCGAGTGTTGCGGATCTTGATGACCTTATTAACAAGGCATCAACACCGCTCAAAGCAACCGGTGAACCTGGCCCACCTGTCATCGTCGATGTTCAGGAAAGCTACTCGGCGGTTGAAGGTTCGTTATTTCGATAACTGCATTAGAAGCATTTGCTTTGCGTTATCTTTTTTCTACAAGTATTCGTTCTTTTTAGATCAAACTGGGTATATGACTGTACAAGTGGAAGGCAACCCAGCACCAACATTTAAGTTCTACAAGGTACGTTTAGTTACAATGAACAGCAAACCCTCATTTTCAAAAAATGCTTTATTGACTCCTCACATTTTATGCTGCTTTTTCTTCACTGTGCTGCATTGTCTGAATACAATATTGTACAAATCTGTTGCTTTCCTCCACTGCGCTATAAACATCTTTTATGCATTAACATTTTGCTTTTCAAATGATTACACGCTGACCGCTTATGTAGCCTGAACCTATTATGGTAAGTGCTTGTGCAGTGCGTGTTTTTAGCTTTACAAGTCTTCACCTTTGGCTCATTACTGCCGCACAATTTTGAAATATGTTTTTAATTTCCAGGGCATGACTGAAATTATTGAAGGAGGCCGCTTTAAGTTTATAACTGACGGAAACTCAAATACCATCACACTTTGCATGCGGAAAGTCAAACCCAACGATGAAGGCAAATACAAAATTGTGGTCAGCAATTGCCATGGGGAAGACTCCGCTGAAATGCAACTTTACGTTTCCGGTAAAGAAGCTGTTTGACAAAACCGTCCCAGAAGAGTGTTGAGTGCAATCTCAACGTCGTTCTTTTGTTTTGCAGATGCAAGTGGAATGGATTTCCGTGCCATGTTGAAAAAACGCAAGTATGCTAAGTGGGGACAAGATAAGGAGGATCCGGACTGGGGTGACTTAAAGGAGGTCGAAAAACCAGTACCCGCTTTGAAAAAAGTGGAGAAGGTAAGAGAATTTATTTATTTATATGACATTGTTTTAGCTCAACTGCGGTTGCAGTTAAACTTGAGAAGCTGTATTTAGTTTGTAGTAGCAATTCTGCAGATTTTTAAGAAGTGTTTTAAAAACTGTTATAGAATTATCCTTTATTTCAGGTATATCTCTGTTTTGAACCCACCATTTGCTTTGTGTACCTGTTTGCAGGCCAGATCTGGCAGACTTCTCCATGTACTCGTGTTTTACTGCCCTATTCCTTTTCAAGCGCGTTGTTTCAACTTCCATCATTGCCTTGTTTACTTACTTCTGGTCCTGTCCTATATAGATGTTTATTTTCATCCTGTGTGAAACATGTAGGCGCGCACTTGTGTGCACGTCTTCGTGTTAACTTCTTCAAAACTGTCGTGTTGTTTCCCTGAACTTTGGCAAAATTGACAAAATTTGATGCCCTTTCGGATTTTGCGGCTAACCATTGTTTGTCAGGCTTAACACCGCATCAGTGCCATACACGTGACTTAAAACAATTCAGAACATTTAAAATGAAATTAGTGGTTTTTACTTTATGTGGAAAAAGTTTAACCGTTAAAGCCCAACCATTAAGTCATCCCGGCAAAAGTAATCCCCGATCAACTAACTGCGATGAAACCCTTAAGCCTATAATATTTTGCAACGTGGAAACAAAATAAGATGATTTTGTGAATAAGAATGTCAAAGTAACATACGTGACTTTGTTAATTACACTTGCTATTTCAGGCCGAAAATGAAACAGGCTGGATGGAAGACGATACCGACGGAGGCATTGTAATCAAGGTTGAAGGGAAAGTCGTGGCTAAAGTGCCTTCCGCCAAGAAAGGGGACACACACTGGAGATGGGTTAAGGTAGTGAAGGGATTGATTTCATCGGGATATATAAATAGTTTTTAATCTTCATGAAATAATTCATCGGAATCTTTGAATTTTGGTTAAAAGTAAATCAGATACGATAAACCTTGATGGAATAAAACAATCCCGTAACTCAAATGTCTAGTGTCCTCGGTTTTTGATTGTGTTCTCGATGGACGATTAATCCAACTAAAGAGGTTGACAAGCCATTAATCCTGTGCACCAATACCGTCTTGCTAATTTGGAGTTGTCCTCAGGAGGAATGCAACTACTTGGCAATGCGACCAAGAGGCCGCTTTGTGCTTGCTGACATGGTGCCCGACTGGCCGAAGCTCCGGCGAACGGAGGTCTGATGTATCTATTCAAACTTACAAATTGAGTTTATTCTGTAGTTATCTACAAGATTTCGCGTAGTTTCTATGTAGTGCATGAATCATTTCTTCAGAACTTTACTTGAACTCGTAGGATTGTCTTGAGTAGTAAGTAAAACTTGGCCAGACTGTACAATTTTCCATTTTCATTCTCCAATTACACAACATTAAACCAAAGTATCTCTTGAAAAATGGTTCTTTCCCTGATAGAAACAAAACATGTGTTTTCTTCCATCAACCGGCATAAAATGACTAAAGAATAGTTTTCTCTTAAGTTTTTTCATTTGAAAAGACGTATTTTCAGCCATTGGCCCTTACCTGTTTTTGTGCAATATCTAGGATGTTTTTGAAAAACGAAGACGCACATCCCTTCAAGAAGTTATAACAGATTGGCCCACGCTACAAATCTTGGACAGAGACATGCTCAAGGTTTGCCATAAACAATAAGAAATAAACTCTCTATATTTAAAATTATTTAAGTTAATCTGAAGTACCAATGAACGGAAAAAAGAAATTTTAAACTCATGTATAGCGCTTTTTGCTGCTTTGCCTGTCTAACTTTATGTAACACAAGCCAGACGTATGATAAAAATATCCTGAGTTGCTGTGTTTCATAAATTGACGATATGGTGCTACTTCAAAATTTCTTTTGCAGCGTCTGTTCTTCAGTCGGCCCTTTTACGTTATCTTCTTCCTCTGGTTATTTATGTCAAAAAATGTCATTAATGAAATTTAAAAAACCGTATTTGCTTTTTTTATTTGTGACGCAAAGTATCTTGTTAACCCAAGAATTATCAATTTCTTTACCGCTTACGTTAAATGCTCAATTTTTATAGCATGAATCAGTTGCTCGGATACTATGGCACATTTGAAATTCATGTATGCTGACACAATTTGTAATCTGTTTTTAGAGTAGTGAAAAAGTGGCGTCAAGGAGGCAGTCTCTTGCTGAGCTTATCCCAGATTGGCCCGTCCTTCATCACTTTCAGAAGACGGAGGTTGGACTACTAATGTCGCACGTCTCCTTCCATTCTTCACTTTGATCTGTCTTCTGTATGCTTGTGTGTATTCTTAAACTATACTTTCCTGTGTATCATTATTCTGTGCTCTTGTTCGTCTTCTCTTTCTATTCTCCAGGATTTGTCTTAATTTTGTTGGTGTACAATTGGCGTCCGGAATGGTTTCTTTCCAGTTCTATCTTTATAAATGTCCCTGCTTAACTGTGATGTAAATAGTTTTTGTGAACAATAGCTGTGAGTCATTTTATTGTCTTTGCATGTAACTTTGGCACTGTCATGTGTACAAAGTTCTTTAGGGCACCCTTACACTTTCTGTAACTTTACCCTCCATTTGATTCATAAACTGTGATGTTGTACCTTCCTGTAACATCCGTCTTTCTTCAATGTTCTCCTTTTGCATTACCATATATATCTTTATATATGGTATATGAAACCTGGTTATTTCAGAATTGGTAACATCCACAGTTAAAAAACTTTCATTATTAAAGAAAATTTACCTTTTCTTGTAAAAATGTTTACTTGTTTACCTTCGCATGGCAATTTATATTGATATCCGTGGGCTCCGGCGCACTGAGTAAAATATTACCATGATTTTGAGTCATCTTGCATGTCTTTACCTTTGTAGTTAAATTTATATTTTTAATTCCCCAATAAATATTTTTTCTGAAACAAGAAAGCATATTATATACTTCTCTTTAGAGTGAGATCATATTATTTGACACCTGCCCATACTATTTTGAGTAGTTTTCTTTCAAAGCAGTCCGTTTTGATTTTTTACAAAAACATTTTGGTGCAGTTTCATGTTCTCATATTGCGTTTTGTGTTGAGAATCATTTTGAAGGGAAAGTGAGTTGTATTTTGATTCTTCTTTTAGTCTTATTGTTCTATCCTTTTTGACAATTTTTGAAAGAAGTTCTGTCTTTTCTCACATTTTTCTTTCAGTTTTTACGAGCCCGGCTTAGTCATCAGTTCTTTTTTTTCTATTTTGACTGTGACTTTCCATTTTGGTCTTTTGGACAGAATTAATAGCAAAGTGTCACCTTAATTTTTGTTTCAATGAAAACAGTGGTATTGCCCCCTCTGCCCATATTTATTTATTCGCGTCTAAAATAAGAATTGATCAATATTTTCAGAAACCAGAGTCCTTCCTAAAGCCACTTGTAGACCAGTATGCTAAGGAGGGCAAGGACAAAAAGGTCCAATTCGAAGCTATTTTTTCGAAACCGAATTGCAAACCCAAGTGGTTTTTGCGCAAAGATGTAAGTATTGTCTCAACTTTAAAGGAATTTTCAATTTCCTTTTCCCATGAGTTCTTAGCCATACCGACAAATTTTCTATTGCAGGAACTTTTCCCAGGTAGCAAGTATAAAATTAAAAATGAGAACGACACATACCAGCTTATTATCATGGCTCCAAAGGTAGAAGATGCTGGAAAATACACTATCGAGATTGCGGGCGTCAGCAGCTTTGCATTCTTGAATGTCGATGGTTTGTTACACAACTATTTACTTACTATTAATTTATAATTAATGACCCTTGTGTGATGAATGGTGTTTGTTTTCTCAATGCAGAACCTGCTCCGTCCTACCACTTTATCAAGCCACTCGTAAAAACAGTTGAGGGCTACACCAAACACGAAGTTATTTTGGAGTGTGGTGTTAACAACAGTATGGCCAAGGTCATCTGGAAAAAGGGCGACAAGAAGCTAGAGGTGAGTGTTTGCACATTTCAAATCCGTTATGTGCAACACAGTGTCACCTTTCCCCTTGTGTTTGGTTTCATTTTTGTACATGTTTTAGCATCACATCTAATTGCAAATTGAGAGTACCTGTCCATTTCTTCTCGGCAAAATATTTTTGGAGTCTTAACATTATTCAGAATAATCCTTGTGTTGTAAAATTAACAGGATGGCGATATTTACGAGATCACCAAGGATATGCAAGGAAATTGTCGCCTTGTTATCAAATCTGCTGTCTTGGAGGACAGTGGAGAATACACCTGCAAGATTGAAAAGCAGGATGAAAAGACCATCACAGAAGTCAAAATTTCTGGTGAGCTGTTCAACCTCCTGAATCGTGCCGCTGGATAGGACTAACTTGATTCTCTTCCACTGTGCCGTTCACGTATTTCAGACTTCTAAACCTGTCTTCCGGAAAGCTAATCAGTTTTGCTCCTCCCCTATTAGCAGTAATGTTTTGTTTGAAAGTGTACCTTATTGGAGTGACCAAAGACCTGCACCGTTGCATTGTTACCTTCTGGAAAATGTCTGAGATTCCCTCGCTGCATGTCGTTTGTCAGTTGGATTATGTCCGTTCGTGTGTTTATTTTCCTGCCTGCTTCCTACAGAATACCCATACAAATTCGTCAAGGTTCTTAAACACCAGCAGCTCACTGAGAAGGACACCATCACTCTTCTCTGCGAACTTGACGACGCTACAGGCGACGTACAGTGGTTCAAAAATGGCGAAGAAGTCAAGCCTGACAAAAGGTTTGTATTACCTTTTTTGACCCGAGCAGCATCAACGGTTTAAGATCCTACGGAGAATTGCTGGAAGTTTAAAAATTACATAATTGTCGTAATAATTTTTGTAAATTGCAAATGATCTTTTTTGTGTCTCCTGATGGATCCTAATGAGTTAATCTGTGTCGCATGCCCTTGCCCTTTGAAAAACGCGTAGGATTACCATCACTCAAGATGGCCGAAAGCGGAAGATGGTCATCAAGGATGCCAAGGTCACCGACAGCGGCATGTACAAATGCACGACCAACGCAGACCAAACGGAAGCGGAAATACAAGTTCAATGTAAGTACTCGCACTAATTCTGACGACAACTTGATTTGGCAGTTCGTGTTTGCAGTTTGCTGATAGAAGTATTTGTCGAACTTGTAATGTTCCAGACATGAACCGCTTCAACAAGAAACTCAAAGATACTACAGGTATTGAACGTGAAAAGGTGATCCTGGATGTTGAGCTCCAGGATCAGACAGCCCCCGCCGAATGGAAGTTCAACGGCAAGCCAATCGTGCCAGATGAGAGGTGATTATTTTTATTAATATTTTGAGAAATAGACTAACCTTTCTCCTCCGCTAGCATTCTAACTTTCACTTCTTTTCAGGGTCGAAATCAAGAATCTGGGTGGTGGAAAGCATCAACTGGTCTTCAACAGAGTGGAGATGTCAGACGAAGGTGAAATCACCTGCGAGTCGGGTGTTTTGAGCTCCTCGTGCCAGCTCTCAGTGAAGAAGGGCGAAGGCAAGCCCATCCCTGACTTCCCCGATGAGGTAGAGGGCCCCTGCAACAAGCCCATCATCTTCGACATTCCGTTCAAGAGTAAGTACCATTGCCCCTGCCAAACGATACGACATGAACTCGTTCCTGACGTGCTCATTGCTCCCCAGTCGACGGCACCCGGCAGTCGCCCATCGAGGCCAAGCTCATGAAGGACGGCAAGGCGCTGCCCCTCAAGGACGTGGAGATCATCGTCATGGACGAGAAGGTGGTCTTCAAGGTGAAGAAGCCCGCTCGCGAGCTCAGCGGCCCGTACCAAATCCGCATTGGCAACAAGCAGGGCGAGGCCGTCAAGGATCTCAAGATCAACATGCAGGGTAAGTACTGTGAAGCCGGTGTCGGTAACGAGGTCGCCGAACAAGTTACTGAGGACTGACTTTGCTTTTGTCCAGACGTACCTTCACCTCCCGAGGACGTGGATGTGACGGAGGTGTTTGCTTCGTCGTGCATCGTGGCTTGGAAGCCCGGTAAGGACGATGGCGGCGCCCCGCTGCTCAAGTACGTCGTGGAGCGCCAGGACCTGAGCGTCAAGGGAGGCTGGGACAACGTGGGCGAGGTCAAGCCCGGCGCGCCCACCGTCTTCAAATGCGAGGACCTGACCCCCAAGCGGGAGTACAAGTTCAGGATCCGCGCGGTCAACAAGATCGGCTCGTCCGAGCCCGCGACCTTCGCCAAGCCCATCCTGGCCAAGGACCCATGGGGTGAGTACGCAAAGTCTGCCTTATAATCGGCCACCGCATTGAGGGACCCGCTAACTCAGACCGTTTCCAGACGAACCCGGCAAGCCCAACAACGTGGAGGTGGTGGACTGGGACAAGGACCACGCCGACCTCAAGTGGGACAAGCCCCTGAACGACGGTGGCGCCCCCATCACGGGCTACGTCATCGAGTTCAAGGAGAAGTTCGGCAAGGACTGGGTGACCGGCAAGGAGATCGCCGGCGACGTGACGGCCGCCACCATCGACGGCCTCAAGGAGGGCACCCAGTACGAGTTCCGCATCCGCGCCGTCAACAAGGCGGGCCCCGGCGAGCCCAGCGACGCCACCAAGCCCATCATCGCCAAGTGCCGCTTCGGTGAGTATCGATCGCCGCCACCCTGAGACACTGCCCGCGTTGCATCGACTAACTGTGACCGGGCTTTGCAGTCAAACCCTTCATCATCGGCAACGACCTCGTCAACCTGGTGGTCAAGAAGGGCCAGACGATCAAGTACGATATCAAGTACGGCGGCGAGCCCGAGCCTGAGGTCCGCTGGGTGCTGAACAACACCGACATCAAGGAGGACAAGGAGGAGAGGTGAGGACTGAGGTGGTGCTGAGCGCCCGGAGCGCGGAAACGAGCGGAGGACTAACCTCTCTGCCCGCAGGATCACCATCGACAAGTACGAGCGCAACACGGTGCTGACGGTGCGGCGCGCCGTCCGCTTCGACAGCGGCAAGTACAAGCTGGTGCTCAAGAACAGCTCCGGCACGGTGGAGGGCACCGCGGACGTGGTGGTGCTCGGTGAGTACGCGCTTTCGAGCCTCGGCCGCCTCGGCAGGTCCCTGGGTTCGAGTACCAGTCCGCTGACTGTCCCTCTGCCCCTCAGACAAGCCCACGCCGCCGGGCGGCCCGCTCAAGGTGGAGGACGTCCGCGCGCAGCACGCCACCGTCAAGTGGAAGAAGCCCGAGGACAACGGTGGCAGCGACATCACCGGCTACGTCATCGAGAAGATGGACATGGACACGGGCCGCTGGGTGCCCGCCGGTGAGGTCGGCCCGGACGCCGACTCGTTCAAGGTGACGGGCCTCACGCCCAAGAAGAAGTACAAGCTCCGCGTCAAGGCCGTCAACAAGGAGGGCGAGTCCGAGCCGCTCGAGACCACCGACAGCTTCATCGCCAAGAACCCTTACGGTAAGACCAATGCGCCACCTTCCGTCGCACTTGACTCTTTCATTATTTCGTCATATTCCAACATCGTCCCACACACAAATATCTTGGAGCAAAAACTTGTGTCTCATCTTGTTGGTTTCTTTCCCATTTTCTGACTATCGGTTCGGTAAGTGGAGAGAGATGCGGTTGGTTCGCCTGCATGACGGCGATAGGCCTAGACGCATGTACCCCACACTTGCACGGGTTGCCCACCACACTTGGTTTTCCACCTCACTACTTAGCCTCCAGCGGCACTCGCACGTTCTCGTCGTAGACTAGCCGGGAATGATACTTGTCCGTCCCACTTCTGTCTGTCCTCGAGTGGCGCCCACGTCCTCTCGCACTGCGTCTTAGCGAGGCCCAAGGGGTCGCAGTTTCGACAAGTGCAAGGCGAGGGGGTGGGCGCGGCCGAGGCGTGGCCCTGACTGTGCGCGCGCTGTTGCAGACGAGCCGGGCAAGCCGGGCAAGCCCGAGATCTACGACTGGGACAACAAGAGCGTGACGCTGCGCTGGGCCAAGCCCCAGAGCGACGGCGGCCGCCCCATCACGCACTACACCATCGAGATGAAGGACAAGCACTCCAACGACTGGGTGGAGGTCACCAAGACGGAGAACGACAACTGCGAGGGCGTCGTGGAGGGCCTCAAGGAGAAGCAGGTGTACCAGTTCCGCGTGCGCGCGCACAACAAGTCTGGCGGCGGCGAGCCGTCCGACGCCACCGACAACCACGTCTGCAAGCATCGCAACCGTGAGTCCCGCGTTCCAAGCGTGCCACAGTGGGCCAGACGATCGGTGGCGGCGGCTAAAACTCTAGACGCGCTTTGAGCTCCAGAGTCGCTTAAAAGGACTCGAACCGAACGTGTGACCCCACCAATGGATTCCTCTTAGAACGAGGAGTCCATTGGTGGGGTCACAGGTTCGGTTCGAGTCCCATTTAGCGACTGTGGAGCTCAAAACGCGTCTAGAGTTTTGGCCGCCTCCATCGGTCTTCTGGTCCACTGGGCGTGGTCGTCTTAGTTGACATTCCATTACCCTAAACCTAATTTCCGAACGCTCCCCGCAGTGAAGCCCATGATCGAGCGCTCCATGCTGAAGAGCGTGACGATCAAGGCGGGCCGCACGCACAAGTGGAGCGTGGACGTGACCGGCGAGCCGCCGCCAACCCTGTCGTGGGTGTGGCGCGACAACATCCCGCTGGTCAACACGGAGCGCATCAAGATCGACAACATCGACTACCACACCGACTTCTGCATCACCAACGCCACGCGCCGCGACACCGGCAAATACACGCTCATCGCCGAGAACGCCTCGGGCAAGGACCAGGAGACCGTCGAGCTCACCGTGCTCAGTGAGTATGCGCCGCCGGAAATTTTTCTAAAAAAAAAAGGTGAATGACGTAAAATTGAACCTGCCCCCTTGACCCTTCCAGGCAAGCCCGGTTCACCGATGGGTCCGCTCGAGGCGACCAACGTGCACAAGGAGGGCCTGAAGCTGCACTGGCAGCCGCCGGAAGACGACGGCGGCTCGCCCGTCCTGCAGTACGAGGTGGAGAAGATGGACACGGCCACGGGCAAGTGGGTGCGCGTCGGCAAGGTGCCCGGCGACCGCGACAAGCCCGAGCTGGAGGTGACTGGCCTGGAGCCCGGCCACGAGTACAAGTTCCGCGTGACCGCCACCAACGCCGAGGGCGACTCGGAGCCGCTGCTCACCGACAAGGCCATCATCGCCAAGAACCCCTTCGGTAAGTGTCCCGGAATCAGCTCCCTGTGACCCAGTACTTAGGCTTAGTATTTACTGTCGGTGCATCACCATACCTTGCCGTCTGTGCTCATTTGCCTAACCTGTCCCCTGCAGACGAGCCCACCAAGCCCGGCACGCCCGAGATCGTGGACTACGACAACGAGAGCGTGGACCTCAAGTGGGCCAAGCCGGACAGCGACGGTGGCTCCCCCATCCAGAAGTACATCGTCCAGAAGAAGGACCGCTTCAAGCCGGACTGGGAGGACGCGTGCGAGGTGGCCGGCGACAAGCTGGAGGCCAAGGTGGAAGGCCTCAAGGAGCGCGCCGAGTTCCAGTTCCGCGTGGTGGCCGTCAACAAGGCGGGCAAGTCGCCGCCCTCCGACGCCACCAAGATGCACACCGTCAAGCACCGTGCACGTAAGCGCTTTGCGTTCCGAGCTGCAAAAATGAAAGTCGCTTATTTTTTAGAAACGTCAAACTGATGAGTGTTTTCGAATGTCCTGCAGTGAAGCCGCGCATCGACAGGACCAACCTGAAGCCGATCGTGGTGCGCGCCGGCAAGCCCATCAACTACGACGTGAACGTGCGGGGCGAGCCGCCGCCAACCATCACCTGGTACCAGGCCGACAAGCTGCTCAAGTCCGAGAACAACGTGGAGATCGTCAACGTGGACTACAACACCAAGCTCAACATCAAGGACTCGATCCGCAAGAACACGGGCCTGTACAAGATCGTGGCCGAGAACCAACACGGCAAGGACGAGGAGACCGTGGAGATCACCGTGCTCTGTGAGTGTCGCTGGTTACTTTTAAAACTTAAAACCCAAGGTAACTTTTTAGCGTAACTTTTTACTGAACCGACGCCTTCCTTGCACAGCCGCGCCTTCCAAGCCCAAGGGCCCGCTCAAGGTGTCGGACGTGACCAAGAACTCGGCCAAGCTCAAATGGGAGAAGCCCGAGGACGACGGCGGCAAGCCCATCACGGGCTACGCGGTGGAGAAGCTGGACACCGCCACCGGCCGCTGGGTGCCCATCGGCCGCACGGACGAGCCCGAGTTCGAGGTTAAGGGCCTGCAGGAGGGCCACGACTACCAGTTCCGCGTCAAGGCCATCAACGAGGAGGGCGAGTCCGAGCCGCTGGAGACGGACAAGGCCACCACGGCCAAGAACCCCTTCGGTAAGTGCCCTCGCGCATGAAACTTTCGCTAGGATGTAAACGGCAAAGAACAGCATGGACTTCCGCTGACGTGTTCGTGGCCTTGCAGACGCCCCCGGCAAGCCGGGCACGCCGTCGCTGGAGGACTGGGACGTGGACCACGTGGACCTCAAGTGGGACGCCCCCAAGTCCGACGGCGGCGCCGCCATCACGGGCTACATCATCGAGAAGAAGGAGAAGTTCAGCGCCGGCTGGGACGAAGTCCTTGCCACGCACGTAAGTATAGCCGGCAGGGACAATCGTAGCTCTCTCGTGGTTGCGTGTTTTAACGGTGTGCTCCTCACCCAGAGCCCGGAGCGGACGGCCAAGGTTCCCGGCCTCAAGGAGGGGCAGACCTACCAGTTCCGCGTCCGCGCCGTAAACAAGGCTGGCCCCGGCGAGCCCAGCGAGCCCACCAAGCCGATCATCGCCAAGGCCAGGAACCGTGAGTACCGCCGTGGAGGCTACCCCGCGTCCCGCCACCCTGCAGACACTGACACCCCTCTCTGTGCGTAGTCAAGCCCTGGATCAACCGCGACAAGCTGCAGAAGGTGCGCGTGCGCGCCGGCCAGGCCGTGCGCTTCGACGTGGACGTCAAGGGCGAGCCCGCGCCCATCACGTCCTGGTCCAAGGACGGCAAGCCGCTGACGGGCGTCGGCGTCAAGATCGAGAACGAGGAGTACAACACCAAGCTGGCCTTGACGGAGACCACGCGCGCCGACACGGGCATCTACACGCTCAAGGCGGAGAACGCCAACGGCGTGGACGAGGCCACCGTCGAGGTGGAGATCCTGGACAAGCCCAGCAAGCCGGAAGGCCCGCTGGAGGTCCTGGAGGTGCACAAGGAGGGATGCACGCTCAAGTGGGACAAGCCCAAGGACCTCGGCGGCCTGCCGCTCACGGGCTACACCCTGGAGAAGATGGACGTGACCACCGGCAGGTGGACACCGGCCGGCTTCTGCGACCCCGAGAAGACGGAGCACGAGGTCAAGGGCCTGGAGCCCGGCAAGAAGTACCAGTTCCGCGTCAAGGCCGTCAACGACGAGGGCGAGTCCGACCCTCTGGAGACAGACCACGCCATCCTGGCCAAGGACCCCTTCGGTAAGCGCACTGCCGCTCACGGTGAGGTGTCACTAACCCAAAGCGTTTGCATCTCCGCTGATTGCCCCCCTTACTTACAGACGCCCCCGGTGCCCCCGGGCTGCCGGAGATCGTCGACTGGGACGAGAACTCCGTCAAGCTGGAGTGGCAGCCGCCGGCGCGCGACGGTGGCGCCCCCATCGTGGGCTACGTGGTGGAGATGCGCGACAAGTACAGCCCCAACTTCGTCAAGTGCGCCGAGGTGCACGGGCCCAACTGCAAGGCCACCGTGCCCAAGCTGGAAGAGGGCAACCAGTACCAGTTCCGCGTGCGCGCCATCAACCGCGCCGGCCCCGGCGAACCCAGCGAGGAGACCAAGATGCACACCGCCAAGGCGCGACACCGTGAGTACCGGGATCCATTCCCGACGCAGCGGCGCCATTTTCCTTTTGTTTTCCAAGCCTATCTTTATCTAAATTGTTCTTTTTTCTGTTTGCAGTCAAGCCGCACATTGATCGCACCAACCTGAACCCGGTGGTGATCAAGGTCGGGCACACGCTGTCCCTGGACATCAAGGTGACGGGCGAGCCGCCACCAGTGGTGACCTGGACCCTCAAGGACAAGGAGATCAAGACCGAGGACCAGTACCGCATCGACAACATCGACTACAACACCAAGTTCTGCATCCTCAAGACGAAGCGCATTCACAGTGGTGTGTACAAGATCACGGCCAAGAACGACAGCGGCGAGGACACCGCGGAGCTGGAGATCACCGTCCTGGGTAAGCCGAAAAGGCCGTGCGGTGCGGCTGGGGAGCGCCTGTGAATCGCTGGGTAGGCAGGCCCGCGGCACACGGGTGTGTGGTTCCGCAGATGTTGCCTACCAGGCGCTTCCGATGTTTAAGATTGCAGTTTAGATGGCGCTGCTTGTCATTCATGCCGTCCTTCTCCACGAATTCTTGCAGGCAAGCCAGGCAAGCCCAAGGGCCCGCTGGAGGTGTCGGACGTGACCAAGAACTCGGCCAAGCTTAAGTGGGAGAAGCCCGAGGACGACGGCGGCACCCCGGTCGAGTACTACGAGATCGAGAAGCTGGACCCGCTGACGGGCCACTGGGTGCCGTGCGGTCGCTCCACTGAGCCCGAGGCCACCGTCACCGGCCTGCAGGAGGGCAAGCCGTACAAGTTCCGCGTCCGCGCCGTCAACAAGGAGGGCGAGTCGGAGGAGCTGGAGACGGAGAAAAGCATCATCGCAAAGAATCCGTTCGGTAGGACTTCGCCAAAAGATATCATTGAAAATTTTCAAAATTTACATTATAAAATTTAAAATTAAAAAATCCTTAAAAAAACATAAAAATTTGAAATTTTGGAAAAAAGATGAAAATTTTAAAAATGTTTTGAGTTGCCGTGTGCTAACGCTTGCTTGCTTGTGCAGACGAGCCCGGCAAGCCCGGCCGCCCCGAGGCCAAGGACTGGGACAAGGACTTCGTGGAGCTGCAATGGACGCCGCCCAGGGACGACGGCGGCGCCCCCATCGAGAAGTACATCATCCAGATGCGCGACAAGGAGGGCCGCAACTGGGTGGACGCGGCGACGGTGCCCGGCGTCAAGACGCAGGGCCGCGTGGAGAACGGCATCGAGCCGGGCCACGAGTACGAGTTCCGCATCGTGGCCGTCAACAAGGCCGGCCCCAGCGAGCCCAGCGACGCCTCCAAGTCCGTCATCGCCAAGCCGCGCAAACGTGAGTAGACCCTCCCTGAGTCTGGCGGCCTGTGCCTTTGTGCGTCTGTCTAACTCGACCGTGTGCCCGCAGTGAAGCCGCACATCGACCGCAAGAACCTGCTCAAGAAGACCATCCGCGTGGGCCAGCTGCTGCGCGTCGAAGCCGACGTGACCGGCGAGCCTGCGCCCGCCATCACCTGGACGCTGCAGGGCGCCGTGCTCACGTCCAACGAGCGGCTCAAGATCGAGAACGAGGACTACAAGACCACCTTCATCCTGACCAAGGCCAAGCGCGCCGACTCGGCCGTGTACACCGTCACGGCCAAGAACGCGCACGGCGAGGACAAGGTGGAGATGGAGGTGCTGGTGCTGAGCAAGCCGTCCAAGCCCAAGGGCCCGCTCGAGGTGTCCGACGTGACCGCCGAGGGCGTGCACCTCAAGTGGGACAAGCCCGAGGACGACGGCGGTGAGCCCGTGGACCACTACGTCGTGGAGCGTATGGACACGGAGACCGGCCGCTGGGTGCCCGTCACCACCTCCAAGACCCCCGAGGCTGACGTGAGTGTGGAGCAGTGCCGGGGAGGGCGGCGTGTTGTTGGGGACTGCCAGGGCGTTCTAACGAGTGTTTCCGCAGGTCACGGGCTTGAACGAGGGCAAGGACTACCTGTTCCGCGTCAAGGCCGTCAACGCCGAGGGTGAATCCGAGCCTCTGGAAACCGACATCCCCGTCACGGCCAAGAACCCGTACAGTAAGTACCGCCAAATGGGAAAATAAAAATGCAGGTGGTGCGGGTATTTTAACCCGACGTGCTCTGTTTGCAGACGAGCCGGACAGGCCGGGCAAGCCGGACGTCAAGGACTGGAGCAAGAACCACGCCGAGCTGCGCTGGGAGAAGCCCAAGAGCGACGGCGGCTCCCCTATCACGTCCTACATTGTGGAGAAGAAGGACCAGGGCAGCTCCAAGTGGACCAAGGCGGTGGAGATCATCGGCAACAAGCACGAGGCCACCGTGCCGGACCTCATCGAGGGCCAGAAGTACCAGTTCCGCATCCGCGCCGTCAACAAGGCGGGCGCCAGCAAGCCCAGCGAGCCGAGCGACACCATCACCGCCAAGGACCGCTTCGGTAAGCCACTCGCGCGGGCCCCTCGCCCGGTTTCCCCTTTACCTATCACTTTCTGTTACGTATCCGCTTTTGCCCGCAGCCCCGCCGAGGATCGACCGCACCACGCTCAAGGACATGCGTATCAAGGCGGGCCAGCAGATCCGCTTCGACGTCAAGATCTCGGGCGAGCCGCCACCAACCAAGACCTGGTTCCACAACAAGGCGCGCATCGAGTCCAAGGACGAGCTCACCATCGAGTCGGAGGACTACAAGACGCGCCTGGTGGTGAGCGCGGCCAGCCGCAAGCACACCGGGCTGTACACCATCAAGGCCGAGAATAGCTCCGGCAAGGACGAGGTGTCCATCGAGATCACCGTGATCGACAAGCCCGGCAAGCCCGAGGGGCCGCTCAAGATCTCGGACATCCACAAGGAGGGCTGCAAGCTCAAGTGGAACCCGCCGCAAGACGACGGCGGCGTCCCCATCGACTACTACGCCGTGGAGAAGATGGACACCGAGTCCGGCCGCTGGATGTCCGCCGGCCGCGCCAAGGAGCCGTTCATCGAGCTCAACAACCTGGAGCCTGGCCAGGAGTACAAGTTCCGCGTCATGGCCGTCAACGCCGAGGGCGAGTCCGAGCCGCTGGAGGCGGACGAGGCCATCGTCGCCAAGAATCCGTTCGGTAAGCTTGGCGGCAGTCCTCGAAACTGCAAGCCGTGAAAGTACGCCTTGTTTATTTAACCCTCCCCTTCTTCCCGCAGACGAGCCTGGCGCGCCGGGCACGCCGGAGGCCACGGACTGGGACCGCGACTTCGTGGAGCTCAAGTGGACCGCGCCCAACAAGGACGGCGGCTCGCCCATCACGGGCTACGTCATCGAGAAGCGCGAGAAGGGCAGCCCGCGGTGGGTGAAGGCCGCCGAGACGCGCGGCCCCGAGTGCAAGGGCAAGGTGGAGAACCTCGACGAGGGCACGCCCTACGAGTTCCGCGTGCGCGCCATCAACGCCGCGGGCCCCGGCGAGGCCAGCGACGCCAGCAAGCCCATCACCTGCAAGGCGCGCAAGGTGCCGCCCAGGATCGACCGCAAGAACCTGCGCGACATCACGGTGCGCGAGGGCGAGCCCTTCGTCTTCGACGTCAAGATCACCGGCGAGCCCGCGCCCGACGTCGAGTGGAACGTCGGCACCAAGCGCGTCCACGAGACCACCGTGCGCAGGATCGTCAACGTGCCCAACAACAGCAAGCTCTCGTTCGACAAGCCCGAGCGCAAGGACAGCGGCATCTACAAGATCACCGCCACCAACAAGTACGGCACGGACTCCGTCGAGGTGGAGGTCACCGTCGTGTGTAAGTAGCCTTGATCTATGCTTAAAGTGGACTGTCAGGTTTTGTGCTCCTGTTCCTCACGGCGTGCTTTGCCCTGCCCGCAGCCAAGCCCAGCAAGCCCGAGGGCCCGCTCGAGGTGTCGGACATCCACAAGGAGGGATGCAAGCTCAAGTGGAAGCGGCCCAAGGACGACGGCGGCGAGCCCCTCGACGGCTACCTGGTCGAAAAGCTGGACCCGGAGAACGGCGTTTGGATCCCCGTGGGCAAGTCCAAGGACCCCGAGATGGTGGTGGACGGACTCACGCCCGGACACGAGTACAAGTTCCGCGTCAAGGCACTCAACAAGGAGGGCGAGTCCGAGCCCCTGGAGACCTACACGTCCATCGTGGCCAAGGACCCCTACTGTGAGTTTTGGAATTGAAGCAGTGGTTGCGCGAGGTGAATGAACTTGGAGCTAACGCCGATTGAATCCTATTGCAGCGACTCCGCAAGCCCCCGGCACTCCGGAGCCCGAGGACTGGGACCAGAACCACGTGGACCTGGTCTGGAAGGAGCCCATCTCGGACGGCGGCACGCCCATCACGGGCTACATCATCGAGAAGAAGGACAAGTACAGCGCGCTGTGGGAGAAGGCCCTGGAGACCGACACGCCCGACTGCAAGGGCACGGTCACGGGCCTGGTGGAGGGCAACGAGTACCAGTTCCGCGTCATCGCGGTCAACAAGGCCGGCCCTGGCACGCCCAGCGACGCCAGCAAGACCTTCACCGCCAAGCCGCGGTTCCGTAAGTATCTCGCCCGGTTTCCGCGCTTACAAAAAAATAAAGAAGGTTTTATTGATGGTTTTTATTTCTGTTTTAGTGGCGCCTAAGATCGACCGCCGCAACCTGCGCGACATCACCATCTCCGCGGGCTCCACGCTCAAGTTCGATGCCAACGTCAGCGGCGAGCCGCCACCACACATCGACTGGCGATGCGCCTCGAACCCTCTCAAGAACAGCAAGAGGGTGACGGTCGACAACATCGACTACAACACCAAGCTGGTGATCCGGCCCGCGCGCCGCGAGGACTCGGGCGAGTTCACGGTCACCGCGACCAACTCGTCGGGCAAGGACATGGTGGCCATCAACGTGGTGGTGACCGACAAGCCGTCCGCCCCCGAGGGACCGCTCGAGATCTCGGACGTGCACAACGAGGGCTGCAAGCTCAAGTGGAAGCGCCCGCTGGACGACGGCGGCACCCCGCTGGAGTACTACCAGGTCGACAAGATGGACCCCGAGACCGGCTGCTGGGTACCTTGCGGCCGCAGCACCGAGCCTCGTGAGTACACATGCTAAAGACTCGCTTTTCGGCTTAAAAAACAGTGGTTCAAATCCTCACTTTATTATTTTTTTACAGACATGGACGTTACGGGCCTGACTCCTGGCAAGGAGTACAAGTTCCGCGTCCGCGCCGTCAACGCCGAGGGCGAGGGCGAGCCCCTGGTGGCCGAGGAGAGCATCATCGCCAAGAACCCCTTCGGTAAGTAGCGAGCCTTCGCGGACTCTCGCCACCCTTGCCCGCTTCGCCGTGCTCATGACCTCCCGTTGCTTCCACAGACGAGCCCGGCGCGCCCGGCAACCTCAAGGCCACCGACTGGGACGTCGACCACGTGGACCTCAAGTGGACCCCGCCCGTCAACGACGGCGGCTCCCCGGTCACGGGCTACATCATCGAGAAGAAGGACAAGTACGGCCAGTGGGAGAAGGCGGTGGAGGTGCCGGCGGAGGAGCTGACGGCCACCGTGCCCGACCTCATCGAGGGCCAGAAGTACGAGTTCCGCGTCCGCGCCGTCAACAAGGCGGGCCCCGGCGCGCCCAGCGACCCCACGCCGGCCATCGTCGCCAAGCCGCGCAACCTGGCGCCCAAGATCGACCGCACCAACCTGATCGACATCCGCATCCGCGCGGGCCAGAACTACGTGTTCGACGTGAGGGTGTCCGGTGAGCCGATGCCCGACACGCGCTGGCTGCTGCGCGCCAAGGAGGTGCGCTCCAGCGACAACGTCAAGGTCACGCACTCGGACTACAACACCAAGCTGAGCGTGCGCGGCGCCACGCGCGCCGACTCCGGCACCTTCATCGTTACGGCCGAGAACAAGAACGGCAAGGACATCGCCGAGGTGGAGGTGATCGTGCTGGACAAGCCGTCCGCGCCCGAGGGGCCGCTCAAGGTGTCCGACATCCACGACAAGGGCTGCACACTGGCCTGGAAGGCCCCCGAGGACGACGGCGGCAACCCCATCGAGAAGTACGTCGTGGAGAAGATGGACGAGGCGACCGGCAGGTGGGTGCCCGCCGGGGAGACCGACGGGCCCGCCACCACGCTCAAGGTGGACGGCCTCCAGCCCGGACACAAGTACAAGTTCAGGGTCCGCGCCGAGAACAAGCTGGGCAGGTCCGAGCCCCTCACCACGGACGCCGCCATCGAGGCCAAGAACCCCTTCGACCCGGCCGGCAAACCAGGCACGCCCGAGATCACCGACTTCGACAAGGACTTCGTCGAGCTGGCGTGGGACAGGCCCAGGAGCGACGGAGGCTCCCCGATCACGGGCTACGTCATCGAGAAGAAGGACAAGTTCAAGTAAGTGGCAGTGGTCTACACCTCCTCACTGAGATGTACCATTCTGTTTGCTGATTACTAAATGGTTCCCCTCCTTTCCCCGCAGCCCCAACTGGGAGAAGTGCGCCGAGGTGGAGGGCGACGTCTGCTCGGGCAAGGTGCCCGGCCTGATCGAGGGCACACCCTACGAGTTCCGCATCCGCGCCGTCAACAAGGCCGGCCCCGGCGAGCCCAGCGACGCGTCCAAGACGCACGTCGCCCGCGCCAAGAACGGTGAGACACTTTCCGAAAGCTAGGAACTCTGCGCTTTTTCCATTTCGATGGTCTTGACACTGCTTTATCTGCCGATGCAGTGCCGCCCAAGATCGACCGCAAGGCCATGGTCGACATCAAGATCCGCGCCGGCCTCAACTTCGACTTCGACGTGCACGTGGACGGCGAGCCGCCCGCCACCAAGGAGTGGAGCCTGCGCGACAACATCCTGCTGCAGGGCGACCGCGTCAAGCTAACCAACGAGGACTACAACACTCGTCTGCGCATCACGGACGCGCGTCGCACCGACAGCGGCGAGTACAAGCTGGTGGCCAAGAACATCAACGGCAAGGACACGGCCACCGTGAACGTGACGGTGCTGGACGTGCCCACCGCGCCCGAGGGCCCGCTCAAGGACGCCGACGTCACCAAGAACAGCATGATGCTGTCGTGGCGCCCGCCCAGGGACGACGGCGGCTCCGAGATCCTGCACTACATCGTGGAGAAGATGGACTCGGACAACCTGCGCTGGGTTCCGGTCGGCGAGACGCCCATCCCGCAGATCAAGGCGGACCACCTCATCGAGAACCACAACTACATGTTCAGGGTGCGCGCCGTCAACAGGCAGGGCGAGTCCGCGCCGCTCATGGCCACCGAGCCCATCACGGCCAAGGACCCCTTCGGCAAGCCCGAGAAGCCCGGCACGCCCGAGGTGGTGGACTGGGACAAGGACCACGTGGACCTGGAGTGGACCGCGCCCAAGCGGGACGGCGGCTCCCCCATCACCGGCTACGTCATCGAGAAGAGGTCCAAGTTCGGGTGAGTAGGCTGCTGCAGGCAGGGCGGCGCTGCACTGTATTTTGGGGGTCTCGTTCTAACCGCTGGGTGCTTTGCAGGCCGTGGGAGAAGGCCATGGACGTGCCCGGCAACCAGACCAAGGCCACGGTGCCCGGCCTGGTGGAGGGCGAGGAGTACGAGTTCCGCGTCGTGGCCGTCAACAAGGGCGGCCCGGGCGAGCCCAGCGACGCCTCCAAGTCCGTCGTGGCCAAAGCACGATTCAGTGAGTAGACCGCAGTGTTGCAGCGGACGCGTCCAATCGGAGTCTCGGGTTCGAATACTGACGGCGTCCTCTTTTCCCTGCAGCGCCGCCGACCATCGACCGCGCCTTCCTGCAGGACCTGGTGGTCAAGGCGGGCGACCGCATCAGCTTCGAGGTGCCGATCGACGCGTCGCCGCGCCCCAAGGCGTCCTGGACCGTGGAGGGCAAGCCCGTGGGCACCCGCGCGGACATGATGACCACCAACACCAAGACCACCTTCGAGATCCCCTTCTCGGCGCGCAGCGACACTGGCCGCTACGCCCTCACGCTCAAGAACGAGCTGGGCGAGGCCTCGGCGTCCGCCTACGTCACTGTGCTGGGTGAGTTGACTGGCGTTGAGGTTAGTTTAAACAAATGAGACGAGACCGGTATTCGAACCACGAACCTTGCGCCCTGTGCCTGCAGACAAGCCCGGCCCACCGCTGCCGCCGCTTGAAGTCAGCAAGGTGACCAAGGACAGCTGCCGCCTCAACTGGAAGCACCCGGCCGACGACGGCGGCTCCCCCATCCTGCACTACGTGGTGGAGAAGATGGACATGTCGCGCGGCACCTGGGCCGACGCGGGCATGGCTACCGGCCTGCAGCACGAGGTGCTGCGCCTCATCCACATGAAGGAGTACCTGTTCCGCGTGCGCGCCGTCAACATCATCGGCGAGTCCGAGCCGCTGGAGATCACCAAGCCCATCGTGGCCAAGAACGAAGTTGGTGAGTACAGGCCCTTCGATCAGTGTTTGCCTCCCCCAGCGTGCGTCTCCTACACGAAGTGTGTCGTTCCCGCAGACGAGCCCGGCGCGCCCGGCAAGCCCAACATCACGGACTGGGGCAAGGACCACGCCGACCTGGCCTGGGAGAAGCCCAAGACCGACGGCGGCGGCCCCATCACGGGCTACATCGTGCAGCGCCGCGAAAAGGGCAGCCCCTACTGGGTCAACGCCGTGCACGTGCCCGCCAAGCAGACCACCGCCACCGTGCCCGACCTCACCGAGGGCCAGGACTACGAGTTCCGCATCATCGCCACCAACGTGGCCGGCCAGTCCGAGCCCAGCGAGCCCTCGGACGTGGTCACCGCCAAGGACCGCTACCGTGAGTCCCGCTACTCGAGAATTGCTTTTCGATTTACAGTGCACTTGTTCGCCTCCGTGACAGCACGCCTTTCTCCCCGCAGTGGCGCCCAAGATCAAGACGCCGCTGCACGACATCCGCATCAAGGCGGGCACCATCCTGCACGTGGACATCGACTTCATCGGCGAGCCCGCGCCCGAGGTGGTGTGGTCCGTGGCCGGCAAGGAGCTGCAGACGGACGCCAGGACCACCATCACGTCCATCGGCTACCACACCATCGTCAACACGGTCAACGCCAAGCGCTCCGACAGCGGCCTGTACCACCTGCTGCTGCGCAACAGCTCCGGCATCGACGAGGGCTCGTTCCAGGTCATCGTCCTGGACAGGCCCGGCCCGCCCGAGGGGCCCCTCGAGTACGAGGAGATCACGGCCCAGAGCGTGACCCTGTCGTGGAAGCCGCCCAAGGACAACGGAGGCAGCGAAATCACGTAAGTAGATGACACTGTATTGGTTGAAAGTTGTTGTCGTGGTCTTGCTGACGCCTTCCTTGCCTTCCCGCAGCGCCTACGTGGTCGAGAAGCGCGACCTTACCCATGGCGGAGGCTGGGTTCCTGCCTGACGTACGTCAACGCCAAGTACAACCACGCCACCGTGCCGCGCCTGCTGGAGGGCACCAAGTACGAGTTCCGCGTCATGGCCGAGAACTTGCAGGGCCGCTCGGACCCGCTGCTCACCGACAAGCCCGTCGTGGCCAAGAACCAGTTCGGCGTGCCCGGCGCGCCAGGCCGCCCCGAGGCCGTGGACTCGGACAAGGACTTCATCAAGATCAAGTGGGCGCCGCCCATCTCCAACGGCGGCTCGCCCATCATCGGCTACGACGTGGAGCGCCGCGACAAGAACACGGGCCGCTGGATCAAGCTGAACAGCGACCCCGTCAAGGGCCAGGAGTACACCGACGACCGCGTGCACGACGGCAACCAGTACGAGTACCGCGTGTCGGCCGTCAACGCCGCCGGCCCCGGCAAGCCCAGCGAGGCGTCGCTCATGATCACGGCGCGGCCGATGCGCGAGCGCCCCAAGCTGCACCTCGACGGCCTCATCGGCCGCAAGATCAAGGTGCGCGCCGGCGAGCCCATCTGCGTCAACATCCCGCTGTCGGGCGCGCCCACGCCCACCTGCGAATGGACCAAGGACAGCACCAAGCTGCCCGCGCACGAGCGCATCTGGACCGAGACCACCTCGGGCGAGACCAAGCTCCGCATCGAGAAGACGACGCGCGACGACTCGGGTCGCTACGTCATCACCGCCAAGAACGACTTCGGCAAGGACTCGGCCGACATCGAGGTCACCGTCGTGGACCGGCCCGGCCCGCCCAAGGGACCCCTGCAGTACCCGAACATCACGCAGGAGCAGATCACCCTGGAGTGGCTGCCGCCCGAAGACAACGGCGGCAGCGAGCTCACCGGCTACGTCGTGGAGATGTCCGAGTACGCCGTGGAGAACTGGCGCCAGGTGCCGGGCTTCTGCCCCAAGTGCACCTTCACCGTCAGGGGGCTCACCGAGGGCAAGAAGTACCAGTTCCGCGTGCGCGCCGAGAACATGTACGGTGTGTCCGAGCCCCTGGACGGCAACCCAGTGGTGGCCAAGAGTCCGTTCGACCCACCAGACGCGCCCGGCCAGCCCACCGTGCTCGGCTACACTCCCACCAGCTGCAGCCTCAAGTGGACCCCACCGGCGTCCTCGGGCGGCAAGCCCGTCACCGGCTACTACGTGGAGAAGCGCGAGCGCGGCGCCGGCGACTGGGTCCGTTGCAACAACTACCCCACGCCCAACCTCACCTACACCGTGCCCGACCTGCGCGAGGGCAACCGCTACGAGTTCCGCGTCGTGGCCGTCAACGAGGCCGGCCCCGGCAAGCCCAGCAAGCCCACCGAGCCCATCACGGCCGAGCACCAGCGATGTGAGTCCGCGGGTTCAACTCCCGGCGCCTTTCGTGTTTCGTTTTCCGCACATTTTCTGATGAATAACCAATGTTTATTTTTTCGCAGTGGTGCCTGACGCGCCGGAGCCACCCAAGCCGGACCGCATCACGAAGGACAGCGTGACGCTGTCTTGGCGGCCGCCCCGCAGCGATGGCGGCTCCAAGATCAAGGGCTACATCGTGCAGAAGAAGCTCAAGGGCAATCCGGACTGGGAGGACGTCAACAGCGTGCCCGTGCCGGAGACGACGTTCAAGGTGCCCAACCTCAAGGAGGGCGACGACTACCAGTTCCGCGTGATAGCCGTCAACGACGTGGGCCGCTCCGAGCCGAGCAGGCCGTCGCCGAACATCATCATCGAGGAGCAGGCCAACAAGCCCGTCATGGACTTGGGCGGCGTGCGCGACATCACCGTCCGCGCCGGCGACGACTTCAGCATCCACGTGCCGTACGTGGGCTTCCCCAAGCCGTCGGCGTCCTGGTTCGCCAACGACACCATCCTGGACTCGTCGGACCCTCGCATCCACCAGCAGCTGGCCGACGACTACGCCAGCCTGGTGGTGAAGGGCGCCAAGCGCGGCGACACCGGCCAGTACCGGCTGCAGCTCAGGAACCCGTCCGGCTTCGACACCGCCACGCTCAACGTGCGCGTCCTGGACAGGCCCAGCCCGCCGGAGAACCTCCGCGCCGACGAGTTCGCCGGCGACGCGCTCACGCTGTACTGGAACCCGCCCAAGGACGACGGCGGCGCGCCCATCAGCAACTACACCGTGGAGAGGCGCGAGATCGGCACCGGCAACTGGGTCAAGGTCAGCAACTTCGTGGCCACCACGTTCGTGCGCGTCAAGAACCTCACCATCAACAAGGACTACGAGCTGCGCGTGTACGCCGAGAACAAGTACGGTACCTCGGATCCCGCCAGCACCGTGGATCCCATCCGCGCGCGCCATCCCTTCGACGTGCCCGGCGCCCCCGGCGCGCCGCGTCGCCTGGACAGCTCCGAGGACTCCATCACCATCGCCTGGACCAAGCCGCGCCACGACGGCGGATCCCCCATCACGGGCTACGTCATCGAGAAGAGGATGATGAGCGAGGACAAGTGGACCAAGGCCCTGCACTCGCACATCCCCGACCTCAACCACAAGTACGTATCGGCCTATTCTTCGGCCTTTCTTAAAAATTATTAAGAAGGGAAGTATTGGTTTCCGTGTCGTTCCTTGTACTTACCGGCCTTCTTGTCGTGCAGGATCAGCGGGCTGATCGAGCACCGGGACTACGAGTTCCGCGTGGCGGCCATCAACGCTGCCGGCCAGGGTCCGTGGAGCTCGTCCTCCGACCCCATCTGCTGCCGCTCGCCGCCCTGCGCGCCTAAGATCACCAGCGACCTGAGCATCCGCGACATGACCGTCATCGCCGGCGAGGAGTTCACCATCACGGTGCCCTTCACGGCCAGCCCCAGGCCCAAGCCCGTGTGGCTCGTCAACACGGAGGAGGTGTTCCAGGACGAGCGCATCAAGTTCGACACCAACGACGTGCAGACCATTTACACTAACAAGTGCGCCAAGCGCACCGACTCGGGCAGCTACACCATCCAGCTGTACAACACCGAGGGCTCGGACTCCGCCACCTGCCGCGTCCTCGTCGTGGGTGCGTGTCTACCGTCTCCCCTTTTAAGTTGTGTGCGTCTTATTTTTTCACTTTTCTAACTTTTTCCGTGTTTCTGCAGACAAACCCACGCCCCCGATTGGTCCGCTGGACGTCAGCGACATCACTCCAGACACCTGCACGCTGTCCTGGAAGCCGCCCGCAGACGACGGCGGCTCGCCCATCACCAACTACGTGGTGGAGAAGCTGGATCCGTTCAGCGGGGTAAGTCAATTTCCAAATTTCGAAAGTAACTCAAGTCCTGCCGGCAAAAGCTCGCGTCTAACAACTTACTCTCGCTGTCCGCAGTCGTGGGTGAAGGTGAGCAGCTTCGTCCGGGGCTGCCACTACAACGTGATCGGCCTGGAGCCCAACAAGAAGTACAGCTTCCGCGTGCGCGCCGAGAACCAGTACGGCGTGTCGGAGCCGCTGAGCATGGACGAGCCCATCACGGCCAAGTTCCCGTTCACGGTGCCCGACCCGCCGGGCATGCCGCGCGTCACGGACTGGGACGCCGCCGGCAACGTGAGCATCACCTGGGACCGGCCCAGGAACGACGGAGGCGCGCGCATCCAGGGCTACAAGGTGGAGTTCCGCGACCCGGCCGACGACTCGACCTGGCGCATCGCCAACGACTACCTCGTCAAGGACAACAACTACACCGTGTACACGCTGCTGCCGGGCCACGAGTACGAGTTCCGCGTCAAGGCCAAGAACGCGGCCGGGCTCAGCAGGCCGTCGCAGAGCTCCGACAAGTTCAAGCTCAAGCCCAAGTTCGGCGTGCCGTCGGCGCCCGGCACCCCCACCGTCGTCAAGGTGGGCAAGAACTACGCGGACCTCAAGTGGGAGCCGCCCGCGTCGGACGGCGGCAGCCGCGTCACGGGCTACATCATCGAGAAGCGCGAGTTCGGCTCGGCCATGTGGTTCAAGTGCAACGACTACAACGTGGCGGACTGCGAGTTCACCGCGCTCAACCTGGTCGAACAGGGCGACTACGAGTTCCGCGTCTACGCCGTCAACGCGGCGGGACGCTCCGAGCCCAGCGCCTGCACCACCCCCGTCAAGATCTGCGAGGTGGTGGGCGGCGAGAAGCCCATGTTCGTGCGCCCGCTGCAGAGCCAGGGCGTCGGCCTGGGCAAGACCATCACGCTGGAGTGCGAGGCGGCCGGCAAGCCCGCGCCCACCGCGCGCTGGTTCAAGAACGGCCGCGAGCTGGTCACCGGCGGCGGGCGCTTCCGCATGGAGGACAACAACAGCGGCACCTTCAAGCTCATCCTGCACGACGTCATGGACATGGACTCCGGCGACTACACGTGCGAGGCGAGCAACCCGTGCGGCTCCGCCAGGACCACGTGCACGCTCAAGGTTGGAAGTAAGTATTCGCACTGGCCCGGGTTCGAACACCGGTACAACTTTGGAAATATTTTTTCTGGTGATGTTAACGCGTTTTTTGTTGCGCCTCACAGCACCTCCCAGGATCGACCGCATCCCCACCGACCTCAACCTCCCCGAGAAGGAGAACACCAAGATCAAGGTGTTCTACTCGGGCGACCAGCCCATGGACATCACCCTCTCGTTCGGCGGCAAGCCCGTGTCGGACGGCGGCCGCGTCAAGCTCACCGTGTTCGACGAGTTCCTCATCATCTACATCAAGGAGGTGGAGAAGTCGGACGCGGGCATGTACACGCTCACATGCAAGAACGACAGCGGCACGGCCATCGGCCACTTCAACGTCAACATCACCGGTAAGCGCCTGTCGTCGTCGGGATGGGCCGCCCTCCCCACAGGCGTGCGTTGCGGGACGGTATCCTGCCGCGCGCAGGCGCCCTGCGTGGCTCGCGCGGCGAGTTCTGACGTTGCTCTCGTTGTTTTCCAGGCCTGCCCGGCCCGCCGCTCGGCCCGCTGGACGTGTCCGACATCAACAAGCACACGTGCACGCTGCACTGGCGGCCGCCCGCGTACGACGGCGGCCAGCGCGTGTCCCACTACCAGGTGGAGCGCAAGGAGGCCAACACGTCGCACTGGATAATCGTGTCCAGCTACTGCAAGGACACCACCTTCCAGTGCCAGGGCCTCATCGAGGGCAACGAGTACCTGTTCAGGGTGAGCGCCGTCAACGAGAACGGCGCGGGACCGCCGCTGGAGGGCACCAACCCCATCAAGGCCAAGGCGCCGTTCGGTAAGCACCGCTATGTTTACACTGTAGGCGCCAGGAGACTCCGATTCCCGTCCTCTAACGCGGACCTTTGATTCCAGACCCGCCGTCGCGACCCGGCGTCCCGACCGTCACGGAGGTGGGCGGCGACTTCGTCAACCTGGAGTGGGAGAAGCCCATCCTGGACGGCGGCGCGCGCATCCAGGGCTACTGGATCGACAAGCGCGAGGTCGGCGGCTCGGCGTGGGTGCGCGTCAACCCACTCATCTGCCAGCCCACGCAGATCAACATCAGCAACCTCATCGAGGACCGGCAGTACGAGTTCCGAGTGTTCGCCCAGAACGAGGCAGGCCTCAGCGAACCCTCGAGCAACTCGAGCTCCATCCGCATCAAGGACCCCAAGGGCCCCACGCCGCCGGAGATCGTCAAGCCGCTCAAGAACGCCAACTGCATCCAGAACCACAACGCGCAGTTCACGTGCACCATCACCGGCCACCCCAAGCCCAAGATCACGTGGTACAAGGGCGCCAGGGAGATCATGAGCGGGTCGCGCCACCACATCTACAGCGAGGGCGACGTGCACACGCTCATCATCAACGACGTGTACGGCGAGGACGAGGACGAGTACGTCTGCCGCGCCGTCAACAAGGCGGGCGTCAAGTCGACGCGCGCCGAGCTGGTCATCAACAGCGCGCCGCGCATCCACGTGCCGCCGCGCTTCAGGGACACGGCCTTCTTCGACAAGGGCGAGAACGTGGACATCAAGATCCCCTTCACAGGCAACCCCAAGCCCAGGATCACGTGGTCCAGGGAGGGCGAGACCATCGAGTCGGGCGGCCACTTCCACGTCGAGGTCAAGGAGAGGCACGCCGTGCTCACGATCCGCGACGTCAGCAAGATCGACAACGGGCCCTACACCATCACCGCCGTCAACGACATGGGCTCCGACACGGCCATCATCAAGGTCCAGATCAGCGGTGAGTCTCGGTTCCTGTGTGCCATCCGCGGGTTCGACTCCGCCCCATGCACTCTGTTTCATTCCCTGATCCGTGTTTCAGATCGTCCCGATCCGCCATCGTTCCTGACGGTGGACAAGATCGGCCACGACTCGCTGGCGCTGCAGTGGAACGCTCCAAACTGGGACGGCGGCTCCAACATCACCAACTACTTGGTGGAGAAGCGCGAGCACCCCATGAGCAGCTGGATCCGCATCGGCAGCACCAGGTTCGACCCTTAACGCTACTTGTATTTTTATTTGAAAAAGAAAATGGTATCTAACGACGCGCTGTGTGCAGGTTCACGGCCATGGCCGTGACAGGCTTGGTGCCGGGCAAGGAGTACGAGTTCCGCGTGTACGCCGAGAACGTGTACGGCCGCAGCGACCCCAGCCCCGTGTCGGGCGTGGTCAAGACCAAGGGGCTGCCGCAGAAGGCGCCCAAGAAGCCCAAGTACGAGCTGGACGAGAACGGCAAGAAGATCCGCGGCCGCAACGAGGGCAAGGTCACGGACTACGACAAGTACGTGTTCGACGTGTACTCCAAGTACGTGCCGCAGCCCGTGGAGATCAAGAGCAACAGCGTGTACGACGAGTACGACATCCTGGAGGAGATCGGCACGGGCGCGTTCGGCGTGGTGCACCGGTGCCGCGAGCGCAAGACCGGCAACATCTTCGCCGCCAAGTTCATCCCCGTGACGCACGCCATGGAGAAGGAACTCATCAGGAAGGAGATCGACATCATGAACCAGCTGCACCACAACAAGCTCATCAACCTGCACGACGCGTTCGAGGATGATGACGAGATGGTGCTCATCTTCGAGTTGTGAGTGTCGCAGCCCGGGTTCGAACACTGGCTCTTGAAATGCTTTTTATTTCCGGTTATTTTTAACGCGTTGCCTCTTGTTCACAGCCTGTCTGGCGGCGAGCTGTTCGAGAGGATCACGGCCGAGGGCTACTCCATGTCGGAGGCGGAGGTCATCAACTACATGCGCCAGATCTGCGAGGCGGTCAAACACATGCACGAGAAGAACATCATTCACTTGGGTGCGTTTCCAGCCATCTTCCAAACGGGTGCAATTTTAGGAACGCGGTAGTGACTCTTTTCTGTGTTCGTCTCCTTGCAGACATCAAGCCCGAGAACATCATGTGCCAGACCCGCACCGGAACCAACGTCAAACTCATCGACTTCGGCCTGGCCACCAAGCTGGACCCCAACGAGGTGGTCAAGATCTCGACGGGCACGGCCGAGTTCGCGGCACCCGAGATCGTCGAGAGGGAACCGGTCGGCTTCTACACGGACATGTGGGCTGTCGGTGTCCTGGCTTACGTCCTGTGAGTACTTCCTTCGCGGCAGCGGAAAATGTTGGTCCTGTTGGTGAAGTGCGAGTCGTTGGTACAACTCCGCCCCTTGTCCGCAGGCTGAGCGGCCTGTCGCCGTTCGCGGGTGAGAACGACATCGACACCCTGAAGAACGTCAAGGCTTGCGACTGGGACTTCGACGAGGAGGCATTCGGCAGCGTCTCGGACGAGGGCAAGGACTTCATCAAGAGGCTGCTGGTCAAGATCAAGGAGTAAGTTCTGAACCCCGGGGCTTGAATAGACGAAACAGAACTGTTGTCTGACGTGGCCGTGCGTGTTCCAGAAAGCGCATGACCGCCCACGAGTGCCTGATGCACCCCTGGCTCAAGGGCGACCACAGCGACCGCACCAAGCCCATCGACGCGTCCCGCTACAACAAGATCCGCGACAAGATCCGCGCCAAGTACAGCAACTGGGACTCGTTCCTGCTGCCCATCGGCAGGCTGTCCGAGTACAGCTCCCTCCGCAAGATGCTCGTCGACAAGTACAAAATCTACGACTCCTCCTTCGGTACGGGCCGCCTCGGTGGAACAGGAGACCGGCGGAGGCGGACAAAATTCTAGACGCGTTTTGAGCTCCAGAGTCGCTGAATGGGACTCGAACTGAACGTGTGACCTCACCAATGGATTGCTCTCGGATCGAGGAATCCATTGGTGTGGTCACACGCTCGGTTGGAGTCCAGTTGAACGAATCTGGAGCTCAAAACTCGTCTAGAATTTCGGCCGCCTCCACCGGTCCTCTGGCCCACTGTTCACCCTTTGGTGACACCGGGCTCGTTGACGACTAACGGCGCCTCGTTTTGCAGACCGGCGGCAAGCGGCGCCGCGCTTCGTCATCAAGCCCCAGAGCGCGTTCGCGTACGAGGGCCAGAGCGTCAAGTTCACGTGCCGCGTGATCGCCATCGCCGCGCCCACACTGTCCTGGTACCGCAACAACGAGGAGCTCAAGCAGAGCGTCAAGTACATGAAGCGCTACGCCGGCGACGACTACTCGTTCGTCATCAACCGGTGCAAGCTGGACGACCGCGGCGAGTACATCATCCGCGCCGAGAACCACTACGGCTCCAGGGAGGAGGTGGTGTTCCTCAACGTGCAGCGTGAGTATGCCACACTGCGAAAAAAGCGCAGCGTCGCCGGGATTCGAACGTTGGATCTTGGACTCCGGAACGCAGGCCTCTGCCCACGCGGCCACGGCGCCTCACGGACCTGTTTCATGTTCCAGCACTGCCCAAGGTGGTGCCCGAGTACAAACCCGAGTCGGCGCCGGTGCGGCGGCGCGAACCCGCGCCCACGTACTGGGTGGAGGAGAAGGAGACGGGGCCCAGCTTCACCTTCCTGCTGCGGCCGCGTGTCATGCAGAGCCGAGACACGTGCAAGCTGCTGTGCTGCGTGAGCGGCAAGCCGCCACCGACCATCAAGTGGTACAAGGAGAAGAAGGAGCTGTCCAAGTACGAGTACACCATGTCGCACTCGGACGGCGTCGTCAGCATGGAGATCGTGGACTGCAAGCCCTCGGACTCGGGCAAATACCGATGCGTCGCCACCAACAAGCACGGCTCGGACGAGACCTCCTGCGTCGTCATAGTTGAAAGTGAGTCTCCCGAGGCTCAAGCTCCCCACCGCACAGCCTTTTCTGACGCTCTGACCTTTTGCAGGCCCCGGATCAAATGACCCCGAGCGCGAAATCATGGCTAGGAACATTCTGCACTCTGGAGAGAGGAGGTTCATCGAACAGCCTCTGAGACCAGCGCCCCTGGAGGTGACAATTCGCACCAACATCCAGGGCGACAACGTCACCACACAGACCACCTCACACAACCCGTCGTCTGTCGGGAACACAACGGTCAGCCCTCCAGCCATCTTTATTTCATTCATTTTAATTCAAAAGATCGCTCTGCTCATTCGGTTGGACTTCCCTTGCAGATGCCCGGAGTACAGGACAAAACAACGACCACAAGGACCACTAAGAAATACGGATCTAAACTAGACACTACAGGTAGCCCGTCAAGATCGCGCAGTGCGACAAAAGAACTGATCCGTGAGTACTCCGCCGAGGGTCAGATGCTACTCTTGTTGTTTCGACTGATTGTGAGCCTCTCTGTATGTCTGTCTATCTCTGTCTCTCTCCCGCAGTGCCCCCCGACGACTCCCTGATGTGCCCGCCTACCTTCACCACCAAACTGCAAGACCGAACAGTCAACGACGGCGAACCCTTGACCATCAATTGCGCCATCAAGGGTGACCCCGACCCACAGGTGTCATGGCTCAAGAACGGCCAGGTGAGTGTCGCAGGTTCGAACACCACCACAGCCCTCACTTTTGAGAACATTCGTGAGAGTGAATTGCTGGTTTTGCTTGGCTCGCAGCCCCTGAGCTCGTCAGAAGCACTGGACCTCAAGTACAAGGGCGGCATCGCCACCCTGGCCATCAACGAGGTGTTCCCAGAGGACGAGGGCCAGTACACTTGTAAGGCCACCAACGCCATGGGCACGGCGGAGACCACCTGCAAGCTCACAGTCAAGCGTAAGTTGGAACCGTCTATGAGCGCCGAGCGCCTAACCAAGCCGGGGTAGGCAGCCCGCGCGCACTGGTGCCGGCGGGTTGCCTACCTTTGCCACCACCTGACTTGCACGTCGTTGTTCGGTTGCAGCCATGGCACCCGGCAGCAAGAGCGGCTCCAAGTCGGACGACAAGGCGCCCAAGATCGTGGACCACCTCAGCTCGCAGTTCGTGGAGGACGGCAAGCCCGTGGTGCTCTCGTGCAGAATCATCGGCGCCAAGAAGTTCGACGTGATCTGGCTCCACAACAACAAGGAGATCAAATCGTCCAAGGACTTCGAGTACACCAACGAGGCCAACATTTACAAGCTCAACATTGCCGAGATCTTCCCCGAGGATTCGGGCACGTACACCTGCGAGGCGTTCAACGACGCCGGCGAGTCGTTCAGCAGCTGCACGCTCAACGTGGTGGTGCCCAACGAGGAGAAGAAGAACCCCGTGTTCAAAACATTCCCGCAGTCCACGACAGTGACGGAGGGAGAGGCTGCCACATTCACCTGTGACTTTGAGAAGGCACCCCAGAAAGGTCAGTACCATTTTATCTTTCTTTTAAAAAAATTTAAAAAAATAAAAATAAAAATGGAATTTAGTGTGATTTGAACCCATGACTTTTCGACTGGGAAATTCTTACTGGTGTATCCCCTCCAGTTTGTCCTATGACTGAACTGTAATTTTTATTTACTCTGACTGTTTTCTATTTCCAATAGTAACGTGGCTCAAGGACGGAAACCCAGTAGACGAAGCTAGCCCCTTGTACACTTTCGAATCCGACGGCAAGAAGAAGTACAAGTTCTCCATCAAGAAGTGCTCAAGCACAGATGTCGGCCAGTATGTCGCAAAGGCAGCTGGAAAGAAGGCTGAGACCATGGCTGCATTCGCCCTGAATGTAGTTGCTCCTGGTGAACTATGAACAAACGCTGCCCTGGGAGGTATGGGACTACTTGATTTGCTCAACCATTCTAGAAAAAGATCTAGTCACTGATTTTAAATTGTTTGTTCCAGGAGCCTATTTAAAAAATGCACTCTGACCATGGGCAAACAACACGCAAGCAATGAGTGAAGTGGACTGAATGGAAATGAACTGTAGTACTATGTGTGTGTGTGTGTGTATGTGTAAATAATATATTTATATAATTTAATTTGCAAATGACGGCGTGCTTTGCAAAATAATGGTGGACCACAAACAAATTGCTCACATCGCCGCCAGTAATCAGCTCCAGGGGAGGATGTCCTGCGAATAGCCAGCCAGCCAGCGTCACTACCATCTCTATTCGCTTGATGACCACTCCCTAGGGCCGATTCTGGCCTGCGAACAATCATGGTCTTTCATCGCCTCAAATCGCCTCAATTTCGCTTCGCACGCCAACCTCATGATGCCCAAGCACTCGTGTTGTTTGCCCCAGAGGACCTATCCGCTCATTCTTTTCAATTTACGAATAAGAGAAGTGAAAATAATTTGTTCGAATCACATGCCACTTTACAAAAAATATATATGTATGTGCTATAACTCCGAATTTTATATTTCATAGAGATGATACTTTTTAAAGCGTGTTCCACAGCATGCTAGCAAAGCGCTTTTATTGAGCGCGTGCAATAATGTATTAATTTGCCCTTTAATTTTTTAAGCAACTAAATGCTGAATTCTTTTGTGTAACAATTGTTTCCCAATGTATCAAATTTCAATCATTGTCTCTATATCAAAACATGCCCTCTTTTAATGTTATTGCGCATCATCAGACCTGGAGAATTCATTTTTGCTTTATTTTTTTGTTCCATTAATGACTTCTTCAGAAGTGGCTGACATTTTATTTTATGTTTCTGTGGAATGAATAAATTGAATCTTGTCTTATAGATGATTGCATTCGTTTATTTCACAGTAGCGGAAACCCCATACACAAGCGTTGACACATTCGCAAAATGTTCAAAGTTCCATGCCGCTGCTTGAAATTGGCGCGTCGGCGGCGGCGACCTAGTTCGCGCTGCTGCCGTCGGGTGGCGCCACCTCTCGGCTCGGCGTCCTCCTCGTCCGCAGCGCTCCCGCGCTCGTTCGAACGGCGGCACGGCGGGGCAGCGCGTCGTTCTATTTCTGTCCGTTTAGTCAAGCCGCTGCTGCAAAAATAAATCCTTTCGGAATCCCGGCGTTTGCTTGGCTTGACAGTGAAGTGGCGCAAGCACTTGGTTCGAGTCAGGACTCGACATTGAGGGTGACAAAGAAAAACGTCCCGGCCGGCCGGCAGGCGCCCCACCGGGCGTCGGGCCGTACAGCGATCGGGTGGCGTCGGCGCGGCGGGCCCGCGCCTGGTCGCGTCACGTGACTGACGTGTCAGGGACGTGTCGCGTCGCCCGCTCCCACCCGAACGGGCCGACGCGTCCGCGTCGCCATGGTAACGCCTGCGTCCACTACCCCGCCGCACCGCTCCCCGCCCCGCCTCCCCGTCTGGCGGGCACGCCGCTCGCCTCTCAGTCGCGTCCGTGACGCGTCACGGACGAGCTGCGGACGCCGAGGCCGCCCGGGCAGCGAGGAGGCCGACGGCGACGCCACCGCGGCGCCCGCGCGGCGGACACCATCCGGACGCCCCAGTCCGCGGCCCAGCACAAGGTATGAATGGGATGGCACCACGTGGGCGGCATAATCATAAGCTTCGAGTACTCCACAGCGCTGATAGTCTGGGAACACCTTCGCGTCCGCGGGGCTTGCGACTGCGTCAGCGTCAGCCCCGCAGCTCGGCTCGGCTTGGGTACCAGCTAGTACCAGCAGGTACCTGCCCGCCGCCCTCAAGCTCGGCACCAAGGGGCGCACAGACAAAGCACGGCGGAGCGCGGGGCGGGCGACGTCGGCGTGGGCTCGGGTCCCTCGGGACGGCTTCGGTGGCTTCGGCTTGGGTTTGGCGCTGCGCGTCCGCGGCTATCCTTTCCCCTCCCCTCCCCTCCGCGCTCCGCGTTGGTGCCGTGACGTCACCGCGCTGCGGCGCGAAGGGTTACGCGGGGGTGGGGGCAGGGAAGGGATGCAGCAGCGCGCCGCCAGCGGACCAATCACAGCGGTTCCCGTTTCGGCGGGAAATTTCAAACCGGCTGGGAGTCTGCACTTGCCTGTAGGCGTGACCCGGTGGTCCACGTGGCTAGGGTCGGGGAGGATTCAATCTTCATTTTCGATGGGCGACGCGGTGGCAGCAGAGAGAGTGGTTTCCACTCTGTCTCTCGCTCCCCGAGTGCGAGAGAGACAGAGCGACGAAAACGACTCGGCAACAAGGCGCTACCCGGTGCGCCCAGCGCGCAGCAACCAGGAGTAACGCGCCGACGCGTCCACGGACGGACTGCATTGTTGGTCAGGGCAGTGTAGTGGCTGGCCGGGCAGTGTTGCGACAAGGCGTGTCCTCTGCCCAGTCTGCCTTCCCTCCCAGTGCCTCCCAGTCCCCTAGCGGCGCGCACAGCTTTGAGAACCCCGTTGACGACAGCCTCACGATTGCCTCCCTGCAGAGCAACTCCGGTGACGCTGCCGCCAGCGCCGCCGCCGCCGCAGCAGCAGCCGTCATCGCGACGGCCCCGAAGCAGACCATGCAGCAGGCCGGGCCGTGCCGGATGAAGGACGACTTCAAGACCAACATGGCCTTCGTGGCGTCCGTCCGCCGCCACCCCGTGCTGTACGACTACACGCTGCCCGGCCACTCCAGCAGGGAGCTCCAGGACGAGGCCTGGCACCGCGTGGCCGACGACTGCGGCGACTCGGGTGAGTACTTTAGAGATGCCCTTTCGGAGGGCCACGCAGGGGGTCACCCTGGCACGGCCGGTTTTAAGGGAGGTTCCCAAGGGCATTCCCCCGAATGTAGGTTGGGTTGCCTACCAGCCAGGCGCTCGTCATCTCAACGTGTCTGTGCCAGCCTCTAATAATGTTTCCTTTCGGCAGTGGGGAACTGCAAGGAGAGGTGGAAGAACCTGCGCGCCAGCCTGTGCCGCCACCTCCGCCAGCAGCAGCAGCAGGCCGGCCACGGCCAGGGGCAGCGGCCCAAGAAGCCCTACTACCTCGCCGAGCACATGGACTTCGTGGTGCCATTCACCAAGACCAGGCTGCCGTGAGTAACATACAACTGCGTGAAAGGAGTTTCTTCCGCCTGCACGGTGGGCCAGACGACCGGCGGCGCCGGCGGCCGAAACCGGAGACGCGTTTAGAGCTCCAGAGTCGCTAAACAGGACTCGACACGAACGTATGATCCCGCCAATGTGTTCCTCGTTCGGAGAGCAATTCATTGGTGGGGTCACACGTTCGTTTCGATTCCCATTCAGGGACTCTGCAGCTCAACACGCCTCCGGGACTTTGACTGCCCCCACGCCTCCGGGACTTTGACTGCCCCCACGGACCTTCTGGCCCAGTGTGACCTGGCTGACCCCCTCCCCTCCGCGTTGCGCTGCAGGTCCACGGGACACCTCCCCGACAGCGTGCTGGACTCGGCGTTCGACCCGCTGGACTACATGGACGAGATCAAGCACGAGGTGGAGGTGGACGACCACGGCCGGGACGCCTCGGCCGACGGCGACGGCTCGGCCCGCTCGGCCTCCTTGGACGACGACGTGGTGCAGAACAGCCTCGGGTCGTCCTGGGCAGACAACGGCGACGGCCCGGCCGTGCTGCAGGTGAGTGCCCGCCTGGACCCTTTTCGGCCCAATTTTCGCAGTGCACGTGACTGACGGCTCCGTTCCTCCGCAGGTGCTGGAGGGCGCGCTCAACACCGCGCCCTGCAAGAAGAGGAAGCTGCGCGACTCGCTGGAGTCGTACGCGGACCAGGCGGACCTCAACTTCCTCAAGAGCCTGCTGCCGGACATGGCGGTCATGACGGCGAGGCAGAAGAACTCGTTCAAGATGGCGGTGCTCTCGGCCATCGAGAAGATCGTGTACAACTCGGCGAGCGACAGCGAGGCGGAGGGGCGGCGCGCAATGCCGCAGGCCGTGCAAGCCACTCAGAGCGGCGCATCGTGACGTCAGCGTGACGCGCTAGTGACGCGTTTACGACGCGTTCGTGACATGCCGTGCAATACGGTCGTGACTGATGTGACGTCACTGCCCTGCTCCAAGACTGCTTCATTGAAAGACGAACTTTGAAAGGCGCTTCCGCTGGAACCAACTACCTCACCCCATTCAACTTGCGTTGGAGGGCAGCACGAGTGTGTTTTGTGTATTTTTGTGAACCTTTGCCCTGTCGGTGCTCGGAGGCAAATTTTACTTAATAGTGATCTCAGAACTTTTAGCTGAATACGTTTGATTTAGTTTCGTTGTTCTCTTCCCTTGTATGATGTTAAGCAGCCGCTCTTCTAGATGATGTATGCATCATTGTCAGCCATTGTCTGCACATTTGCTTTTGCGTCCTCTTTTAGGACATGTGATACATTTGCTCAAACTGTGAGTTTCTTGATGTTTGTGAGAAGATCATGATAGCCTTTTAGTGCTTGTGTTTAAGTTATTTTGGTTTTGTTTCTTCCTAATTGTACAAGTATTCTTAATAATTTAAGACAGTTGATGAATTTATTTTGTTGAGTAAATTAGACGAAAAAAATATTCTGATTTCAATTTTTTTGTTCAATATTCTTCCTTTTTATCCCTGTAAATCTAGACAGCCTTCCTTGAAGGTCTCAAGTACTCTCTAAGGAGGCCTGACACTGACATGCTATTTGCAAACAAACAATCATCAACTTACATTCACTAGCTGTTGAGTTTTCAATGTGGAATGGCTTTCTATTGCAGTCTTAGACTGTTGCGCAAAATGAGGGAGTACCAGCTGAGATGGTCCATTTAGTTCATTTTAAATTTTTAGCCAAAGACGATTAAAATCCATGATGGCTTAGCTTTTTTCGACCAAAATGGTCGACCACCTTAAATTTGTATGAACTTGATATGAAACATGTTCCAATTTAGGCAATTTTAAAATTTTGGCCCTAAACGTTAAAAATCCATGATGTATACCACTAGCTTATTGAGACAAAAATGGTCAACCACTTCAGATTAGTCTGAAATTGATATGGAATCTTCGTAAAAGGGGAAGGGGGGTAAGAAAAAGATGCTTGTTTTCCAATGGTCTTTGACTCACTTTATTATCAAATACTCATGTCTTATACATTGACCAGAAAACCAAAAAGCCGTTTCAGTCTTCAAATAAATACGTGAAATGACATCGACAGTGTAGCAGAGAGCCGCGAAGTTAGGCAGCCCATTCGACGGCGAAAGATGGGTCGCCTACCCAGCCGGCGCTCGACCTACAGTACAGTGGAGTGGAGCGGGTGCGGGCCGGCCGCTGCAAAGTGCAAAGGCTTGAGTGCTGGTCTGTGCCTCGCCTCCTGGGGACGGTCCTGGAACGTCCGTGCAGGGCTCAGCGACGCAACTGCAAACAGCGCAAAATACACAGGCGTTACCGAAAGGGTGTACGAGTCGGGCGACAGGTTGGTGCAGACACCTCGGCGAGTCCTGTTTGTCGGGCGGTCGGAACCAGGCCGCTCCTCGCCGCTCGCTCGGCCACCCCTTCGAGTCAGACAAGAGGCTGACGCGGTGGTCGTGCGGCGCGCGCACGCACGCACGCGCGTAGCCCTCTCCCCCTCCATGTAGGCCCGGCCTGCCCGGCCCACCCCAGGCCCCGCTGGAGCGGGCGGGCGGGCGCAGGGCACAAGGCTCGTCGCTTCGCGCTTCGCGGTTCATTCCAGTCCGTGCCGTCGGCCTGCCCAGGCCGCCCCACGACCGCGAACGCCAACGCCCCCCACTGCCTGCCCTGCCAGGCCAGCCGCCTTGCCAGCCGCCAGGCCCTGCACTGCCCGTCCTGCCGCGTCGCGACGCCTAGCGAAGCCCGCCAGCCCCCGCGCCGACGCCGAGCCCCAGCCAGCCCGCAGCCCCTCCTCGCTCGCCCAGGACTCGCCACCAGGTAGGCCAGGCCGTCGCGGACGTGCAGCAGGTGCCCGAAGTGCCGCTGGCACGGGGTGGACTCGCCCCGCCGCCCACAAGCAGGCCACCGACGCGGAGCTGTCGCGAACCTGGCTCGGTCCGCCTGGGCGGCCGATTGGACACGGGCAGAGCAAGGTCCAGGACGTCGAAAGGCGGGAGCGCTGAGCGTCCTCATGGCCGCGACCGAAAGCAACTCACCCATGCCACCAAGGCTGACCCAGGTTCTGCGTGCACATAGGCCCTACTGGATGTGAAGTGAAGGCGTGTATCATTTCATGCAGTTTGCGTACTTGGGGGCGTTTTAAATGTCTGCTTGTGAAACGCTTCTGGATTGCGTTCCTTTGTAGACGGAGTGTGGGGAGAGGTTCTCCCCTTGCATGTGACGGCCAGCTCATCGCCCTGAGCGTCCACCTGAAATGTTGATGTGTGCCCCTGCTGGGGCGAGGCGCGAGGCGAGGCGGGCCCCGGTCAGGCAGCCCCGCGGCCTGCGAACTGCGTACCCCGCGCTGGGCCCCACTGTGTTGCGCCCTGCGTTCCCCGCGCCCCCCGCGAGGCCCCGCGAGGCCCCCCGAGGCCCCCCGAGGGGTTAGCGACATGGTGTCTTTGTCCCGGCCGCCCCTCTTGAAAGCCGCGCAACAGTGATGCACCTCCAAGTGCGCGAACCGTCTGCTCATTCCACACAGTGTCTGTCTCTCTCGCACTCATGGGTGGCCCCGCGGGGGTGCGAGAGAGACACCACAGCCCGCTGGTGCGACGCAGCCGCGGAGCTAGGTTTCTCCGCAGGGCAAAAGAAACCAACGCGATATACCGGTTTGAATAATTCACCCCTTGTCGAAGAAACATTGCACCCGGGGCCTGTCCACGAGACATGAATAAAAAGAAACCCATTTTTTGGGCGAGCTGTTTGTGGCGTGATCACGAGCTTATACTTCGAGTCATGAAGAAATGAAGGTGTGCCGTGGAGTCCCCGCCGAAAGGTGCCCTTTGACGACCGCCATCGGCAGGCCACCATGAAAGCCATCGTCTGATCTCGGCTGGTGGGACTGGCCGAGTATAAGTTGATTGGCTGGGATGGCAGTTGCTGCTGGCTGGAGCCGAATCAAAGCGACGCGTCCAGAGCCGTGACACAGCAGCGACCCGCCAAAATAAACTCGACGCCCCCGATGGGATTCGAACCCGCAGCCCCGGCGTGGCGCGGGCGGCGCTTCGCTGCACACCAGTACAGTAGGGCGCGTGGCTTGGCGCGCGCAGTTCACGCAGTTCACGCCCAGGGTGAACGGCCCGTCGCCAAAAGGAAGGGGGGGGGGGGCGTCTGCAGGCCAAAATGCCAGCAAGGTGTTCCCCGACAGCCGCTCTGCAATTTCAGAGCGTCTTCGCTCTGTCTCTGTCGCACTTCCTGGTGGACGCCCCGCACGAACGCGACAGAGACAGAGCGGGGCAGCAGCGTCCAAGCCACCCTTATGGCAGCGTCCAGCCACAGCGTCGGGCTGACCACGCTATTTTTATTTCTACCCCCGTCCGTCCGTCCATGCATGCACGCGAACCGAAGGGCCGACGGGTCGACCCGGTCTAGTCCAGCAGCAGCGCAGAGCCGCCAACACAACGCCGATTTAAATTTAGACCGGATTGGTTCTGCTCTGTGACGCTGCGGCTCGGCGACGCACAGTGGGCCAGAAGACAGGTAGAAGCGGCCCAAAACCCTAGACGTGTTTTTAGCTGCAAAGTCGCTAAACAGGGCTCGAACCGAGCGTGTGACCCCACCAATGGATTCCTCGTTCGGAGAGCAATCCACTGGTGGGGTCACACGTCCGGTTCGAGTCCCATTTAGCGACTCTGGAGCTCAAAACGCGTCTGGAGTTTTGTCCGCCTCCGACGCAGGCTCAGTGGCGGGTCCAGAGGCGGCCCGAGGGAGGGGTAAAGCAGCACTTGTGCCTATTTTGGGGGTGCAGTGTACCTACCTTCCAGGTTGCTATCTAGGGTCCAAGGACCTCCCCCACTGGATCCGCACCTGCACACGTTGCTCGGCACGCACGTGCGTGGGGCGGAGGCCGAAGGTCGAGAGGACCGCTCCGCAGCACCCGACGCAGCGCAACGCAGTGATCACGCATCCCGGGGGTGATCTTCGAGCGCTCCGTTTCCTTGCTCCGATTGCGGCAGATAGCGAGCTAGAATTAACCGGCGTATCTAATCGAGGCCCAAGGAAGCCCAAGCAGGCGGCAAGGTGTAAACACCAGAATGGGGCCTCGTGGCGGCCGGGGCCCGGGGCCACCCCGTAGTGCAGGCTGGCTCGTCGCGCCCTCTTGCACTCCCACGGGGCGCGGCGTGAGCGGAGAGAGAGAGAGAGAGAGAGAGAGAGAGAGAGAGAGGGAGAGAGAGAGAGAGAGAGAGAGAGAGAGAGAGAGAGAGAGAGAGAGAGAGAGAGACTGCTCGGTGTCCGTCCGCCCTGGGCGCATAGGCGTGGACTCACTTCCACTACGGCCGAGCCGAAAACAGGGCAGCCGGTGTTTGAACCTTCGAACTGCGACGGTCCGGCTCAGCCCGGCTCAGCCCGGCTCGGCAGGCTGCTCACGCACAACAGGCTTTGCTTCGCTCTGCTCCGGGACCCGTTCCATCCGACAGAGTAAACAAACAGCGTCCCCCCTGGACGTCCTGGACACTGGCCAAGAACTCACTCTGCTCGGGCAGGCCAGGGCAGCCTCCCTCCCCGCATCTCGCAGAACCGATTATCGTATTTTCTTTCATACGTGGCCGTCGTTCGTGAAGAGGGCCCCCGTCGTCGGGAAGGTGGTCACTTCAAGCTGGGCTTCCGCGCTGGGGCTCCTTTTTACTCCAAACAACGTCCAAGGCTCTCTCCCTGTCTCTCCCTGTCTCTCTCCCTCTCACGCCTGCTGCTCCACACCGCCGAGGCCACGCGCTGTTTACCCGGCGGCACCCAGCCGCGCCGTTAAGCCGCGAGAAAAGTGTCAAAAGTGACAGCCGGGCAGGCGGGGGCCGGGAGTCGAACCCGGGTCGCGCGCGTGGCGGCGGCGGTGGCGCGGCGAGGTGGCCGTTGTCGGCGCGCGGTCCGAGCGCCTCGCCGGGCGGGCCGCCCGCCACACACGCGAGTGAGGAGTGAGCGCCGTGCCTACCCGCCAGGGGCTTCGACGGGCCGCGGGCGCGTCTGCCCCGGCGGCCCTGGGCCGGCGGCTCCGCTGTCTATGTCTGTGTGTGCGAGTCTGTCTGCGTGTCTGTGTGGTCGGACACGGGCAGGGCAGGACGACACCCCGTGCAGGCCGTACTGGCTGGTGGGAAACAGCGGAAAACAGCCGAAGGTCACAACGCGGCCGTAAACGCGAGGCAGGCGAGGGCGGACGGGATGGACGGCTGTGTTTACGAAAATAAGCCCGGCGGAGCGACTGGCAGTGAGGGAGTCTGGGTGCCCCGTCCCCGCGGAGCCCCACGCCCCTCGCAGTGTAGTGGTGCGGTCCTGCATGTGTCCACGCCGCCAACCAGGAAGTGGATCGTCAGGCCGCACTGCCGGGCCGCCCAGCCGCGCCCGACCGGTCCAACGGGCGTGCACTGGAAGTGCAGCGCTACTGCGCCATGTCCGGGCGGGGCGGCGCGGGGTGGGGCGGCCTCTCGGCGGAAACAAACAGCCGCGGGGCCGGCCACGATTAGCAGCAGAGCAGCGCGACAACCCCCGACGGGGTCCCCCGTGGTTATCGCCGTCCTGCCAACGTGACACACATACACGCACACACGCACTGCGCCAAGCGAGGGGGTAAACACTTCAAGAAATCGTGTACAGACTACTCGGTATTACGCTGTATTACGGAGGTATTACACGTGTATTACGGCCTTAAAATGCAAAAATTTGGCACATTTGATCCGAAAAAGGTATTACGACCACGTGTATTACGCGTAATACACGGTTTTTGTTGTGTACAGGGTATTACGCGAGTGGTTACCCCGGCGCCAAGGCGGCCGGCCGTCTGGCGAAGCCGGTCCAGGCCGCGGGCCGCGGGGCGCGGGTCACCCACCTGACTATCTGCAGAGTGCAGGCCGAGTGGTATACTCCGTTTGGCGATAGACGGCCGTGCGGGCCTGGCGGGCCTTGCACGCTTCGCGGTTCGGCCGGTAGTGCCCGCGGCTCGCGGCTCCGCGGTTCGGCGGCACAAGGCGGCAAAAGGCTCACATGGCACCGGGTCGGGGCTCGCCTCCCGACACGACCAATTGCCACTCCGCTCTGGTGGGAGTGTCCGCCGCCCCGCCCCGCCCCGCCCCGCTCCGCCCCGCCAGCCACCGGGCCTTGTTTGCCACCACAGCTGAGCTGCCCGCCCCGCGGACTCGATGTAGCGTTGCCAACTCTCCGGCCTGCAGCACTGCCAAATGAAAGCAGTTGGTCGTCCCTGCCCGGCAGCCAGCCAGCGGGTCACGGCTCCAGCGCGTCGGCACCCAGAGCTGCCCGGTCACGGCCTCGCGCAGCCCGGACAGCCTGGACAGCCTCGACCAATGGCGCTGCAGCCAAGTGCACCGTTTATTTTTCATCCGCGCGGTCAGTGCCCCGCCCCGCCCGGGCGGCCCCGGCCCCGGCGTACGGCAGCGGCCGACGGCCCCAGAAACCGAGACCGGCTGAAGCTCAAGAGAGAGGAGGCGGCCTGGAGAACGCACTTGTCGCGGCGGCCGCGGGGGCTGAGGAACCGGCTTTCCGAAGCAAAGTTCCGCGTTCGAAACCTCCTCCACGCGTCGTCACAAACCCCTCCTCTCGAGCAGGAAACCAAATTTCCCCAGTGCGTGAACCCGTGGCCAAGGCCGACCCACATGGAGGAGCAAACAAAGCTCTTCTTGACGATGTGCAGAGCCTCCTCTCCTGCCGCGCAGTCGCGCCCAGGGCTCGGCCAGGGTGTCGGTTCGCCTTGTTTTCGTCTTCGAGTGCTTTTGTTTTGCACTCCGTCCGCCCGGCCCGGGACTCTAGCGCGCCGGCTGTCGGTTCGCGCGCCGCGATTCGCGGGTCGAGTTGTTTGTTTCGCGAGGCAGGCTCGCTCGCGCACACGTGTGGGGAGGCGGCCGCGGCGCGTGGCGACCGGGCGGCCGCTGCTCGCAGTGTGGCGGCATGGCGGCAGCACAACAAATTCCAGCATCCTCCTCTCTCACCGCGGGAGCGTTGCTCGAATCCACCTAGAGGACCACATTTCATTTCGGGAGGAAATGGACTTTGCCTCCTGATTCATAAGCTATCGCCGTGTCGCACCGTGCCTTCCTGTGCCTTCCGATAGGCAGCAATACCCCCCCCCCAAAAAAAAAAAAAATAAAGTTAATTTAATTTGGCTTCCCGTTGCTCGAGTTTCGAGTGCACCCTTTGATCCCCAAGCGCGCAGTTGTGTGCAGAACGACGCAGTGCAGTGTTTTTCCCAGGCAGTCACTCGTTGGTCGCGTGCACCGGACTCACCTTGCCGATAAAAAAACAAAGATTGGTAAATTGATTAAGTCCGTATTTTTGCCGAGGGTTCTTGTACCTGTCCGCTTCGAGTGGCTCTGCGGCGAATGGCCTTCTTGATGGGTCAACGGTCGCTCTCTCTCTCTCTCTCTCTCTCTCTCTCTCTCTCTCTCTCTCTCTCTCTCTCTCTCTCTCTCTCTCTCTCTCTCTCTCTCTCTCTCTCTCTCTCTCTCTCTCTCTCTCTCTCTCACCTGGGCGACTGCGAACCGTGTCACCAAGGAAGTCGTCTCAAGGCTTTTCATGCGAACGCAAACTAGTGAACTAGTGAGCCGCGCACAAATCGTAATAAATCCCAGTGTCACGGGAGGCGCGTACACGTAACCTAGATTCCCGGGTTCAAATCCTCCAAGATTTACCATTTCCATTTTTTTTTTCGTTTTGAAAATTAGGTTAACCTGTGCTGCTAGGCGCGAGGCAGATGGGTGTGATGATCGCGGTGAGCGCGGTGAGCGAGCACACCTACGTAAGTTGTTTGTGTGACTCGGAGCTTAGCGCTCTGTGCGGCGCTTGGTGCGCGCTGTGCGCTCGTGGCGCGGCTCAAAGTACACACAGCAGCAGCCACTTAGGACTCGCTCTGTGCGATGTGATTAACGCAGCGGCCTTGGCGTGGTGGGCAGGCAAGTGTCCACGCCGCCGCCGGCCGGCCGGCCGCGAAAACACGCTTCTGGGCCTCCTCACTGTCCATCGACCGGCCTTTCGGCGGGGCACAGTGGGCCAGAAGGCCGGTGGAGGCGGGCAAAACTCCAGACGCGTTTTGAGTTCAAGTCGTTAAATGGGACTCGAATCAAACGTGTGACCCCACCAATGGATTCCTTGTTCGGAGAGCAATCCATTGGTGGGGTCACACGTTCGGTTCGAGTCCCATTTAGCGTCTCTGGAGCTCAAAACGCGTCAAGAGTTTTGTCCGCCTCCACCGGTCTTCTTGCCCACTGTGCGGGGGCTGCTTCCCGGTGTGGTCGGCGGCTGCCTGGCTGGAGGGCGAGCCCGCGAGGCGGGTATGCCTACCTCCAGGCGGGGCGAAGCGCGAAGCCAAGCAGCCCTTGCCGAGGCCCGGCTGGCCGGCTAGCCAGGGGCCTCGAAAGAGAAATGACTCTTTCTCGTGACTCACGCAGTCATCGGCGTGGGAACGCGGGTCGATGGTGCTCCGCCGTGCTCGCTTGCCCGGCTTGCCAGCCCCGCTCCGCGCCACGCCACTGCGATGCCCCGTAGATGCCCACCCCAACCTTGAGCATGCCAAAGCACGGGGCCGGGCGGGCCGTCGGGTCGGGGTGCATCCGGAAGGGACCCCAACGAAAACAAACAGCGTTACGTAACGGGCAGGGCGTTGCTACTGTGCCTTTTGGGGCGCCGGGCGAATCTAGGCTGGGCTAGAAATGCCTCGAAGGTGCGCGCACTGCAAAACGCTTCAAAATCCTGCCTGGTCACCGGGCGCCCTGCCCTGTGTGCCCATTCCTGGCTCTCAAGTCTCCGCCGTCTAAATCGAGCCTCCTGTCACCTGCTGCCTGACTCCGCAGGACTGCCTCGTCGCTCTGTCTCTCTCGCACTCGTGGGGCGTCCCGCAAGGGTGCGAGAGAGACGGAGAGAGAGTGCATCACGCGGCCCGGACGTGAGTGTTCAATCAGAGCAAACCTTGGACTGGTTTGGTGTTTGTCGCGCTACTCCTCCGCGCCACACAGAGCACTTGAGCGCAGTCAATCGGCGTGAGGTGTCGCAAGGAGCTCTCCTTTTGTCGACGGACGAGTGGGAGTGCTCCGGGGCCCGAGGTCCCCAACCTGCAGACCGATTCCGAGAGTCGCTCTCGTCTCTCTGTGTCTGTCGCACTCAGGGCGTCCCGTATAGGTGCGAGAGAGACAGAGCGACGGAAACGACTCTCGGAATCAGTCTACAGGTTCGTTCCTCCTCGCCCAGCCAGAGGCGACTCTATGTCTTGTCGAGCGATAAGCGGAGCGATACACGCGGTGCACCCATTTCGACGCGCGCTTTTTGAAGTTTTTTCCAATTTCCCGGCTTGTGTGAACCAGTGTAGTGACTCATCACCCGGAGCGCTGTCACTGCCGCGCAGCCATTGCCGAGCCAGACAAACAACGACTCGGCTCGGCGGCGCTGGCACACTACAAAGGCGGATAGTCGGCTAGACTCCCACGTGGCGGCCCGGAGGTGGGGGAAGACTGTTTTTTTCTCCAGAGCGGAGGGGGGGGGGGCGGGGCGCGCGGGGAGGCGCGCTTCAAAACAAAACAACAACGGGCGTGTTGTTGACTTGCCAGCCGAAAAAGCGAAGAGTCCAAGTCGTTTTCGCCGCTCTGTCCTCTCTCGCTCACATACGGACGCTCCATGAGTGCGAGAGAGACGAGCGCGATGAAAACGACCCGGTCTGCAGATGCTAAACCATCGCCTGCTAAAAAGTTCGCGCGCGTGTGGCTTTTCCCAAGGCGTTGCCTCCCCGGGCCGCTTCGCCGTTCTGCCTTTTTGCCGGTGTAGCGGTTCTCGGCTCGAAGGGCGGCCAGGCGAAGGCCTCGCAAAATGTCGCCGGCGAGGCCAGCGAGGGCGGAGTGGCCTTTCCCAGTGCAGGTGGCAAGTCCTTCGAAGAGTAACGAACAAAACTTTATGACGAGCTTGAACGTTTCCGGCGAAGTCGTGTTTGTCATGATCTCCTTATGAAAAGGCGACGGTTGTGTAGGAGCAGCGGGAGGGAAGTCGACATTATTTCCTCGTCAGAATAGGTAAAGTTTTCCTTGCTCCGTCAGAAAATTCACCCCGTTCAGTTAAACTTCGGCAAAGTCGTGTAGTTAACTAGTCAGTGAGTCAGTAGGGACGCGCTGCCGCTCTTACGCGAGTCAAGGTCACTACGGTATAGTGCGCGCGGTGGCAGAGAAAAGGGGGGGGGAGATGATGTCACTTCATAGTGAGCCATTTGACTAAATCCAGCGTTCCTCACCCAAACGGTTGAGGAAGCGTCCGCAAAAGTGAGGGCACTCTTTGCACGAGTGTGCCGGGCCGCTCGGAGCGTGGCCAGTCGCCCGTCCAAAGTGCAAAGCATTCGCAAATTATTGGAAGCCATCTAGACCTCGGCCCCACACTCGTTCTCGAATAAAATAAATCTCATGGTACACTGCAATGGCCGCACGGCGTACAGCCCCTGCCCGGGCCAGGTGTGTGTGTGTGTGTGTGTGTGTGAGTGAGTGTCCTGTTAGCGGCCGGTCAGGATATTGCCCGCCGCCACGCGTCGCCCGCCTGCCCGCGGCCTGGCGCGCCGCGTCGCGCCGCGTGGACACAAAGTATGTACTAGCCGAGATACAGGCGGGCAGGCCGTACACTCGGTCGCTTTCGTCGCTCTGTCTCTCTCGCACCCTTGCGGGACGCCCCTGCGAGTGCGAGAGAGACAGAATCGGAGTGAGTGTGCAGGCAGGGGTGTGCGGGCCTGGCCGGCACCATGGGTGTCATGCCGCAGTCCGCGCGTGGTCACCCACCAGGCCCTGGTCGTCAACAACAGCATCAGCAACAACAAGCAGCAACGCGCGAACATGCGAAAGCTGGCGTGGTCGCGAGAGTCGGTGCACGCCGCGGGCGCCGGGCAGCGCCGGGCCGACCCACAGTGGGCCAGAAGGCCGACGCCGGCGGCCAAAACTCCAGACGCGTTTTGAGCTCAAGAGTCGCTAAATGGGGCTCGAACCGAGCGTGTGAC